GCATCAATTGCAAGGAGATCGAATGTTCAGTGCATGATGTTTGTGAGACATGCTAATAAACTTAGTGCTTGTGCAGTCTCGGCTTGATACGAGCAATCTCGGATTTTTAGTGGACAGCAGTACGCAGCAGCCGGATATGCCGAGGCATGGACCCATACTCTGTTAGTAGCTTCAGGGTAGGGAAGTCCGCCTACAGCTGTTATAAATATGCTCAATTCAGCATGTTTTCTAACACTCTTTTAAATACCGGGGGAAGATTAAAGGCGCCTAGATCATGAGTTAAATAACAAGATTGCTTGGAAAGAATGCCTGACGGATTGGCCGGTCTACAACCAAAACGACCTGAGTAGTGACTTCACGAACAGGTACACCATTTTTGTTGTGGGGGCAAATCGAAGTCAAGTCGGCGAGTGTTACTTCAAGCACGATAATATATTCTTGTAGGCCGAAGAACAATTAAATAAACTGCCGTTGGCTTCTGTCTGATAAAACCTATGCAAATTACCTTCAACTTGCTCAAGAATGCAATCCGCGTTGAATATATACCATCTAAGTTTCACGCGATTTGAGATATACGTCACAATTGCGTAATATGCTTTACCTGTTTAAATGTTTAACCTAACTTTAAGAGGTTGCTTGCACTCCGTATTGTGTGCTGCGAATCGCTGTTCATACTGAGCAAAGATAGCCCGATGAAAAGGCGAATCTGAAAACCGGCTTCAATGCCGAAGTTAAAATTTAAGGAAGATGCATGAATCTGCGATGGTTGGTGGAATTGAAGCATCTCCGTCCGCCGACAAAAGTGTCCAATCAATAGCCGACATACTCTCGGCAATGACAGCGAGCCAACTTGTTCTAGAAAAGTTCGAAACTTTCTTCTCAACGGCTCTAACCGTCTTTGGACTACTACGGCTTCTGATTAATCATGACAAACAGTTAGAATTTGCAAGCCGACCGGGATACGATCTGTCAAACTTGGCCCGAACACAGTGTTCAACGTTTTCAAGGTGGACATGACGAGCGTTTCACGGCAAACCCGGACCACCTGACTAATGTAAACACTCTATCTTATCAAGAATTAGCTTGGCATATGGAGTCAAATCGGCGAACTGTGAGGATCTTAACTAATCGTAGCATGAATCAGCTACCGTGGCACCCACCATCTGCCCGGCGTTATTGCGTAGACAGTATAGTCTTCGGGCTTGGTTAACGGAAATGCCTTGGTTTTGCTCCATCAATGAAACCTCATGAGCTAAGCGTCTTGAAAGCATACAATGGGGCGACAAGATTGGGTTTTCAACGGCCAACTTCTTAAGTAACTAGAATCCCTCACCATTGATTAACGTTCCCATGCCCGTCCTTATCAATCTTTAGAGGCGTATTATCATTTCTCAGTCTCATCATGCGCTTCTCATCTATTTCGGGCGTTTCTGCCCTTACCTTGGCCGCTCTCACGGCACCGGCCTCATGCAAGCACGCCGATTCTACCTACGATTACATTGTCGTTGGCGGTGGCCCTGCTGGCCTGATCACAGCTGAGCGACTCTCCGAGGCCAACAAGAAGGTGCTGCTTCTTGAGCGTGGACATGGTCCAACCGTCGCAACAGGATCCAATCACACTCTTTCTTGGGACTCCTCGCTCACCCCAATCGATGTCCCTGGCCTCTCATCTGCTGTTGGTGGACTTGATCTATGGAACGAGTACATGTGTGATGATACTGCTGCATTGGCCGCTTGTGTTCTCGGTGGCGGTGTCACTGTCAACTACATGGTCTTTGTGCATCCTCCTGCTCGCGACTTTGACGACAAGTGGCCCAAGGGTTGGAAATGGAACGATGTTGCACCAGCTGCTACCAGACTATATGCTCGCAACCCGGGCACTCTAGTACCCTCCAAGAACAACGAGCGATACGACCAGGGACTCTACAGCACTCTGTCTGGCTTTTTCGATCAACTGGGCTGGAAGTCGGTTGACATGATCAAGCAGCCCAACGAGAAGCACGAGGTTTATAGCTGGCCGTCCTGGAATGTCAAGAATGCCCTGCGAGCTGGACCCGTCAGGACTTATCTCCCCCTTGCCCAGAAGCGAGATAACTTCACTCTTCGCATGGGTTCCAAGGTCATCCGAGTTGTCCGATCTGGCTCGCGAGCTACTGGCGTCGAGGTTGAAACTGCTGCAGGTAAGAAGGAGATTGTCAAGCTTTCCAAAAACGGTCGGGTTGTTCTTTCTGCTGGCGCCCTTACAACCCCTCGCCTGCTGTTCAACTCTGGTATCGGTCCCAAGAAGCAGATTCTTACGGCCAAGAAGACTGGTGTCACTCTCCCTGCCGAGAGAAACTGGATTGAACTTCCTGTTGGCGAGAACCTCATGGACCATCCCATTTTCACCTTCACTGTCAAGACTGGTGGTGCTTGGGGCATGCTTGACACTGATAGTGTCTTGAACGGCACCGATACCAAGAACATTAATCTCTATGAGCAGAAGTCCTCTGGAGTCCTGACTCAAGGCCGCCATCGCATGATCTTCTTCAGCTCGAACAAGGGTTCTGATGGTGTCACTCGATACTTTCAAGGATCGTGTGCTGCTGGAGGTGACGGTATCGCTTCTATCAAGGTCTACATGACCCACGGCCTGACCTCCACCGGTGTTCTGGGCATGACTGAAGAGGGCAAGACTATCATTGAGAAGTCTCCTTACCTGCAGACAGATGGAGATGTCGAGGCTGCGAAGGCCTTCGTTCAGGATATGGTTGAGAAGATCACTGATTCTTCCACTGGCTTCGTTCTTCAGAAGGAGACCAACACCACAGCTATTATCAAGGCTGTTACCAGCGGGAACCACTATGCCGGTACTACCAAGATGGGTACTGATGATGGCCGCAAAGGAGGCTCGTCTGTTGTTGACACCAACGCCAAGGTATATGGCATGGACAACCTTGTAAGTGTAGCCTGTCCCTTTGCATCCATCCACTCACTAATTATCTTTAGTTTATCTCTGATGCTGGCATCCACCCCGACCTTCCTACTGGTAATATTCAGACCATTGTCATGGTTGCCGCCGAAGCCGCAGTCGCCAAGATACTTACTTGTTGAAGAATCTTAGTTTTAGAAAAGATTAAAAAGGGAGCCTGGTAAATACATAAAGTAGTACTTAAGGAACATGATTTTATGCTTAAAAATATGCTAACAAGTGCGCTCTGGCATCTACACAAGCATCCTCTCTTTAAATATGCGTTTTTAGACACCCTTGACCACCTCAATGCAGACCTTGCCGAAATGCTTCATGCTCTCCAAGTATTCAAAAGCATCCCTGGCCTCTTCGAGGCTGAAAACCCGCCCATCAATCACTGGCTTGATGTTACTAGCTTCAATTGCACGATTCATATCCTCGAATTGCACGCGAGGGCCCACATATGCGATACGCGTGGTGCAGAACTTGAAGAACATGTCTACAAGAACTGGCTGCTCTTCAGGGTGAGTACCAGCTCGTAATCCAACGACAGAGATAAGTCCGTCCATCTTCACGGCAGTCAGAGACTATCAAGTTCCGACACGTTAGCAATAGCACATCACAAGCCTGCGAGTTCCTTCCATACCTCTTTTAGAGTCGCACCGCCTCCGATTTCGACCACGATGTCAACTCCCTCCTCCCCTGGGGTGAGAGCCCGCGCTTGGGCACCCCAGTTCTCAACTTCCCGATAGTTAATGACATGATCAGCCCCCATTTCTTTGAGCTTCTTTGCTTTTTCAGCTGAGGACGTGGTCGCAATGACTTTGGCGCCAGCTGCCTTGGCGAACTACAGTCCGAGTCAGTTTGATGTTTTCGCTCTGGTCAATATAGGCAATAGAGACTTACAAGGATAGCAAAGGTGCTTACACCGCCAGTTCCCTGTGTGAGAATCCACTGTCCCGGGAGTAGAGGGCGCCCTTGGGCGCCAAACAGAGCGTTCCATGCAGTGAGGCCTGCCACCGGCAACGTGCTGCCCTCAATAAAGCTGAGGTTGCGTGGAAGAGCAATCACGTACTGTGCTGGAATAACGACATACTCCTGGAGGACGCCATGATAGGCGTTTCCCAATAGCAAGTTGATGTAGTGCGGTTTTATCGGGCCGGATTGATGTGCTCCGTTCATGATTGTCGTGACTCTGTCGCCGACCTGAAAGTTCTGGATATTAGACCCGATGGCTATAACCACTCCAGCTCCATCCGAGACGGGAACGACGTCTTTCAAGGCATGTTCGTAATGGCCCTGAATGCATGTTAGAAGAACCCGAGGCGGATGAGGAATTTGGAAAGGCAGAGACAAACCCTGGTGGTACCGACGTCGTGGTAGTTCAAGGAAATAGCGTGGACTGGATTGATGTGAGTTGGAGAGAAAATAACAGGAAGAGAGTTAATGACTTGGCCTATCTCGCACCTTTTATGAAGACGTCGTTCGGCCCAAGTTGAGGGATAGGCGCCACCTGCATCTCAAGCCCAGATGGGCCATCGAATCGCTTGACCACCCACTGTGTCGATTTCTGCGGAAGGGACATGTTTGCGGTGAAATTGTGAATTTTATCTGGTTGAAGCTCTAGGTAATGGACAGGCTTCTGTTTAAATACTTGACTTTACCTTGGGAATGTCGGTCGTCTGAGATATCCCGAGACAGAGAACTCTTCCAGGTTAGCCAGCCCATGTCCCTGTCTTCTAAGCTCTGATGGCAGGGCAGGGAGAAGATCATTGGCCACGAGCCTGACGCTCATGCAACTTGCTTAGATATGGGGTAACTTAGTTCTGAAGCCCCAAGTGGCCAGAATTGTGGGTGACCATCATTGGCCCCGAGGCTAACGCTAATGCAACTTGCTTAGATATGGGGTAACTTAGTTCTGAAGCCCCAGGTCGCCAGAGCCCCCGGGTTCATTGTGGGTCTCCAAATTCTCACCGGAAGTTCATCATGGACATCTCAGCAGGGTGCATAAGGAGATTCTCTAACTTGGCGACGCTCTCAGCTCTTGAACATGACAGATTCTAGTCCGTCACGAACCGACACGGCCATGGAGTATCCAATTGACCTAGTTGCGGCCCCTCTCATCAAGCTGAGTGACATGGCACCGCGCAGAGAGATACGTACCGCAGGCGAAGACTGGACCGGCATAACAAGCAGTGCTAGGAGGCGCAAGCTACAAAACCGTCTCAACCAAAGGGCATATGGTGAGTATCGGACGCCTCTTGGGGAGGAATTCATATAGACTGGCATCTGCTTATGCTTTGGGATTGTAGAAAGAAGAAAAGCGTCGAGACGACCCGCATCCATACATCCAGGGCAAGGCAGCAGACCGCGTTACGCTTCCCTGGCAACAACAGATGCCCCGGATGCGCCGGGATCACCATCTGTTCCTCAAAAGTTGGCCGTGATAAAGTCTCCCGCAGGCTGCACGCCTGGATCGGGATGTGTATTGCTCCGCCCGGGCGCCCAAGGCGCTCTCCGCCAGTTTGTCAAAAAGGCCTATGAAGATTATGTGCTAGGCTGCCCGCAGCCATGGTACCTGTCGACTCTCATCCAGGTCAACGTCTTCAACGCCCTTGTGCAGAATGGGTTCACCTTGGGATTCTCAGACCGTTGGCAAAAAAAGGGTGTCATCTCACCTTTCTCTATAATCGGACCCCTGCAGTCCTGTGACTCTTACCCGCTAAATCTTCAGCCAACAGCCCTGCAGAGAACTGTTCCCCATCATCCGTGGATTGACCTTTTCCCGATCCCCCAGATGAGGGATAATATCCTGCTCTCGTTCCGCCACCTGGATATGGATGAGTTATGTGGCGACCTGCTCGATGTCAAGCCTGGCTTGGAGGGGAAGCCGAGCCTGATAGTCTGGGGAGACCCTTGGGACACTCGTGGTTGGGAGGCAAGTCCTTTATTTTTACAAAAATGGGGGTGGATGCTAGGGGGATGTCGAGATATTCTTCAAGCTACTAATTACTGGCGTCAGAGCCGAGGAGAGGATGAAATACTCTTCTAGGGGGTAAACTATATATCCTTAATCAGGCTGGTCTTCACAGTATAAAGTCCTTAGGTGACTTAAATTCTTAAAGGCGTACTTTGCACTTCTGCCAGAAATGAGAAAAATGAGAACCTTTGAAAATAGCTATTATAAGGAAATTGCATTTATAAAGCTCTCGGCAACTATAAGGAAGAAAGTTATAGCGAGTAACTCTGTATTGCAAGAGACGCCTTGTAATATAACATTCCTTGTGATAATATTTGTCTATCTGAGATTTATTGGCTTATGCATAGAGTTCCCTATTTAAGCATCTCTATGCCACCAATCCTCACTGTCGAAGCTTGCATTCAATAGATCCCCACTGGCTCTTGGTAGCATGCCACCAACCCGCGTCAATAAACCGCGGTAAACATTTTCTATATGCCTGAAATTCCGCATGCAGGTCGCCATTGGCTGCTCGGCCACCCTGCCATTGCCCGCTGCACTGAGGCTTGACATTGTCCCAGAATCCGTTGCATATCCCGAGAACATCGGGCACGCCATCGGCGCCGATGTAATAGCGGAGGACGTCTACTGGATGGTCGTCATAAGTGCACAGAGAGGCGTTGACGGTGGCCAAGGAGGTTGCGAGGGCGGTGATAGCTGAGAACTTCATTGCTGGCTTTGAGATGTCAGGTTAGCTTGGGCCAGAGTTAGGGAAAGTTTGTAAATACCGAGTTGGAGTGTTGTATGTTCCAGAGAGAGGTAGAGATGTGTTGTGGTGAGCTGGATGAGAATTGTTGAGGGGAATTGCTGGCTCCTTATAGCCTGCTGGACACAAGTTGCACGCAGAAGAGTGGATATTACACATGTCACAGAATTTAACTATAAAAATGATCAGATTAAACGATTATTGGTCTAGTTTCGATTACAAAAAGCAATTGAGATTCATAGCGTAGTATTAAAGAGTCAATGCTAACTCAAGTTCCTCCTTCATTGGGACCCAGACCATGAGAGTGACGTGATCTGCATTGAGTTGGTATAAACTAAAACTTGGAGCCTTGGCAATGTAAGTGCTATGCTTAAATTAGACCTCTGAAGACTGGCGGTCTATGTTTTCATGCCAGAGGCGCAAATGAGCCCTGCGATTTTCATAGCTATGTATTTACAAATAATTACAGGCCATTCCCGAGCGGACGAATGAAGAGGCAGCTAGTACAGTGACCCCTGCATGCGGGGTTACACATCAACCTCTACTACTGGAAATGCCAAGAAAGGGTAATGACATTACAAGTGCTGAACTGGATATCACGAAACGAGAGAGACGGGCTGAGAACGAGGTATCACAGTATACGGCCGGTCGGAACTTGCAAGGCCTATCTGCCTTGTCTAGTCAATGGCAACAGCCATCATTCAACGGAGAAGATGCCGTTATTGTTGTCCCGGGTGCCACTGGTAGCCTTGGCTCACGCCTTGTATCTTCTTTTGCAGACAATCCCAGCGTCAAGTCAGTCGTCTGTATCAACAGACCTTGCAGCATCTCTGTTGAAACGCCCCAAACTGAAGCTTGCTCGCAACATGCTATCTTCTCATGTTCGTTCCAACCTCCGTGACTTTGAAGTTCAGACTTCGAATCCTCAGCTTGGGCTGGCGATTTCTGACTACGAGTGGTTGGTACACCATGGTACTCACATCGTGCATAACGCATGGCCTATGAGTGGCACACGGCCCATCTCTACTTTCTAGTCCCAGTTTCAGATGATGCGTAATCTTTTTACCTGGCACACGACATGGCTTTACAACAGAACCAGGCTGGGAGCCGCTACCGAGTGGGCTTTCAATTGGTTGTTCAAGCTGAACAGCTTACCAGAGAGAAACTCGACAAACTGCAGGTTGTGGATGGCAATGAATTTGCCACTCAATAACCTGAGGCATCAGTCAAACACCTTAGATAGGTCAAGGCCAACTATGGTATACTGTCAAGTTGGTTACCGCGGCTATTTAGCTTACTGTATTCTCAGACAGGCCAGCTTTGATGTTGTTAACCTGGACGGTGGCTTTAAAATAGTAGTTCAAGGAGGATATCAATCACTATATAGTTAAAGTCTGTTTTCAAGTTGCATTTACTAAGGAATAGTAATAGTTCTTCTAAACCCCGCTTTTTGAGTCCTGAACCATACGTCTTTGCACCAAACTAATCGCGGTGGCTGTTTATAGGTACATCAATCTTTATAGCTTATGCTCACCTTTGCACATGTATTCCTCGTACTCCAGGTCAGGCTGGCCCTCCCAGTACAAGGTCTCCGAGTCACTTGAGTTCTCAAAGGTGTACTTTGCACTCGCGTCAGAAATGAGAACCTTCGGAATGCCGTTGGCCGCTGCAGCCTCAGCAAGTAACTGGCATTGACTGGCCCGCTCCATGAGAGTCATGAGGAAGCAGGCCTCGTCGACTGTCGTACCAGTTGTAAGAAGACCATGGTTTTGGAGAATCATAGCTTTACCCTTGGGTCCTACATGCCGTTGTTATTACCAATCGTAGTGAAGGAATGCAAAATCTCCAAACATACCTAAAGCAGCGCCGATTTTGTCACCTTCTTCTTGAGTAACGACGACACCTCCAAAGTCCTATACATCATCAGAATAAAATGAATAAGCAACCAAGAACAAACACAAACACGGTAGACAGCCTGGGCATCACCGTAAAGGTATGCAGCGTCTTGTGTGATCATTTCTATTGGTCGCCCAAAGACACTCCATGCCATGCCATGCACGCTGTGGGTATGGCATGCGGCGACAACATCTGGTCGAGCCTTGTGGACTGCGCTGTGTATGAGGAAGCCTGCAGCATTTGCTGGTCGACTCATGTTTCCTGGCAGGAAAGCTTAAGCATAACGGGTCAAAGATAGAGTGGGCATATTACCTCCGATGGGAACACCCTCATAGTTGACAAGGATCATATCGCTGGCTCTCAACATGCCGAAATGCACTGCCAGGGGGTTCTAGGATTCTTCAGCGCTTATCTCTTTGTACACATTCATCAAGTCTTGACACTCACTGTCCAGAAAGTGTGTGGATTCTCAGGGTCCCGCACGGAGATATGACCAGCCATACCATCCGTGTAACCCAATCGTGCAAAGACACGAAATGCCAGCGCCATCTTCTCCAACTGCCATTGTCTTTGCGCAGCGAATGTGGGATGTTTGGGGATTCCGGGGAGACAGGCGCCCTGCGAAATCAATTGCAAGGGGGTCTTTTTGACCTTTTGGGGTTGCTCGTCAACTTGCGCCGACGGGGGCATGGTAATTTTGGCGGCAACGCTAGCAAACAAGATATTACAGTAGTTTTATGGAAAGGAAGAAGCTTCAGACAGTTGCTGAAAGTCGAGATAGCCAGGGCTACATCGCAGCCTGTTTATACCACGTCCTTCTTCTAGCCTTAGACAGCTGTATCTCTGCAATTGCCGATTGTCTAGACGCGCTTTACTATTTACGGCAGTAAAATACGATTACTCAGCATCAGCGGGGTATCAGGGTAGCCAACGAGAAGTGGTCTTCGCGTTTCTGTAAGACACTCCGTATTCACTGACCAAGATCGGTTTAGCTTATGGTGATAACAGACTGCATCAGCTACGGAAAAGGGACAATTGTTACGAAGGGATAATATCACGCACACTTCATTGGTGCTCACGTTGTAAGTAATATTGTTAATATTCCCAAGGCTTGAAAAAAGATCAGGATAGAAGATAAGCTGCGGGGCGAACACGCAATAAATGTATCAAAATGGGTAAATTGTCCTGAAGCACCTGCAGCTTCGTAAAGGACTAACAGATTTGGTTAAGCATAGCATATGCGAACCCAACATGGATATTGCAGGTGGAGTGTTGGCTGGACTGTCTATCCGATACTAATAGACGCGGTTATATTAACAAAGGTCGGTATGTTTTACCATGCAGTACCCACCTGCCGGTCATACCCACCTACCGGTCAGCGAAAAAAAGAATTCCCCATACAAAATGTCAAACTTCACTTGCACAGTCCTTGGCCAAAATTGAAGTTATTTACATGGAACAGATTGTGTCTTACTGAGAGTTTCATGCTGTTTCATATTGGCATATTCATTTGTATTTTACACAAGCAGTTTGGTCGCATGACACTAGTGTAAAATTTCTCAAATGTCTCCTTCATCACCCAGCCTCCCCAAAATTTCATCAAACTTTTATCTATAGCAGCTTCCTTTAATCGCCTTGAAAATGCCTCAACAGCCTTATACAGAGAATGATGTCATTGAAGCTATACTGGATGTTACAGATAATCACCTCTCGCAGCACCAGGCCGCCCAGAAGCATGGAATGCCCCAAACCACTCTGTCTGACCGACTAAGAGGCCTACCGTCAAAGTCCGAGGCCACCCAACCTGCCCAGTTGTTATACAAATCCCAAGAGGCTAGATTAGTTACATGGATACTTCGACAAGAGGCATTGGGCTATGCTCCTTCCCACAGTCAAGTTCGCGCCACGGTAGCTGCCCTGTTGAGACAGCAGGGCCGGGAAAGGCCTATCGGTGTACACTGGCTAGCCAGGTTTATTAAACGCCATCCAGAGATCAATACGAAGGTAGGAAAACGCCAGGAAGCTGCAAGGTTTAATTCTTTTACCCCGATGGCCGTCAATTGGTACTTTGATATCCGGGAGAGCGAATATGGCTGGATCAAGCCTGAGAACACGGTTAATGTTGACGAGGGCGGTATCATGGCTGGATTTGGTGAGTACTGACCACTTCTGATACAAGACTTACCGATAAATTGCAAATCTAGGTTTGGATTCCTTGGTAATTGGCAGTAGCGATTCCAGGAGGAAGGCCTTCCTCAAAGGCTCGCAGTCCCGCACTTGGACTAGTTTTATCGAAGCCGTCACTGCAGATGGCCGTCTTCTAAAGCCGGGAATTATCTTCAAGGGCAAAGAACTTCAGAAGCAGTGGTTCATTGATGAGTTTAACAAGATCGCCGACTGGTATTATATCACGTCCGATAACGGCTGGACAGACAACCATATCGCGCTCGAGTGGCTCAAAGAGGTTTATCTGCCCCAAACCCAGCCAGCAGATGAGTCTGATGCAAGGCTCATCATATTAGATGGCCATGGGAGCCATGTATCTGTGGGTGTCTACCTGTTCTCGATCAGAAATACCGCTGACTGAAAATCCAGGATGAGTGGATGGCCACGTGTTTTTTGAATAACGTGTATTGCTGTTACCTGCCTGCACATTGCTCTCATGGCCTACAGCCACTGGATAATGGTGTTTTCAACGCATCCAAGGCTGCATATCGAAAAGAGCTCCAAAAACTGGCAAGCCTGACGGATTCTGCGCCCGTGGATAAGGTCAACTTCATTAAGGCCTATGCCAAAGCCAGGGAAGTGGGTATGACGAAGAAAAACATCCTTTCAGGCTGGAGAGTAACTGGGAACTGGCCGATTTCACGACGGAAAGCGCTCATACATGCCGAAATCCAACCAGACAAGAAGGAAACGACGCCTGGATCAGACGGCCACAGAGACGGGCAAGTCGACTCTGATAATACGCCAAAGACCAGCCGTCACATCAGAGACCTGGGGAAGAACAAGAGCCCCTCTACCAGAAGGAGGTATTCTGTGATATCAAAAGGATTTGAAGCACAAGAGTCAAAGATCGCGTCCCTAAGCTCAAGAGTGGCCAGTTTAGAGGAGGAAGTCGGCCGGTTGAGTAGAGGCAAGAAGAGAAAGGCGATACCGAACCCCATTAAGAAATTTATGACGCTAGCAGAGGCTCTAGCGACTAGTGACACCATTTCAGAGCCAAACGAAGCAATTGAAGAGGTGGATGTTATTGAGGATGTGATCGAGGTGGGAGGGATGGAAGAAGATGAGAGGTCAAATTCAGGGAAGGAAGAATTAGGTGTCGTACGCACCCGCACAGGCCGAGAGGTTAAAAGGCCTAGAAAATATTAAAATAGATTCAATTTTGATCTGAATTCTAGAGATAAACTTATTTTTACTATTTTTATTACGGTTTTCCCATGAGGTTAAAAAAGTGCATTATGTATGGGGGATTTTTTTTTTCGCTGACCGGTAGGTGGGTATGACCGGCAGGTGGGTACTGCATGGTATAGCTCTTGCTTCAAAACCCTTGCGCAAATCCCAAGATGCATACCATAACTAGACTTCCACTGGCGCGAGCCATACGCTTTGGTAGAGGTGTAGCCCCGGCCCAACGGCTACTGTCAACCTCTCGCTGTCTACCCATGAACCGTCTTGCAGCCAGCCAGAGGACAAAAACACAGGTATGTAGTGTCTAAGATCCATTACAGGGTGTGTGTCGACACTGACAGGTTATCCTCAAGTTACTGCCGGGAGCCCATACCGCGTTGAAAACCGCTAATACTTTGCGCCGCTCCTACTCCATCGTCCAAAGCAAGAAGCCACCAAGAGTTCCAATCTCAATCGACGGCAAGACTCAGGAATTCTCCTCCCTCCTTTTGCGTGACTCCTGCCAATGTCCGTTGTGCGTTCACGAATCAACCAAACAGCGTCTCTTCTCGACCGCCGATATCCCAGCCAACATCCAAGCCCGTTCGGTCGAGATTGATCCTGCCTCCGAGTCTGTGAACATCAAGTGGGAGAATGATGCCCCGGGTTGTAGCCAAGATCACACTACGAAGCTGAGCATGACGGCCCTACGAGAGATCATCGAGTCGGGCTCTCTCCCCGGCTTCGGCAGAGACAAACACGATGCGCAGGTTCTGTGGACTAAGGAGCCTCTACCAAACTTAGATGACTTCGATTACGAAGAGTATATGAAGGATGATAAAGAAGTCTATAAGCTCATTCATCAGCTTCGAACTGATGGCCTGGCGTTTGTCACAAATGTTCCTGGCAAGGTAGACTCGCTAGCCACGATCGCTGAACGCATTGGTCCCGTCCAGGATACCTTTTATGGCCGCACATGGGATGGTACGGTGAAAGCCAATGGTCAACAGTCGAAACAAAACTAATATTTGCGTAGTGCGTACGGTTCCTCAAGCCATCAACGCCGCATATACGTCCGCCGATCTGGGTTTCCATACCGACTTGCTATACTTCCAGAACCCTCCGCATGTTCAGCTTCTCCACTGCGTCCAATCTGCATCCAAGGGAGGAGCCAGCGTCTTTGCCGACGCCTATAAGTCGGCAATCGACTTATTCCACTCGGATCCAGAGGCATTCGAGACCCTTGCCGCAATCCCCGTCAACTACCACTACAACCATCCCAATGACAACGTATACCGCACGACGAAGCCAGTCATTGACCTCCGACCGCTCCAAATCGGCGATAAGGTGTATACTCGTGTTCAAGATTATGCTCAAGACTACCACCAGCTCAGCCTCAAGAATGGAGGCTCTGGATGGGGCGACGCGGTGCTCGTTGAACATATGCTAAAGATCAACTGGGGTCCCCCGTTCCTCGCACCCTTTTCGAATCATCAAGACCCCCTAGTTGAGAAACGAGGCGATCAATCACCTCTATCAGTATTGAACGATAAGGTCGACGCATGGCACGAAGCTGCTTTCAAGTTCAACGCATTGCTACAGCGGTCCGAGTATCTTTTCGAGCGAAAGATGAACTCGGGTGACTGTGTCCTTTTTGACAACACGAGAACTCTGCACTCAAGGAGAGCTTTTGACATGGCTGATATTGGAAAGCCACGATGGTTAAGGGGCACTTACGTTGATAAGGATTCATACTTCAGCAGGCTGCGTGTCTTGAAGAATAGATTTGGCTAATAATGTATGAGGGGCAGGACGTGAGTGAAGGGGCGTCAAAAGACCGGTCAGTCTGACACTCTTAAAGTCAGATAAATAAGACTTAAAGAAGATTCAATAGTTTAAGAGCCTGTAGATATAATTCATTCATTAAGATTACTGTAAGACACAACCTTTAAAGACAGATCTCAAGTTATGCTGCCTCTTCTATTTCCATACTACCTACCCTGAACAGGCTTGGCCCACGTGACATCACAAGCTACTCTCTCGAGACTGCGGGGTTCTAAGCACCGAAGCTATTTCGCTTCCCACCACTCTTTATCTATGACGCTTCATGGACTCACAAAGTTCATCCAACCCTGATAATCCTCCTAGGATCAAGCGGCGAAACGGAGGAGCGAAGTCAAGAAATGGATGCTCCAAGTGCAAAGCTAGACGCGTAAGTAGCGGCATCAGCAATACGGATCATCAAGTTTAGTCTGTTGACGTGGTTAACTATGTGATAGATCAAATGCGATGAGAAACGGCCCAATTGCGAGAACTGTGCCAAGTTCGTATGTGCGTGCCCTGGATATACGCAGAAACTACGATGGTCGCACAAGCACCAGCGGGCTGAGACGTTAATATCTCAAGAGACGATTTCTGGAAGAGATGACCAACCGCAAGAGCCACCACCTGTAATTCAAGCAGAAGATTTCAGTATCCAAGCCGGGCCAACAGATCATCAATATGTGTTAGATACTTTGCAAGATGGACCCATTATCCTGGATGACGACTGCGACTTTACCTGGCTAACCGAGGCTTCGCCAACTTGGCAAGCCACAGGCCTTGATATTGGGGTCGGCCATTTTGGCGAGCCTCTACAGAACCCTTTCAACTTGTTGCAAAGGCCTGAAATGCCGGATTCACGGCATGACCTGATATCAATGTCCAATCCCCGCATTATACAAGCGCCTGTTCACATATCAACAACACTAATCGAGTACTGGTTTCGATATATCTGTCCAGTGCGCTCCACGTTCGATTCCGAGGTAAACAATAATCGCTCATTGGCTCGAAACTCATGGGCTACATCTGAGGCCGTCTTCTATACGATGCAAGTCATGTCGGCTGTGTGTCTTGTAGACACTATGCCCCATCTGAGGCAAACCCTACCGTCACTGAGAGAACAATCTACTCTCGCTATTACCCAGGGAATTTCTCGAGTGCGAAACCTAGGACTAGCTCGAGTCACAGCTGATTTGGTCTTTGCTGTATTGGCAATGGGAACTTCATCCCATTGGGTCACTCCTGGAAATTCGGACTATCCGTGGCTGGAATCAGCTAGAGAATTGCTTTCTATGTGGAGTGTTGGGATCTCGACGGCGGATGCTCTGCTACATGCCTATTTCTGTCAAGCTTTGACCTACTGGGAGATGCTTCTCGCATTGGTGGACCGTGGCTCAAACCCCTCAAACGTCGAGAAAAGACGACGGAAGTACCAGGACAGACTTCGTCGGGCCATGTTACCAGAAGCTGATACGTTTGACGCAACATCATATGAGCATTCATCGCTCAGTCAAAGTATCAAGCCACTGGGAACGCTTCCAAACTCTTGGTGTGGCATATCGAACGAGGTCGTTGAGATTTTCGGCCAGGTATTGGCTCTCTGTCGAAGCGCGTGCGATTACAACCAAGATCAGGCAACTATTGGTCGTGACATAGCAAGTAAGGCCCTTTGCGATATAGCAGTCGCGTACGAGCTTGAGAAAGAGCTTTTAAGTATGGACTTTGACACTATCGTGCTTCTGGAAGAGCTGCAAGGCTTTCATGTCGATACACGGGATGATAACACCCCTGTCTCTCATCTGCTAGAGACAGCCGAGGCTTATCGCAAAGCTGGGTTGCTGCAGTTGTACCTAACCTTTGATGATCTTGTCGTCAACACAAGCGGTGGACAAAATGCGTCAACCGGTACCGATAGCGCAGTGGATGAAGCATCTCGAGCAAAATCTCTCGTTGACTTGACTCTGCAGCTCGTGGCTACACTTGAAAGGATTCCAGCTCAATCAGGTTCAAAGTTTATTCACCCTATGTTATATGTTACTGCGGCCGTGGGTCTGAAGTTCCACAGGTACCCCGATTTTCACTGTCCAAGAACACCAGAGGGAGTCAACAATGACCCATCTGATGTCTTCATTTCACAACTGGAATGGAATTTATTTGATCTTACGCCAGAAACATGCTTGCCAGGAAGCTCAGATACGATGACCGCGTTTATTCCGCAGTCTGTCCTCAAGGTTGCCGAAGCGAGACGTCTCGTTTTATCAAGGCTCGACATAATTAGACAAGCTTTGCCGTATAAAGCGAGCGATAGCTTTTCGCGGCTTGTTAAAACTATATGGTCAGAATATGATAAGGCACAATCGGATGCATCAGCGAAGCATTGGTTTAAGGCCTTGAGCCAGATAGGGTTGGATATGCCTTTATAATCTCGGTCTACCTTTTTAATATGACTAAATATACTATACTGTGAGGAAAACGTTCTAAAATACCATACCAGGATCCTCAGACACAGACTTTTACGTCGCCCAGTAGAGGATAAGATAGAAATAAATACTATAATGTATGTTTAAGTTCTACCCTTTTACCTGTAACTATGCGGTCCCTGACTATTAGTAGCCTGGTGGCCTTGGCAGCGCTACCTCAGCTCGTTCTTTCGTCCGCCCTTGAGCGCCGCCAAACGTCTTCCAACACAGCTACAATCGACCTCTTCAAGGGTCGTGGGTCGCCGAAGCACTTGGCTTCTGGTTTTATCTACGGCATTCCTGACTCCGGGTTTGGCCACTCCCCGACCCAGATCCCTGATCACTTTTACTCTGACATGGGCTTTAACTATGCCCGTGCTGGAGGCGCACAGATCAGTGAGGGCGGTTGGATTCCTGGCCTTGAAGCCTATGCCGCGCGATTCAACTCGACCAAGGAGAACTATCTGACCTCTCGCAAGTTCGGTGCGAAGTTCCATATCTTGCCCCACGATATCTAGGGCACTGATCATGCAAAGTAAAGTATTAGTTATATTAGACAAATTAGCAAGATATTATATTTACAATATCCTAGAAAATGCATAGATAATTAGACTAATATCACAGTTCTAGTAATACAGCCACTATTGGCCAGGATTTCAAGAAGTATAACCAGCTTAGCCACGCTATTATTAATAACAAACTCCCTGGTTTAAGGGTTGAGGGAGATAGCCTTATTACTAATACTCTAAAACAGCTACATAGTGACCAAATACTAACGCCGAATTGCCGTGAATTTGGGTAAAATTTACTACTAGGTTCGCATTATGGCCCAATAGTGTGGAGCTTGTGAATCCTTCGGAACCCTGTTATCTTCGTATTTATACTCGGTTACAGCCTATAGACATGGTTAAACAGGCAACCCCTCTTGGCACTTGTCTGGCAACACTTAGAAAGAGAACTCTAGGAGCAAAGGTAGTGGTAAAATATAACTGTATTGCCGTTTAGCTAATGTATTCACATGTACTTTATTATAGCTTATAGGATCTTGGGGATTAGCGTATGTTGATATCTGTCAAACGCACCATTAAGCCATGAAACATGCTGTCAGCCCACCGCGCGTTGATGGATCTCCTGACCCACAGCGTTGCAATCTCCTTCCCTACACGGTCTGCATGCGCGTATTCCGTATAGCCTGTGTTACTCTTCCAGGTTCAAAAATGCATATAAAGCAGCAGACTCTGCGCTTTAAATCCCTCATGGTTAATTGACAAACCAACAACCAACTGTTTGGTAGTCAAACATAGTTCACCATGGTTCTCATTTCTCGCCTACTTCAAGGCCTTGGTGTTGCAGCTTTTGCTGCTACGGCTTCTCAGGGAGCTGCTGTTAACAGTCAATCACTTGCTGAGAGAGCTTCCTCGAGTGATCGTCTGGTGTTCGCCCACTTCATGGTATGCATATCTATCCCTCACGCTCATACTCAATTAACATCATCAGATCGGTATTGTTGGCAACAGACAAAGCTCTGCCGATTATGACAATGATATGAATCGCGCAAAGTCCGCTGGTATTGACGCCTTTGCCCTCAACATCGGCACCGACGATTACACGGACACGCAACTCGACTATGCGTATGACTCTGCCAATCGTAATGGCATGAAGGTTTTCATCTCATTCGACTTTCATTTCTGGTCAGTTAGCGATGCAGCCGCTGTTGGTCAGAAAGTCAAGAAGTATGCCGACCGCCTAGGTCAGCTACGCATTGACAATAGAGTTTTTGTGTCTAGTTTTGCAGGAGATAAGCTTGATGCCAATGCTGTCAGAAGCGCTTCTGGCTCTAATATCTTCTTCGTTCCTAACTTTACTCCTTGGGGAGGCTCTACGAACGGTATTGATGGTGCTTTGAACTGGATGGGTTGGCCGAACGATGGTAATAACAAGGCGCCTAAGGATGGTCAGAGTGTCAGTGTCGCCGATGGTGACAAGAGCTACACGAATTGGCTTGGAAACAAGAAGTACATGGCTCGTAAGTGCCCCTCTTCCACGTAGTAGTGCAGGTGACTAACTCATAACTAGCTGTCTCGCCCTGGTTCTTCACTCACTATGGCCCTGAGGTCGACTGGTCCAAGGTTAGTGACCTCTTGCCATAAAAAGGAATGACGAAAAGACTAACAACATTAGAACTGGGTCTTCCCGAGCGGCTCACTCATCTTCGACCGCTGGAACGAGGTCCTTCAAAAGGGATTTCCTATGGTTGAAATCCTTACCTGGAACGACTATGGCGAGTCTCACTATATCGGGCCTCTCAAAAACAAACACACCGATGATGGAGCATCCAAGTGGTCCAACGATATGCCTCACAACGGTTGGCTTGACCTCTCCAAGCCTTTCATCGCTGCATACAAGAACAAAGACACCAATGTGGCCAAGTATATCGAAGAGGATCAAATTATCTATTGGTACCGCCGTAATCTGAAGGGTCTCAACTGCGATGCTACCGATACGACCTCTGGTAGAGCTCCATCTAAGCCTAATGAGAATTATTTCCAGGGTCGTCCTGATGGATGGCAGTCAATGGAAGACGCTGTCTACGTTGTGACTTTGCTCAAGTCCGCTGGAACAGTCATCATCAAATCAGGAAGCAATACTATCACGAAAGAGGTGCCTGCTGGAGCTACTCTGATCAAGGTCGATGCCAGCCTTGGCAAGCAGACATTCACTCTCAAGCGTGGCAGTACCAACGTCTTGTCCGACACCTCGCTTATGGACATCACGGATGTCTGCCCTTGCGGCTTGTACAACTTCAATGCCTATGTTGGTACCATTGCCGCCGGTTTCTCTGACCCTCTCGACAGTAGTGGTCTCGCGTCTTTGACCGTCGGTCTGCACGTCACGACTTGTCAGCCTAAGCCTTCTCTCGGAACCAACCCAGCTTCTCCGACACAAGGAAATGACCCCCCAACGGTGACTGACGCAGGTAACGGAAAGGCTTGTATCGAGGGTGCTGTAGCTGATGGTCAAAGTGGTAACTATCTTGGTCTCTGTCAATTCACCTGTGGTTACAACTACTGCCCTCCAGCCCAGTGCAAGTGCATTAAGTATGGAACAGCTGTGTCACCTCCGGCCACGAATGGCCGTGAAGGTTGTCCTGCTTCCGGTCTTGGGGACACTTACAAGGGATTGTGCAGCTATACTTGCAACCATGGATATTGTCCTGATACTGCTTGTAGATACTGTTAAGTTAAGGATATAATTGGTGCGTGCCTGTAAGACTGCTGCCAGAGATTATATAAATTCCTGTCATAACTCTTACCTTTTCTAGATGATGTATTTACAAAGACTTCTCCATATACCAATTCTCAAATCTGAGAGTTAGTCCCTCGCGCGAGAGGAATCAGGTCATCCTTTCCAGCCTTCATGTGCATCGTGCAGACAAACGACCACCATGGAAAAGTCCAAACAAGCCAAGCCATAAGCCAAACATATCCAATACATCTCTTCATAACAGAACTCTTCACAAGACCGATAATATCATTCAATCTCTACACCAGGTCCTCAATCATGATACTAGCTACTTGGAAAGTGAAGAACATGATGGCAGAAGATTCATTTAGAGGCATACCAATGGTAAGATCGGGTGCAAGGTGGATTATACCACATATGTAAAAGACGACTAAGTTCTTGGTGTGCCGAGTGATTGGTGACGTCTTGGGGAGGTTCAATATGTTAAATATACCCAACCAACATGATCCGTGAGCTAGGACGGGGAGTCTATGTATAGAGTTAGATGAGCGCAGGGTAAAGGCAGGCCTTAATAATATAATTACTACCTTAACTAAGTAATATAAATACTAATTACCTCTTAGTAATTAAATTAACCTTCTTCCTTTAACCTACTTAAAAGACTACTCCTTAATTAACCTCTATAATATATTATACTTAATTTATATATTATACTTCTAAAGTATATTACCTAATCTGACCTTTCTTATACCTATTAGTTATACTTACTAATATTAATTATAATTATTATTATAATACTTACTATTTATAATAGCTTATAGCTTAATTAAAACTATTATATAACTAATTATAATCTTATTAATATAATTACACTAGACTTAAAGTAAGCTATAAGTAAAAAGTATTATATATTATATATAATAGCTATAGCTATTAAAAAGAACTTCTTATTAAAAGGGAAATTAAATTTAATTAAAATAGTTATTTTTAATTATAACTTAATTTAATTAATTAATTATATAAATCTAAGTTATATAGGAAATATAATATCTTTAGCCTAGATTAAGGAAGAGCTATTTAGAATAAAAAAGCTAAAAAAGGCCTTAAAGTTTAATTAGCCTTTAATAATAAAAAAGATAGCTTTTCTTCTTACCTTTATAGGCTTAAACTTAGCTTAATATAAAAAGTAATTTATTAATATAATTATAAAGGTAGAATAAGTACTTTATATCTTTCTTATTATAAATAAATAATATATAAACTAAGCTAGTTATAATCTTAGATTATAAGAATATAAAAAGTTTTAAAATAAATATAAAGTAAAGGCAGCGTTTAAGAATTATATTAAAGTTAAAATTAAAAGAATTATATATAGCTTTATATAAGTTAATTAAAAAAGTAAAATTAATAAAAAGTAATAATTTAACTTAGGAAATAATTTTATTATACTTATACCTTAGTAATTATTAATAAAATCTCTTAATATATAATAACTCTATATAATTACTAAAAGATATAAGGTATATATAATATAACTACTAGGATTATAATATTAAAGTTAAAGAACTTTAATAAGTAAATAAGATACTTAGCTAGTAGCATAAGGCAAAAAAAAATCCTACTTATAAGATAGAGGGAAAATAACTCTAAAAGAGAGTTAAGATTTACTTAATTAAATAAATACAGATATATAAATAGTAGCCAAATTATTAAGAAGTAATAGTTAAGTAAGGTTAATATAATTAAGTAATTAGTATTATAGTATATATAATAAAACTAGGTAAAATATAAGAATATATTAAAAAGCTATTAAGACCTTTAAGAAAGGAAACAGTAATTAATTTTAATTTATTAAATAGTTTATAATATTTTTATTATAACTTATTTTATAATACTTATATATTTAGTATTAAGACCTAACTTTATAAGAAAAGGTTTTATATATAAAAGCTATATATATAATATAATATATCTTTAGTTTTAACTACTTAATTAAGATAAAATATATTTTATAACAATAAGAAACATCCGAGCTTTTAATTAGTATGCTTACCTAAGCAAAATACGGGGATTTAGCTAACTCTCTATTATAAAGTTTAAATTATAAACTTTAATTTCCTTACTAAGGAAATAATAATAAGGAAGTCACATAACTAGGGTTACGTGACTTACATTTTATATAGATAATATATATATTAAATCTTACCTTATAGTTCTATAATTTATATAATACTAGTTAAAATTTAATATATTAAATAAGGTTTTCTCTTACTAATACATCTTATAGCTAACTAATTATAATAAAAAGCTTATTATTAAAATTACTGAATTTTGGCGACTTTAATAATAGTCTTTATATTAATATATATACTACCCCTCTTTAGGATTACTTATATATATCTATCCTTAATTTAACTAAGAGAACTCTGTCTTAGATTTCTAATAACTTTATTAAGAATTACATAATATATATTATTAAAATAAGAAAAGTTTGCCTTACTTAACAAACCTACTCGTATTATCTACTACCTACCCTATACTGACTTATAATCATTATAACCTTCTATCTAATTATAAAGACTTTAACCTTACCTCTTATTACACTTATCTACCCTATAACCTATATTAAGTTTATAGGCTATTTTATTTAAGCCTTAATATATATAATACTTATGTATTATATATATTATATTATCTATATTATATATCTTCTTCTATCTCTTTTACTTAAGATATATTACTTTATATTATTCTTTTTATATATTACTAAAAGAAAATATATAAAAATATTAACTTTCTAATTAATTTAATTTAATAAAGGAAATAAAGAAAATAATTAATAAGAGGAATATATATATGTATATAAGAAAATTTACTTAGTAATAATAAACATCCTTACCTTACTATATATATAGCTATATTTTCCATTTCTATCTTAACTTCTCCTCTTTTACTTTTCTATATATATTATAATTTGGCAGCCTATGCCTATAAAAAGAGCGTTTTAATAAGTAGAGGTTATCTATATAGATATAACATATCTGCTTTACTAGGAATTTACAAGGGAAATACTAATATTCTATATCGTATTCAGGACAATTAGAGCTTCTTCCCTGCTTGTCCCATTGCCTTACTAACTAGGGCATGTTTGCACTTCTTCTTAGGTTCTATAGTAACTACACTGTATTCCGAGCCTTTTATATTCCCTAATCCCCATGGAAATAGCTCTGTTGAGTCATAACGCAGATCTTGAAGCCTAGAGGGATAGACTTACCATTAACGAGGGTTGTATTCTTGATACCTCAGATCAATGGTAATCAGTGGTGCTCTATCCTTCGTTTCTAGGTTGTTAAGAACAAAATGTCTGAACAGTACATAGCCATAAGTAATACGTTAATATTGGTTAATCGAGAAAAAGATACCAAGAGGCGGCACGACCTAGCTCGCCAAGCAGAGGAGGACACAACCCTGGAGCTACATCTACCGCAATGACAAAACCGAAGCGATTGCCCCGGGCCTTTTTGCCGACCAAAATAACAGTATGTATTGGGATGAAACGAGAGCTATCACCCAGGCGACGGAACTTTCACTCCTCGCTAGGACATAGGGTTCTACATTGCGAAGGGACTGGAACCGATTAGAAATTGATTACAAGTTAGATAGGCTTCTTGGTCTGGAGGAGCGCTCCAATGATGGCTTAGCACTAACCTGCTACTTACGCAGAGCGGCCCAGTGCTTTCATCTTGTTAAGATCGCAAGCACTACTTAGACTTATTCTCTAGTTTATAACTTTTAGGAATATTAGTTACTTTTATAAAAGCTTTCTCTCGTCCTGTAGCCTATATTTTATGTACTTCGTTGCAGGTAAGATGTTATAATCTGAGTAGTTATGTAGCCAGGTCTATTGCTGAGCAAACTAACTATCTTAGCATTACACTGACTTATTTTCTTGACAAGAAGCTAGATGTCTGGACTTATATACCTCCTTATTACTTTTTCTCACTTTTAGTAAACTATAGAATTTATATACCTTAAAATTAACATATTATGAATACCCTGCTTTCCGTTTATATCTTCAAGCTCGATCTCTAAGGCCGTCCTTTAAGATGCCCCAGACTCAAGGATGCGATCCTGTGAGCTTGTCGGGACAATATTATTTTCATCGCCGTGGATATCAATTACTTGATCGTGATGCGCTACAGAATACAACCCTTGATTGTTATTTGAGGTGAATTGCTTGAGGCCACTTCTGGGTGTCTGATTTCGAGAGGATATTATATACGCCTGATCTGCAAACACCAATCTGGACGCGAGCATGTCAATGCTACAAGATAAACGTTAGTAAGCATATGGCAAGAGCATCTATACGGCAGTAATAGGTTCAACTGACAGCATGACGAAAGGGAAGAGGCATTCCATGGTGTAAGCGAATCGGTCTAGTTGGCTTGCTACGTTTGTCGCGCTCTGGGCTGCAGTCTGAAAGGAGTATGTGATAGCCCTCATGACACCAATAACAGCGAGCAGAGCCAGACGAACCTCAGTGCTTCGCATTAAATATCGAAAGAGGCCCACCTCAATGGCTGCTTGTAGGGACGTGGTTTTTGCGGAAGCGAAGACGGTTAGCAGGAAGTATGCGCTGATGCACTCCACCAAGGCGATCGAGGCGAAGTAGCCGATATGAAGATGGTTGATGACTTCCTGATATGGATCACCTCCGTGTAGGATAGATCTAACCCTCATGATGGCGATCATTATTCTGAGGGCTGAGATTATGACCATGATGGTCCAAAATAAACTGGCAAAGACGTGCCAGCGGCGGTTTCGTAGCACGCGGCTCAAGATCACGAAACTATAGAATGAGAGCCCTGCTTCTTGGACCTTTGGTACACAATCCAACGTCAGCCAGAAATGCCCACGTTTTGGATATTTTTCCAGATCAGAAAGACCCCTACCAACCAAAACAAGTCCGCAAATGCCGACGCCACGGCCTTGCCCTTAACGGAGTTCCCTTCGGCGTAGAATGCATAGTAGCACAGCCCATTCGCGATGGCCGCGGCGGCAGATGTTATTAGAGGAACGGCGGATATTTGTGAAAAGTTGGTAATGCTGCAAACGAGGAAGCCAAAGAGGACGTTTCCGATTCCAATGGTGCTCAGGATGGACCAACTTAGCTCAAAGTACAGGGGATTAGGTGAGCTCAACATGGCGGCGTGTAATAGAGCCAGAGCAAGCCACACGGAAAAATAACAAGGCGGTTTAAGAGCAAATGGAAAGATGGGAACATGATGATATGTATGGAAGTTATTTATGTTTTCTCTTAACAGGTCGTAATGTCTGGCACCCCGCAGTCTGTCTAGATTCTGTGTTCTGATGTGCAAATGGTGTGCGGCAAATGCCGAAGGTTGCATGTGGCTGACAGCCTACTCTGTAGAACTACGATTCCTCACTCGTTTATCACTGATCATAATACAAGATTTGTGCCAGCCCTGGAACTTCCCGCAGCGACTATTTGACGCTAGACAGGGCCACCGGGGTCGTAAAGGCCCAGTAAGATACCGCCTGTTTGACTCTGGCTGAACATTAGAATCTACTACTCGGCGATGCCATCTCTTTAGACCCCGTAAGGCTTGGGGAGTTCAATAGCATGTGCTTCGTGCCCTCATTGCCAATCGCTTAGCAAAAATGCGCTTTTCTGATTGATTGATTGAGAAGATGATGTTCTCCACAAGCGTTAGGGCTTCCCAAGAAATATCTCTTCTGCTAGCAACCGGAGCCTTGGCTTCACTAGGAATCAAATATGCCGAGGTGTTATGGGTTGCAGCCAAACGGACGAGCCACGCGCTTCATCACTCGCGTGGCCCGACTCCACTCTTTTATTTATTGGGTGATCTTTTCCTCTCTCCTTACCTAATGCACTATACTAACGGTTTAGACATTTATCTCCTTTTTAAGAACCGGGATATCATGGCTATTGAGCAGCTATTTGCTACTTGTTGGTCGCATTAGTTATTATGGTTTCTTAAGAGCTAATGGAACTGGTTTAGGAAAAGACTGTGTTATGCCCTTTGATGCCATGACCTAATCGCGTTTCGTTGGTTTGAATATCGACTACTTCCGTGCGCCTCTGCGTAAACGCCAGTTCATAAACATGGCAATCCAGGCCCTCCGGCAGTTGAGTGGCGTTAACCTTTTATTTTATATTAGTTCAACTCTTCTTAGTTAATATAATTGTGCATCTAATAAGATTTATTATTGTACTAAGTATTTCTAAGATTCTAGCATCTCCAGCATCTGTCTTTACTTCGGCTATCAATGTAATCCCTACTATCCCTGGTATATATGCTATTAACCGCTGGGGCCGTAGACCTATTCTCCTCTGGGGAGGAGTCGGCATGTGTGCAGCTCATATAACATATTGGTTCGTATTGAAATGCGGGGTAGAGATATCGCCTTGTGCCCCTGTTTTAATTCTTGTCTTCTCTTCTAGTAGCTAATTACTCCATTTTAACCTTGGCAATATTTACGATTCGTTGGGAAATCCGGGAATCCCCCTTATCTTCAGGATTTAGACTGTTAGTCTAAAAGCCCTAGATTTACCCGTTGGCTCGAGCCGGGGGGGGGGGGGGGGGGGGGCCTAACTAAGCAAGCTTAGTTAGGCACAAAACAGTAAGATAGTATAAAAGTATAAGACAACCCCGCTCTGCCGGCTGTCGCGAATTTTATTAATTTTATATATTATTTTAATATAAATCTAAATACTAATTAGTAGAAAGAAGAGAATTTTTATTTAAGTATATTATACTATTGGATCTTAACCTTAAAGCTGCCTAGGCAGTAGTTCTTTTGCAGTAATAACTCTAAAAGGGCATATTTTACAATACTTTTAATAGCCTAAAAAAGGCTTTTACTCTATGCAATGCTAAATGTTAATATCCCGGCTCTAAGAAGTTATCTATTATATATATTATTAAGCGGCTTAAAGCGGCTAAATACCCTAGGTATTATTTATATGCAATTTTACTATAATTATATATATAAATTAGTATATAAGGTTGGCTTATTATTATAAAATTACTTACTGCTAACTTATATTGCTAATTAATTAAAATTTCCTATATATTAGGATTAAGGTAAGCTATTATTAGTTTAAAGTTAAGGTATATATAATTTTAAAAGGATTATTAATAATATTATTTATTACTTAATTATATTATAATATATAAAAGTAGTTTAAGCTTATATGTTAAATAATAAATAAATACATATTCCTTAATAATAAGTATTAAATACTTATTTATAAAAAATATTAAATAGTACTTTAGCCTTATAAATTTATAAAGTATTTCTAATAGATATATTTATTAATAGGAAATAAGTTAAGGAATATTATAAATTATTATATTAGTATAAACTTAGGTAATTTAAATCTTTAATTTAAGTAAGAAATACTATAACAGACCTAAGTAGATATTAAAGACTCTTAAAGCTAAGTAGAATTTAATAGCAAATTTATTATATTAACTATTTAAGTATAACTATTTAAGACAAATTGATATAAAAGAGGTTCTTAAATATAAATAGTTTAAACTTTAACTAATAATATAATATATAATGTTATTTCTAAGTAAAAAGTTATAACTTAAAAATGAGTTTTATTAACCCTTAATATAGTCTATAAGTTCTATATAAAGTTTAGTTATTTATATAAAATGCCTATAATAATATCAGAATTAATTATAATAGTAATACTAATTTATATACTTGCTTTATTTATAATAACCAGAATTCAGGGTGCCTAACCCTGACTTTTAGCAGGTTTGCAAGAATGGCTCCTTTATTAAGAGCTGTATACTCCAAGCTTTGGGCAGTGCTTCCGCTACTTAGTTATTTAAATATTAGTTTTACTTTAAGGTATTATTATACTATTATATATTTCTAAGAATAGCACGGCTATATATAGCTTTTTATTTCTTTGAAATAAGAAGTCTTATTGCAGTATAATATATTTATCACGACTAATATCAATCCAACTTTGTAGGCTTAGTGAATTAATCTCCTTACTTACGTCGAGGATAGATAGAAGACGAGAGAATTCTTGCAAATACGTTCTGGCCCGTTGTGTACGTTGTTTGGTCAGATCGTCTGGACAGGACAGAAGCGAAACAGCAACGTCTCTCACCTTATATACCTGTTGTTCAACCAAGATATAACTCGTCAACATAGGAACCTTAATCTTTAGCATTTTCTTTTACGTGGTTAATAAATAGAAATGTATAGAAAATGCCTGTACTAACTATGGAGATGCCATTCGGCTCTAAACCAGAATGGGACATAGAATGCAAGAAGTGCAGAAGTTGCTCACAGATATATTCTCGTTTATCCCATGACATAGGATCCGGTGCTGGATGAGAGGCACGGGATATAATTGAGGAGTTGATAGATCCTTGTGGAGCTGGGGTAGATGACTGTTCCTTGCTGACGAGCGTATCAATCTCATCAAGTAGCAGTATTTGTAACCACAAGTGTGTAACATGTATATTTGCTCGGATAGCTTCTCGTTGAAAATCAGTCACATCTAGATACTCCTCTGGCACTGTGGAGTGAGCCCTTGGTAGCCATAGTCGATAAGCCGGCGGATCTGTGTCAAGCATATACTTGAGATGATGAAACCGATTCCTGAGAGAAGCAAGCCGCAGCACTGGATCTTTTAGGTGCACACAGTCAGTAAGCTGTTCGGTTGTTGACCTCGGAGGTCTCACAGCGGCTGAGAAAACGCGAGAATGAATGTTGGACCCGGCGGTCAAGGACTTGGCGGCGACATCTTCGGGACAAGGAAGAATGCCGCTGGAGGAGATGAATTCATCATCCACGGGAGTGGGCATAAGGCCCTCAATATCCAAATCACATAAGGTCGTGGGGTCGAGAAACATCAGTTGCTCGTTTTGCAAGTTGTGCATCTGGTGGGGTTACCGCTACAACACGGCTCACTACTCAGCGTCACCGGAAAACGTGAGTCTGGACCCTGATGTACTCAATGGACATAGTCCACTTGTCCCAGAGTCATCTGTAACGACATCACCCGGGAGCTGCATCGCTTTATATCCGACTGACATACTGTTCCCACGAGACCTTGTGCGATTTATTCTCAACGACTACATAACATATGTTTATGCACTGATCCCTGTAATTCATCGGCCAACCTTCGAGCTCGACCTCGACCGGAACCGCGATATACACGACGGGGACTTCCTCACTTTGGTCATTTCCCTCTGCGCCGTCACGGTTGGCCTTTTACACTCCAGATTCCAGACTTATAGGACCTTTTCGAGTCCCCTACCATTCCAAACACGCACAGAGATGGTGGACCACTGTTACAAGCTCAACCAGAGTTTTCGGGACACGAGGTATTTTGACATGATCAGCCATCAGAAGTAGGCAAGCACATATTTACTTGGCGTTACATTTCACCAGACGGGCAATACCAACCTTTAGCGAATACTCGAGATAGAATCAATGCAGCTATTACATCTGTTAGAAGTACAGCACCCTTCGAGTTATGCAGGCCTCGATGCTATAGAGGTCCAGCTCCGAAAAAAGGCATTCTGGTTGATGTTTTACGGTTATGTCCTCCTCGGTTTTGGACCACGGGCTTTTGACGGCAGCAGAAATGTGCGCTGGGAGTCTAGTCTTTTGCAATTGTGGCATCTCGCTCCTGAGTCTGGTGTATATGGAGTATTTGTCCAGCGAATTCCGTCTTCCGTGCCAAAACTGCATTTTCGTTTCCGAATATGGCATGCATCGCATGTCTGGCGCGTGACAATCCCTGTTGAAGAAGTTTTGGCACCATGAAGTGGAGGTACGTTATCGTTTGAGTTGCTAGCCATGATTGCATAACCTTGCTAGCAGATGAGGATGAATTTGTTGCACTGCTGAAAATGGACGAGTCACAGCTAGCTTCTTGTTAACGAGAAAAAGACTGATGTGACATTAACAAATACTGTATCGCCCCTCTTCGGCTTCCATTTCTGCTAGATACCGAACAGAAAACGCAGCCAATGGGAATGTATCGGGAAATCTACGACTGATCTGCTTATCTTAGCACAATTTCCCTTATATCGCGCTAATAGTCCCATATAAATCGTTTTCACTTCAGCTATCTCATCTTGGGTAGATAAAATATGGTCTCTTAAACCTCAATTATAAGCTCAGAGGGCAAATAGCTACTTGTTACATGTTGCAGACTGCAAACTAAGATGGTAGCTTCCCGGACTTGGGGTGACTAATGCTAGCCATCGTCTCATATAGTGTTTATAGGAGGAAACATCATCTTACGAGGTTCGTATTATTAAATAACACATCAGCCATGGCATTGCTAGTCTTATTGCCCTAATACAAAGTATAGAGAACTGCTTAAGTATTATGGATCCAGAGCATACCAACAGATGTTCCCGATTGAACTATCACGGCAGTATTGGGGTTGCTGTAAGAATATTTCAGGCAATAGCATTAATATGGAAACCCATATCTATCGTCATGCGATCCGTGCCGTCGGATTCCTAGTCTCCATTGAATCCGATAAGCAGAGCGACTTGGTCGTCAAATCTGACCAGATCAGCTGCTTCTTCAATAGCTTTTATAGCATCCTGTCGTTTGCAGGCACCAAAACGTAAACCTCTATGCTTGCCGCCTACAGGACTAAACGGTGGTAGCTTGTTTGTCTTTAGCGCAACCCCATTCCGGCTGGAATTCAATAGTCTTGACGAGCCACGAGCTCTTTGCTGCCACTTGCTTCCATGATCCCAGAGCCGAATAGCATCGCTCCTGGATTCTGGTTCTCGATGATGCTGAGCAGAAGTTGATGTACAGCCTGCCAGTGCCTCTGATACCGAGCCTAAAGTCATAAAGGCCGCTTTTATCAGTCGTTAGGATTCCTTTGGCTTGCAAGTACCATGCCGGTGCTAGATCTGGGTGCTTATAATCCAGGAAGAAACGGTTAGAGTCTGTGAGAACGCGCTTGTTTATTGATTTTCTATTTATAGTTGTTATGGGTTCATTATAGGCTCTCCACGCGGAACCTCGTTCTCTTGCTCCGTTCTGAGAACATTACCTAGCTGCGGTAGTAGCTGGTAACATATTGCGCCTTGGATAAACACGGTCTCTTCGCACTGCTTGGCGATGCCTTGATAGGGCGAGATACTCTAGTATGGGAGGCAGTAGGCGCTATCCCTTCCGTAGAAACCATTAATCTTTGCATCAGGTCTAATAACAGCAGTTGTCTTGGATTTGCAAAAGGGAGGACGTTTTTGTTATTCTCGAGGAGGACGATGGATTCGGATGCTACTCGTCGCAGAAGGGCTTGGTCTTTCAAGCGGTTTACCCTTTCTTCTGGTGCATTCTAGGGCACTCCAGAGGCCTTTGTCCAGTTAATGGGCAGCGCTTCAGTGACCTTGTTGAACATGACGGCATAGGGTAATACTCCCCCTCTCTATCTGCTTGGACCAGGCATCTCAAGATCAACGCTAGCCTGGACAGACCCTGTAGTGCTGTAGGTACCGAACCTGGAAATGAAACGAGAGATCAGAGAGGTCATTAATCAGGAGACCTTTGGACCAGCTTACCAATCACTCTTAACGAGCCTATCAGACTGCCATTCGTCTCTCAAAATATTCCGCAGCAGTATATGGCTCTCTGAAACATGAATACCCTTGACCTTGTTGTGTGCTATCGTAATCGTCTGTGGTTTGACTATGGAAATGATACGCATGAATGGTAGTAGGCATATCTCATGCATAGCACGCTGTGTGACTATGACATCAACCGCCATGCGCTCATATTCCATGTCATTGCAGACAGAATGCTTGAGGGTTGCTGTAATGTTTTCCTGCTGGACACTTCGGTCATAGTATCCAGCTAGAGCCCCAGATAGAAACCTGTCTTCAGAAAAGAGATTTGAAGCCACGACCGCCTAATGGGCTCCCCTGTATATCAAGCGTCGGACCAAGAATGTCAACAGTTTCTTTGGCCTTGCAGCTGACTGAACTCGGCCATCAGGGCTGTATCAAACGTCGTACCGAGGGACGTTCGCATGAAAGACATGATGAAGGTATACTGTCGAAGAGTCTTGAGCCTCGTGCGCCGTTCTGTTCATGAGAGTCGAAAGATGGTATTCCGTGCCGTGAGGTAATGGCGTCGTGCGCCAAAAGTCCTTGTCTTTCAATATGTTAATGCAACGAGAACAGAGTTCCCTTTTGGGCAGAATTTGATTTACCTACAATCAGAGTCACCCTCTCGTCCACTGTCAGTTAGGAGAGGGAAGAGGCGCCCATCGACATGCAGCTCGTCTTCTAAATGGACGGCGACATGATAACAACAGTGTTTAACCAAAACTTGATTAGGTGTGGCGTGTGAGGATTTGTGATAGAGAGTGAAAAGAATCAGTATCGATGGCAACCATGTTATCTCCTTTTTACAGCTACGTCAAATGAAATTAGCTATCTGGAGTCCCCATCCGCAAAGAATGAATACATGGTTCAGTCATGGGTCTGAGCTACTCTTATTCCGGCAATTCTCCGCCTTCTCTGCCAACCTTTCTCCATCCGTATCTCCCCGTCCGGCCTTTACCCACCTATTTTTCCACCTATTTCTCCGCAGTGACACTAACTAAAGTTGACCCGGTCTCGGAATCGGCGTAGGTGAGGTAAACATGTCAGCTGCGAATCGCTCCAGATCTGTTTTATCAAGCGCGGAGCTGAATGAACCGCCGCTAATTCAACCCCAGATGATCCTTGTCGCCTCTATTGGGTATTTCCAGTCCCCCGGAATCTTGACCCTGCCTGAACAGCTATCATCCACTAGCCAGGATTCCAAAATAAGAATGTCTATAAGTCGAAGGAGATTCCCTGAGATGGAGATGACTTCAGTTCCAAAACAAAACACTCTTGTAATCATCCATCCATTTGCGCATCAATTCTTCAATTGACGTCTTTGTAAAACACTCACTGCTGACTCGGACATCATGGGTGCCAAAGACACTCCAGTCAAGGCAGACAACACTGTCGATTACCAGTTGGGTTCAATCTTGCCTTCTGATAAACTTTGGTATCGCCAGACCCATCTCCTGAAACTCAACTTTATTATCTTGTCCCTGGTCTTGTTTGGTAAGTTGAATCTACCCCATCTGCCTAATATTTTAGAGTTGACGTAGTGTCGATAGCCTTTGCCAACGGATACGATGGCTCTTTGATAAATGGTCTATAAGCCCTTCCCAAGTGGAACGCTTTCATAGATATGCCTACCGGCGCTTGGCTTGGCTTTATCAATGCTATCTACTAGGCAATGAACGGTGCTGCCTTCTTTATCGCAGCTAGGACGTCTAATAAATATAGCTGCAGGTTAAGTATCTATACAGGCTATGTTTTCCTTGTTACTGGTACTATTCTTTAAATAGCTGCCTTTAACCTGGCTGCCTTTATTGTCGCTTGCCCAGAGGTTTTTGAAGCTTTGGAAATTCTGGTGGATGGGGGCTTCCGCAGAGGATCCGACATTGTCAAGGCTATCTGCCTGGGCGCCTCTGCCATCGGTCTCGGCAGACCATTCATGTATGCTGTCAACTACGGCCAGCAGGGTGTAGAGCACGCCGTGAACAGTAAGTTGCTAATATACCCCTTTCGATCCCCAGCAATGTCTAATATGTGCACAAAATAGTTCTACGCGATGAGATCCAGACTACTATGCGACTATGTGGCATCAGGAATCTGATACAGGATTCAGACCCAACGTGTCTGAATACAACCGAGGTCGATTATTTAGTCTACCAGCCAAACCAGTCGTATGCGAAACGGTGGGACAAGAGACAATCTCGCCTGTAGTTAAGTTACCTTTATAGTTAAAGCTTTTATAAAGTGTTAGTTATGTGTAATTTCCAGAGCTATTATATTAAACTACTAGAAGTGTATTTACTAACCTTATAATTAACTTATAAACTTAATACTGCTATAACCTTCTAATTATCCTAAACCTTCTTTTTATAAATTATTTATATAACCTTTATTTATTAAAGTTTTCCCTTTTTATATTAGTTATTTTATTTATAAATCTTTATTTATATATTAATTAAGGATAACTTATAACCTAAGCTTAATTTATTTTTTAATAAATTTAAACTTCTTTTTTTTTTTTTACCTTTTAGCTAGCTTTTAATAAGGCATTTAAGGTATTACTTTCTTACTTACTAACTTATTTAACCTATAAAAAAAGGTCTTTAATAATAGAAGTTAAAATATAAATACTAAGAATAGCTAATTAAAAGATTAAATAGTTAAAAAGCCTTTTATATTTTTAAATATTAAAAATATCTTAAATTTTATAATTTATAACTTTAATAGTATTAAAGCTAGGTTTATAATTAAAAATTCTTTTAAAATTCTTAATATTATTTAGGTTAAGAGGTAATTAATTAATATATTAATCTTAAAACTAATTAAAGTAAATTATATAAATAAGCTTTCTTTTTAAATAGTATTAATTTATTTTCTTATTATTTTATAAAATTCTTAGTTTTTATAATATAAAGTTAAATAATCTTAATAGATATATTAAAGCTTTTTATACCTCTTAAAGTTTAATAAAAGAGTTATAATTTAGGTTTTCCTCTTATTAATATTTATATTATAGTAATTAGTTAGGCATAATAGGATTCTTAGTTAGGGAGAGCATTAATTATTACACCGGCTCCCTGGTCGCTCTGGTGGCTTTGATAACAAGCTGTTGTTCGTCTGATGCACGCAGGCATGGCTGGCTTTCGGGGCCTGTTTACGAGGCATCAGAGTCAGCATCTGCACCAGCTGCTGTGTCTGCAGTGGGCGTGCAATTCGCCGGGCCGAGGGCTTGCTGGTTCGATTGTGGATCAGTGGAGAAGCCCATGTGTGATTCGTGTGACAAGGTTCGGATGTCATCTACTTGAGCCGGATATAATACTGACATGGTACCCATACGGACGGTAGCATCCGATTCAGTCATACTATGTTTGGTGTCCGTAATACCTATTTTCGAAATGTTAGGTCATGCACCAGAAAGAGTCGTAGTATCGAAAACTTACCCAAATGTTCTACAACGCTAGACCTCATAGGTGTTGTGCAGCATGATTGCGAGTTGTCAAAATCATGGCCCTCGACATCATCCTAATCTCCTGTATCAGAGGAGTCGTCATCAGAGATCCAGATGGCGGCGTCCCTGGATTCTCCAGAAGCCGAGGCGGCCTCTTCATCGCGTAGAGCAGCTTGATGACCAGGGGAGATGAAGTTATGCCGCAAATCCTGCTACTCAGCCTCAGAGGTTGTCGACGCCATGTTGGAATTGCCGAAGAGTTGCAAGTCAAGGGATAAGGGATTGTTCTAGCAGCACGACCAAGCGAAGGATGAGGGTAAATTGTCTGACTTATATGCTCGAAACCGAGCCTTAGAAGCCCTATGGCCATTGTAGCCTAGGCTGGTCGCTTCCTGCTGTCTCCCATTGCTCTCCGAGGCTCGGGCAGTTCTGATGGAGGTGGCAGACATGTACTCTCTTCTCCCTTATATCAATCAATTCACTGCTGGGCCATACCGGCTGGCCAGATAGTTCCATCCTCATATCATCTTCTAGTATATCATCAGTGATCCACACCACCCGCTAGGAAGGCAGAGTTTTCAGAGGTGCCAATTGAGGCAGGTGTTGATGGCTGTTGGGTGCAGACAACCCTGAGGCGTCGTCCAGGCGCTGTACGAACGGTAATGCTCGATCGCTCCCTCGTGATCGTGAAGATGATCCACTTCTGACCACAATGATGTCGACTGGCGGGGGCGAGGGTCTCGGGCAGGCTCGCCAGCACAAATGCATCTGAAGAATAATCCAAAGAACTTGTCAAGTCTGGTCTGGTATTCTTCAATGGTAAGGACGGTAAAGCCACCACCTGCGGAGGAACGTAGATCTGAAATCTGATGTCGCCATACACCGATGACCTCTGAAGCCGTCTCCGGGCGCGTTTAGCGGCAACGTCTTGCTTCGCTTTCCCCTCCCTTGTGTCTTATTTGCGAGGCCGACCATGTTTTCTGGGTGTTTGAGGCATGGCAGACACGACAGAATGTGATGGATAGAAAACAATAGAGTACTGGCCATTACGAATTGAGATGCCCCTGAAATGACTGTTAAATCTTGATTAGGCTGGTTTGATGACCGCAAAAATTGAAGAACTTAGTGTGTGACCGCAACCCGATGGCTTTTTTTAACGCCTGATCACGGTGTATAGAATCCTTGCTACTGTTGGCTGCTTAGGAAGGACACTTCAATGGATCGATAATGAGTGGGATGGCTCGGACCCGCGTATCCATTGCTGCGACGAGGTAATCAGCACCGCCCAACGCTCCCCTTCAGACAATGGCGGTTGCTTCCAAGCCCATTGATCAAGTCGGCCTGTCTCTTTTGACCTGCTGACCCGAGGTATCACGGGTATCGACACTCCTGCCCTAATCGGCCTTTAACCCTGCGATTCCTGATTGGCCAATGCTTGAATGGGGCATGGTAAGCGGAGGAACATCCACAAGCAGCTAGGTCTCTGTTGCCTGTTGATTATTGGGGTCAGGCGTACATAAAGGCGTGGTATTCCAGACTCGCATGGGCACGGATCTAGATCTGAGGTAATATTTACGCTTAAATCCTTCTTTATCTTGACTTCTTTGCCACAAGCCACGAAATGTCCGGCAGCCCATCAACGACAGATGCATCAACGCCAACCGCCAAAACGCCCGCCATCACACACTCCGCGACATTAACAGTTCCGCATTTTACTCCGCCGTCGGGATGCCTCGATCTCGCCAATATCTGGTACGAGGAGGCCCCGTGCTCCTTAAGCACTGGCTGGTTCTTTAAAGCAACAACTAAACCTCAACCGCGGTGCAATTATTTCAACCTTAATCACGGCTTTGAATACAATTCCACGATAATCTCAACAGATACTTGCCTTCCAGGATCCCTTCACGCTGCTACACAATGCCCAGAGTACTACACTCCCGTAGGGACCCGCGTCACGGAACGTGGAACCATGACGAGCCAGGAAATTTTCTGTTGCCCCACGTGAGTATTGCTAGAAATAGTCAGTCTCTGTACGCCCTTGTTGACTCCTGCGAAATACAGAACTTATAACTTCTACTATGACGTGGCTACGTTGACGGACCAAGGAGGCAGTTCTGCTTCTCTGTTCTTCACGGAATGCGTCGCCTCAAGCCCCTCGTTCCCAGGCCGCGCGCCATGGACACTGACCGTCTCCGAGACCGTCTCCGAGTGGGCAGAGGGCAGTATCTTTAAAATGACCAAGACTTCAAGGACGAGAGAATTCGATCCCAAGGATGACGTCCTCCTGGCTCCCGCTGTCACGATATCGTTCGTCATTGACACGGACGGCAAGACATGCGCCCCGGACTGCGAGCATCCTTGGACGGGCGGACTATGGCCAATGCCGCCACCGACATACACAAGCCCGCCATCGGGAAGTGACTCGTCGTATGGGATGCAGGGCCTAGTTGTGTTTATTGGAACCATGTCAGCGGTCGGGTTTGTTATTTTCGTAGCGTTTGGTTGGTGCTGTTTTCGTACCTGGAAAAGGACGAGGATGGAACGAGAGACGTCGTTAGAGTTGGTCCAGTAGGGTTAGACGAGCACTAGTAACTAGATAGATAAACAGATCTATTATACCTAGTAGGCCACTGCCTATAAGGCTTTAAAAACTAAGTATATATATATATTACTAATTAATATTTTAATCTTATAAAGGCTAATAGTATTCCTTATAATATTTAGTAATTAATAAATTAATTTTAATAGGAAATAAAAATATATTAATATAAAATAAGGTAATTAATAGATATATTTTAAAGTAATTAATAAAGTCTAGTTTACTTATAATAAGTAATATATTTTATATAAAAGCTTATAAGTGTTTTAATTTTTATTATTAAATTATAATAAAATACTGTTATTTATAAGTAATATCTTAAATATGATTAATTATTAGACTTAAATATAAATATTAAATTTAATATTTCTTAGTTAATAAAGGTTTAGCACTTTTATAAAACTTAGCCTTTATATTATAAATATATTAATATAAACTTAATATAAATTAATTTATTTTATACGAAATTATAACTATTATATAATAACTGCTAAAAAACTTTTATTAGTAATATTAATAAAGAAAGTCTTACTTTAATTTATAATATTAAAAGCCCTTATTAACTAAGCCTTAATAATACTATATAACTTAGTATTTTCTATTACCTTTAACTTATTTATAATTTTAACATTATATTAAAGTATTTATTTACCTTATTTTTTATAACTGCCTTTCTTAATAATAAAGGCATATTAAACTAATTAATTATTATTATACATTAATTAACTTAATCTTAGTAATTTCTTTTTTATATTTTAATTAATACTTTTTTATAATAAAAGAATTAATTAAAATAAAGGTAATTATAAAAACTATACTTAAAATATATATATAAACCCTTATAAATAGTAGTACTTTTATTATTATACTTCTAATTATAATAAGTATATTATAAATAGTATTTATAGCCCTCCTTAGCTTAATACTTTAAGTTTTAAGGTTTATAATAACTATAAGATATAATAAGAAAACTAATATTTTTAATTAAAATTACTTATATCTTTTAGTTTTATATAGTGTTTAATTTTAAAATTATATAAATATAATAAAGAAATAAATATTTTATAAATTTAAATTAGACTTATTAATATAAGATTAAAATAAAAGAGATAAATATAAGTTTTAAAAATATAACTTAATAAAAAGGAGATATTAATTATAAATCTTATAGTTATATTATATATATTTAATAAATCTTTACTAGGTAAGTAATAACCTATTTTTCTTATATTTTATATTATATTATTAATTTCCTTTTAATAATTTAAGTTATTTTTTATCATCTAATTATACCTTTTTTTTAATAATTTTATATAATGTTTCTTAATTATTTCTTTTAGGTTTTTTATAAAGGCTTTTTATTTTATTAGAAATTATTCTTATAATTCTCTAATAAAGCAATTTTATATAAGTTGTATTTCTTAATTTTATTTTTATTATTAAAGGTAATTATATTAGCTATATTATATATTCTTTTATATATTTTAAGTATTTAAATATATATACCTATATATAAATCTTATATATTATAACCCTAATAATTATATTATATATATATTATATTCTTTTTTAATTATTATAACCCTTATTAAACTTAATTAATATTAAGACTTTATACTTATAATTAATTTATTAAAGTAAATATTTAATTAATATAATTAATATAAAGCTTATTATAATATTATTACTTAAGTATTATTTTACTGTATTTATTATTATTACTTTATCTTATAACCTAATTTAATTTATTATAAACTAGCTAAACTAGTTTTAATTTACTATTCTTTATAGTTTTTTCCTAAATACTAAAACCTTTATTTTTTAATTTAACCTCTTCCCCCTTTTTTCCCTCTTACTTCCCCTCTTTTACCTTATAATTACCTTTATTTCTTATAATAAAATATTTATGCTTTTAATTTAATTAATTAAACCTTGCTTTTTAATTCTTTAAATTATACTAAGTATATAATATTATTACTAGCTAATATAATATTATTAATAAAGGTCTATTACTATAATAATATACTTATACCCGTTTTTAACTAATTAGCTAGGCCTTTTAATACTTTCTTTTAATATTTAATATATTTAATAAGGTAATTATTTTATATAATACCTTTAATTAATATTTAGTAATTAAAGATAATAAGATTAACTTATTAGATTAATTATAATTTATTAATATAAGGTAGGTATTTACTTATAATTTTATAATAATAAAGGTTAAAATATAAGCTTTAGATTCTTATAATATAGATATTATTAATATTAATTAATTAAGTAGTTTTATATTTATTAATTACCTTAACTAAATAATTATAACCAAGTTAATTATTATTAATAATAATTATATAATAATATATTTTAAATAATAAGAGTTATAATTTTAAGCTTATTTTATTATAGAGCTTTATAATTATAATAATAATAATAATTATATTAAGAGGTTAATAATAAAGAGAGAATTTGATTTATTATTAATAAGGGAAATATCTTCTTTATACTTATAAATTAAGGCTATTTATTTAATTAAATCTTAAGGTTTAAGGCAGTAGCTATATAATCTATTAACTTAATATTAAGGTTATTATGTTTTTTTAGTATAGTATATAATACTATATATTATATTTATATTAAAAAAATAAAATACTATTATTATATTACTATATATATAGCTATAGTATTACTCTTCTCTTAATATTTATAAAATAAAAGGTAAAAATTACTTTTAAGTCTTTTATTATTTAATTTTATTATTCTTTTTTATAATAAAATTAAAAGTAAACTCTTAATAGCTTTAAAGCCTTAAGCTAAGTAATTAGTAAAGAAGATTATTACTAATATTATAAATTATATTTTTATTATAGTTTATTATAGAGATAAATACTTTTATAATATATAAAATCTATTATATTTTTATAAGCTAATAAGTTTTAATTTACCTTTTAAAATATCTTATTTTAAAATATAATTACTATTAAGAAAGTAATAATTAGATAATTAAATTAATACTTATAAGATACTTTAATAAAAACTTTAATAAATAATAGTTATTATACTTTATTTAATTTTAAACTTATAATAGTAATCGCGGACTCGCTGCTGCCGCCTCCGGTTTAGCGGCACCGCCCGTTCGGGCAAGGTGCACTCGCCGCCCACCAACCCGACCGTCCATCACGTGACCATCCTCTATATAAGACGGCGACGTCCTCGGCGCCTGTGAACATGTATCTTTGACCTCTCTCTTCTCCCATGCTCCGCCAATTCGTGTTCACCCTTTCTCTTGTTCCTGCAAGCATTACTGCCCTTCAGCCTAGCTCCTCCGCCCATCCTGCCGCGTCATCCTTCTACATTGGAATGAAGTTCTCCTTCCGCCGGGGGGATTGACCGACCATCGCGATGCTTGCATCGTCCCCAATTCCAGATTGCAGACTTGTACTAGACACTGGTCTACGATTCCTGTTCAACCTATTCTCTGACACTATTGCCAACTCTACAATGCGCTTCGCACGGCTCTCCTTCCCGCCTTCATCTCACAGAATCTAACCATGTCAATTGTCTAGAAGTGTACCCTCGGTCGGGCCTCCTCACAGCGTTGCGATGCTTTTCAGGCAGCAGCAGAGCATCTCGCGATTCTTGTGAGGCCTCCAACAGACGCTCGGCCAATGGCAGAAATGCCGCAGTGGCTCATCAATGCCCCCAAGGCATGACGGAGGATGGTGCCATCTCGGGCCCGCCTCCTGAAACTGGCACGGGTGGCTCCAGAGGCCTCTGGCACGAACTTACTCCCCGATTGGTTCTTAGAGCGGGCAGAGCGGGCGAACTGTGTGATCACGAGTCGCTTGACGGCTCCCAAGTCGTCATTCCCCTGTTCAGGGGCTGCCGAGACTACCCGCCGCTTGGGAGGGGCGTTCCCTCGATTTCCGCCTGCCAGCCCCGGGCTCAGCCGTTCCTATCCTGCTTGTGATGGCTCACCAGCCTCAAAAACGGGCGGCAGCCAGCATGTCGAGAGGGGTGATTGGGCAAAGAGGAGGAGACGGGGACGGGCGCACTCCGGCGAGTTGTTGGTGTTGCATGCATGCAACCTCGGTTGTCTCAATGTTGCGGGATCATGAGACGTTTATGACGGCATCTGGAGCTCCTGAGTTCTCTGAATGGTTCAAGTTCGCGGCTGTGACGATCAACATATGCAGGCGCAGCGTCGAGCTCTATCACGGTGAGACAGAAGAGCTAATGCTGCCGGAAACTTCCTACCCCATGCTTTTTGACCAACTGGAGATCACGCGTCGTGCGTGAACAGCCCAACAGCCATCAAGACCTGCCCCATCTGGCATCTCCGAGAACTCTGCCTTACCATCGAGTGGCGTGGATCCCTGATGATGTGCGAGAAGATGAAGCGAGGGGGGAATCATCTGTTCAGCACAGTCGCCTGGTGTGGCCCGGCAGTGGAGTGATTGGCACAAAGGGGAAGCGGTTACGTGTCTGCCTCCTCCATCCGACCCGCCCTGGTCTTGGACAACAAAGGGAGACAGCAGGAAGACACCGGGCTGGGCTCCTGCAGGCTATGGGACTCGTGTGGTTCAGCTGCGAGCATATAAGCTGGACGATGCCCGCCCGTCTTCCGCTTCATCGTACTGCCAGAGCAACCCCCTTATAGCTTGGCTTCCAAACACACGGCAACTCCAATATGACATCGACTACATCTATCACTCTTCCTGCTTCCCCAGCGGCCACTGTATCGCTGTGCAACGAAGACGCCCTCTCGGCTACTGGAGAATCCAAGAACGCTGCCATTTGGATTTCCGATGACGGCTCTGATACGGAAGATGAAGACGACGATGAGGGTCAAGCCTTTGACGATTCGCAATCTTGTGCAACATCTACGTCGATCAGCATCGCAGACCATTTGGGTAAGTACTAGCCATTACTTCTTTTTGGTGATATGTCCTAACCACTGGTGTATAGATAGCACAGGCACCAATCATGGCGCAACGGAACCAGAGGCCGCCCCCAGGGTGGTCGCGGCGCCAACAGTACCGACGGCTCAAGCGGAAGATGCCCTAGCTTCGCCAAATGAGCCACGAGGGCCCCACCGAGCCGACGCTGAACGGATCCAGCAATCTTCTTGTGAGATGAATCACATACTCACCAGAGATATCTCTGCTTGTCAAGATGTCAATTTTGCAAACCCGCCCATCAGCCCCGAAAGCCAGCTATGCCTAGGTGTGGCAGACGGACAACAGCTTCACCCAGTACCTAACAGCGAACCGGGCAACATGACGATCGATGCTATCTCTAACCAAGGGTCTTGTCAGGAGGCCCAGAGTCCTCTGGACTCCCCCTCAGTGTGTACACATTATTCACATACTGCCAGCCCCGTCGAGGTGGCCCAGACGCCACTCCAGGACAGTGAAGCGTTTGTAAGCACTTTGGGCGATGATAGCATGCCTGGAGCCCATACTCCGTCTCCCACAAAGCTGTCACTCGAATCGCATCAAGAGCAAGTCTTGGATGGCGCAAACTGCGGACCCAGCGATGCCGAGTCCGAGGCCTCAGAGGCTGAATCCGGATCCCCATTTGAAGCCCAAGTGTCTCCCCCGTCTCAGGAGTTGCCGTTCCCGCACTGTTCTCGTCGCAGACCCTCACGTGCCCTCGAAATGGTGCAAGATAAGGACAGCGACGTAGACACTGAAGGTTCTGGCAGTGAGGATGGCCTCGACGTTCCAGAATTTGTGCGTGACGAGGACTATTGTCCTTCGCCTCCAACCGATCAAGGACATGGCTCTGGAGACGATTCCGATGACGAGGAACATCATGGTCGCAAGCGTCGCAAGGTATCTCGATCTCCTCATAGCTCAGTTCGCAGTACCCCCACCAGTGCTCGGAGCTCTCGTCTAAGACGATCGACAAGACGTACCGCACAGTTACCGAGAGGGCGTCAAACGTCTGCATGCGGCATTGAGAGTCCAGCACCATCACAGGCAAGACCAGTCCCCTCCGAGGCCAGGACGTTTCTTGCTCGATTCGAGGAATGGCCTCTCAGAGACGTTTCACTGAAGCGCATCACTGAGGGCGACAAGGCGACATTTCAACTGCAGTTTGTATGGACCCCTGATCTAAGTCAGCCGCATGCTGACAGATCCGTATCGCATCCTAAGAAGGGCAGAGGGCCGGCTAAGGCTTCACCTCCAGCTACCAGATCGTCCGGTGGTAAGTGGACGCTGGAAGAGGAGAACAAGGTACGCACGATGAGACAAGATGGCTGTTCTTGGGCCGAGATCCAGCGCGCCCTTCCACATCGTTCCCAGGGCACGATCCAAGTTCGGTACTCGACTAAACTCAAAAGTTGATTCGGTCTAGTGCTGGAGCTCGAGGCTGTTAGAAGTTATTGATATGGTAGAACACTGAGACATAAAAAAAGAAATACAACATTGTTTTATGATTCATCCTGAACTTTGCCGATGCTGGCGTAGGAATGATCGCTAGTGATAGCTCTCCTACGGTCGTCCGTTCACTGGTTGACCTGAGATGGAGGACGCTTGCTCCCTCCATGTCCGTGGTCAGAGCCTCCCGGTACCGCTGAAATGGGGCACAGCGCGTCGCAGGCGCGTTAGGCAACTCCCTAATCGCAGCACTCGTGAGGACGATTGTCAAGGCCCAGGCTCAGGCCACTCGGTCCGGGACTGATCCTAGCGGCCAATGGTAAATCTGGCAGCCGGGAAGTCAAAACATGTTGAGGTACCGATTTTGATCCCCCATGGCCAGCTCGCGGGAGGCAAAAGCTGATGTGTCATCGCGTTTGCACAGACACATTTGGTAGCAGCGATCCACCCAACAGAGTGGTGGTTCCTGGGCAATGGGGCTGGGCCGGAAGAAGCCGCTAAATGTACCGGTCTATCTCGGTCTGGCCAACGGATATGTGACCCACAACTCCAATAAAGTTACCGGTGGCTAAAACCTCAAATCTCGTCCCGGAGGCAGTTCCTCAGAGCTATTTGCGGGGGGGGGCAACTGAATGGCTAGTTTGCACTCTAGGATAGTTGTATTGAATTGACCTTGCCCTAATATCAACGAATAGGATGTTGCTTAGAACGTATTGTCCGAGTTTGTACTTCGTACAATCTAGCCCCTGAGTGCTCCCAGGGTCATCCCTGTCCGCAACGTGCGGCCCATCGGCATAGGGAGCAGCTGTTCTAGCCAAATTGCAGTAGCGCCGTGCACATATCAGGGGCTCCTGCGATGGCTTAAGTGACCCTAACATTGAGGTTGTTCTACTTTATTCTCGCTGACCGCCCTTTGCAGCTGTACAGAAATTGTAAGAGGTTTGGTAGCATTATGCGAGTTCTAAAGTATATCAACTGCCTCTATGAACTTTCTCTCTTTCACATGCTAAATCTTGGAATCGATGGCACGGCTGTCGGCCCTTGGATCGTCCAATAAAGCCCAAGCCGGATAACGGTTTGATCTATTCGATGATATTAATAAGACTCGCATAATAGTCTCTTTGGCAATAAAAATATCGACGTCATGTCCATGCAATATCCAAGCTACGAACGATCGGTCTTCGTAGTCGAGCAAAGCATGCGGGGCACCATTGGAGCTCTGAGATTCCTTTGTGGCGACCTCCATTTTGGTGGCTTCCCAACTTGTACCGAGACCGCCGGCACCTCTAATGTTTGTTCGCCTTACTTTAGATTATCCCATCAATTGTCTAAAGGATCCGACGCGGTCACTCGCAGGGATTCAATCCAATTACAGCCACGCTATTAGGCTATACCTCTTTCAGCACGGATTTTTCCCCAACCACCGAGTCATCAAGCCATAAGATCATAACAGATAGGCACGCTATCGCCGCTTAATAAACCCTGTAGCAGATACTATCATAACACTGGGGCAAATTGCTTCCAGGAGCCTTCGGCAATTGATGGGATAGGCTGGAAGACGTCCACGTTATTGCACGATGCTTGGGTTTACAGGACCGACAATTGGCCGCTGCTGGCTGCGGAAGTAAAGAGCAAGCTCTGCGAGACGACCGTGGATAGGGATCGGAGTCAGCCTTGATAAATGATGAGCCATGCAGATGTGATACCCTAATCGTTGCCCTATCCCAACAGTGGTCTTAAGGCTCCAAGCCGTACCTTGCCCCAGTGTTACGTCGTTAACAGCTAGCGCCTGCTATGGGGGGCCTCAGGGAGCGTGACTGATAAGGCCATATTACTCATCTACTTGCTTCCTGGGCAGATTATAGTAATGGGCAAAGGTATCGTCGCTATCGAGAGCTGTGATTGGTCTGTACCCCTCGTCGTGACCTGCTTGGAGCCTTAAGACCACTGTTGGGATACAAAGCAGCTCTGTGTTGGCTCAAATTCCGCCCGCTATGGGGTGGTGGGGCGCAGAATGATGGTGACGAGCTGACGGAGAGGCGGCTTTGCATCCTCAGACTCCGGGACATTGGCTGCCGGATGTCGGCACCTACGGGGGACAAACATCTAATGAGGCCAGACCACCTCTACGACAACGTGTGGTTGCATGTCGCTTGATTGCCGTGGCCACTAATAATGCCTCCCTTCAGTTCACGGGTGCTCGATTTCGCTTAGTCTCAATAACCTCAAAAGTTTTCTTCCCCGTTCATCCCTCTTATGGTCAGATGAATTGCCTGTCGATCCCCTACGCTTCCTTCGTCTCTCCCAAGCTCATAGTCCCTACGTATACATTTCGGCTCACAATTAACGTTACAACGAAGCATAGCATATATCTATGCAGAACGCCAACCACATATTCTCATCACTGTAGAGAATTTGGGCGCTCAGACGCCGGCACAACTCAGTTCGTCGTATCTCTCATGTGTTCCAGCTTGCCTTCCGTGAATGGTTCTACCCCCGGACGATGGTTGCCGCAGGTCCCAAACTCTATCGCCAGCCATAGGTAATGTGCATCCCATTCGAAGCGCAAACTTTCTTCTACGAGTAAATATTCTACCGGTAGGGTTCTGCCGGAACCCCTTACCGACGCCCCCCTGCTAGGTAGCGGCGGTTGCCACAATATTCTCCTTGGCCAATGGGGACACTAGCGCCTAAGCCCTGCGTGATTACCAGTACTTCCGGATGTGGGGTAGATGGAGAGAGAAGTGATGATTTCCATGCTATGGAAACAGGATAATATTTGCAATGTTTGTAGCTCTGACGATGACGCTATGGAGCCAGTATCCCTACATGGCTATACATTAGTTATCAATACGTATAATGACTGTGTGCAAAACGGAACTTACGACTGTGGAAACGTATGGCTCCCAATAGCTGGCCGCTAGGAGGCGGAAATCGGCATGAGTAGTGCTTAACCGCCCAAGCGGCTCTTGCCGTTGTCTCGAGCAGCACTTCTCTGGTTTTGATTGGATCTGCCGATACGAGTTAATTTAGCCCCCACCAGGAAGTGGGCCGCGTTATGCACTCTGGGACCTCTTGACAAAACATGCAGAAAATTCCAAGGTCGGCGGTGAATTAAGTTGATCGGAAAAGAGTGTGTTTATCTTTTAAGTCTCTAAGTTTGTGCAAGCCTAACCTAATACGACCGACATTACGAATCTTCTGTCATTTGCCTTCACATGTCAACGGAACTAACCCTCTGCAATAAAAAGCCATCTCTTTCGCGATGATGACTCCTAAAGTTGCGTTGTATGCACTATTTTTTTATGACGTGTGCCGCATAGATATTAAATTAGCCTAGCTTTGGTGGAGAATGAGCTGGAGATTCTGTTGCCACAATTTGAAGCTGTGATAATGACCGAGGCGAAACGCCTGAAAACTCTATAGATGGCAAGCCTCTGACATGTTGAGTACGTGGCCCAGTTACATGCACAGGCAGTGAGGGACGTTAGTTAAGAAGCATAACCATGCTCCAACTTAGAAACTTGCTCGCGAAACGTATTATGGCCTACCATGCATAAACTTCTCTCCGCCGATATGTTCTTGATTGTCGACTTCAACTTTCTGGTGGCTTGGATAAGAAGGCCTAGAGTGGGTCTAGCCTAGATTTGACGACAAAATGACGGAAACCATTTTCTTGGAAGGCCGGGTAGCATCATAGAGTGGGATGCTAGAAGAAGGTAAGTTTATATTTTTAGAGAGCCCAGTTGCTTATAAAAATGGCCTCCTTGACTGCTCATTCTTGAACGAGTTCCGTTTGTAAACAGCAATCATCAATTCTTTAGTTGTTGAAACTGAGCAATATTAATCGAAGTCATTGTTACACCCCAAATATTATCGAAAAATGCAGTTCAAGAACTTCCTTGTCATCCTTGCAGCTATTACTGGGGCATCTGCTACTTGCACGGGAACGTCAAGCTGCCAGAAAACATGTAGCTGCACTTGCACGGGCACCACTTTGACCACTAATGGCGCGTCTGGTTGTTCGCTAGGGTCAGTCGGGGGTCAGGGGATTTCTTGTCCTTCAGGCTCGGGAACCACAACCAGCACCGTGGCTTGTGACCAAGACTGTCCTGATTGCAACTGCCCGAATACACCCACCTGTCGCAACCCAACTCAGGGTTGTCAAAACACCATCTCGAGATGCAATGTTCAGTGTACTTGTCCGTCGTAATCGTGGTAGGTATTCAAGAATTTATACTCAGATCCCATTCTGAATATTACTAACATATCCAAGCCTTTCTTTTCAAACCAACTCCTTCCCGGCCCCGGGGAGTAACCCAAAACCAGGGTGAGGGAGGGAGGAATGCAAGGAAGATTTGTTACAGGTGGATATTGGGGGAATTGGACAGGTTCGAGGCCTTTCAATCCGTGCAACTATCAATTGCTGTGTCAGGGGCCAAAGCCGCCTAACCGGCTTGGCCAAGGAGATCTAAATCGCAGTTCAACCTCGCGTTAATAGTTAGTCATTATTATAGCTATCAATTCAGTTTTTCGAGTCCTCCTAGCCAAGGAGGTACCAGTCAGTTATTTCTTCTATTTTGCAAAATGCCCCGTCACATCGTATCACTAAGTCTGCTCTGACACACGGGCTGCCTGACCAAGGATCAAACTTGGATGAAAGAGATAGTGAGGAAAACCCCGTCACAGCTAATGAATACGACTCTATCCAAAGAAGAAATAAAACAGACCAACTTTCAGTCATTCATTTAGTTAGACAGGCGACGGCGGCTTCGGGAGCGGCATGTACCGCGCCTTCCTCAATGCCTCACTTGATGGACGCTGCCTTCTGCGTCCGGTCCGGTCCTTCCTGGACCAACTGCTGCATTTGGCGACATCTTGTCTCCCGAGTCCTTCCTATCTTGTTTTCTGTTGGTTCGGAGGTAATGGAGCTCGAGTCGTTTCGGTGGAGTTCGGCTGATAAGATCCTCTCGTACGCTTCGACCAGTTTGGGCTCGCTGGCTTTGAGCTCGTCGTAGGCCTGGTTCCAAAGTCGCTCTTGTAGAGTCGGCAGCGGCGAGGTGTCGGAATCCGTCGAGGTAGGTGGAGAAGGCGTTGGCTGAGATGTCGGTCGAGTGGTTGGTTGGGATGCAGGCCGAGACGGTGTTGGCGAAGGTGTTTGTGGTGAAGGAGCCAAGGCAGATTCCTGGGGAGCGGCCGGCCGTAGCTTTCTGATCTTGGGTTTAACTTTCTTAAACCAGCGACGCGCCATCTTCACTGAGAAGAGGGCACGTTGGCCTTGTGCGATATGACGGTATCAGCGAGATGGCTTCTCCTCCGATCCATGGGTCGGGACGACGATGGATTGTCATCATTGACGACATGGGACAGCAACATCTTTGCGGGAGAGAGCGGCCGAGCCAGGAGTGGAGTTCCCGTCGCGTCTCGGCTCCGTGGACGTTAGCTCAGCTTGGGAAGTCTGGACGATGCACCTCACCTCTAACTTCACCTTCGATCCGAGCGAGGATCCGTCGTATCTCGGCAGGCCCCTAGTCTCGTCAGACGACAGCCACGTTTCAATCTTCTAGAGTCCATGCCTTGTCCGAGCGTATCGGTGCATCCTGGGTCCGGCTTGTGTGTCGGTCGTGTACTCTCCCCAGTAGTCGGGGGCACCAGGTTGTGCAGTTCTTGAACCAGCTTTTCGAATAATTCGACCTGTTCAACGCGCCCTCTTTTGCCCCAGAGTGCCCAGGACATCTTCCCTCGTCTCGACCGGGACGCCGCAGCGAAGGGGAGCCCCGGCTCGTGCAAGCCCGACGAGTCATTGACGTCTGGCCCGGTGGCCCGAGTACGGCGTTGGGGCGCGTTGCTCGCATCGCAAATAGCCTTGATGATTATATATAGCAAGTCCGTCACCACCGCGGACGTGTCGTTGTCGTCTAGGGCAGGGTGATGATTGGGGAGCAGATTGCCTTGCTTGATCCCTACACCCGGGCCCCATCGTTCGAAGCGGGTTTTGGCAGCCTTGAATCGAGTAACTAGAACGTGCGAGTCAGTTCCGAATGTTTGGTAGGATTGTACCTTGTCAACGGCTTCCAGGCAGGAGTTGAATAGCCCAGCGAGCCCAGCGACCCCAATGACGAGGCCGGCGGGCTCCATGGCGAGGTGTCGTTGATCTGACAGGTCTGAGCTGGTGAGGGGTTCCTTGCCTTATAACCGACCCTCAACCACCCCTGCCCGAGTGCTTCCAGCAGGGTGCGACAGCCTTGTCGTATTTTTGTGTCCACCGTGGTCAGGGCCCGCCCACCTCAGGCCGCGTCCAGGCAGAAGGTTCAGAAGTCGTTGGTCGTACGCAACTGATCTGAAGCAGAAATGCCTTGTAGTCACGCAAATGGGTTTGCCCTGACTCTCTAGATGCCTTGATCACTACGCTGCCTAACCGCTGACACTACATATGCGAACTGAGCCTCGTCTTCTTTCCGCTACGATGCAATGGGGAGTCTGAGAGCGCCAAGAGCGGCATCGAGATCTGTCTTATCTTTGTCTTGACCCTTGCGCTGCCACTGTAAGTATGCCGACGCCTGGGGCCCGGCTGACAAGAGACGACTTGCCCCTCGTTGTGGGGGCCAACAGCGATAATGTTCGTGGAACTATGGTTCGTTGAAGGAAAGCGCTGAGGAGAGAGGGGATCCGTCAACAGGTACCACGGTGGATGCCTAACGAGGCTGTGGCGTGGCGGAGTCGCGCTTGGCTTCCTGCCGAGGACACAAACGCCTTTGTGCATTTCGTAATGATCGGTCCATCAAAGCCCTTGTATCCCCACAAAACACGAGACGGCCTATTGGATAAGGCTCAAGGCCTCTAATCAATTAGAATTTGTTGAGTACGTACGTTACTGGCAGCAGCTGTTACTAAAGAGGAGCAGATACAAGGCTTAAATTCCACAAGGGCGCTTCGCTTGCTCCCATCCATATCCGTGGCCAATGCCTCCTACTGCCCGCGAAAATCGGCTTTAGCGCGTCGCGGACGCGTTAGGTCATTCGATAATCGGCGAGCACCTGAAGTGTGCATGCAAGGCACGATTATCAAGGCCCATCCTCAGATTAGTGGGCAAGGAACGGGCCGCGCGCCCCCGCTGACCCTAGCGACAATTAACCACGATCTCGGCAACGGGTGGATCAGCAAGATCAATTAGCTCAGATATTAAGGATAGTAATATAAGCAGACGTCGGCACGCAATAACTAAATCCACCACCAAACCATCAGTGAATAGAATACAAAACCAAATTTGAAAATGGAGCTTAAAAGTGCCAGCAAGTGACTGTTCCCAAACCCGTTGGGCAACCCCGGAGCATAATACCATCGCACTAAACCGAACTAAACTGAGCTAGCTTTCGCGTATCGCATCTGTATTTCGCGTAGCTCCTTCTATGAACTTGTATTGCTAACAAGCCTAGAAGCGATTATATCCAGGGCTTGAGATATCAACGGTAGGGGAAGCCTGGCGCTACCCCGGAGAATAGTGAAGGGTAGAGCGCGTGTAAGAGGACGTTGGCCGGGATATGCCGTGAATGAGAGATGATTTCGAGTCCGGCAAAGCATTCGAGGTTAGCGTGATACCCGAGCGTCCGTCCACGGACGGAGGGTTCGGTCTGTCTTGTTGCTTCCAGTACCTGCCTTGAGCATTGTTTTTGGGCCAAAATCCAGCGCACCCTTCCGCATTATTCCCAGGGTTTAACTTAGACAAAGCCGACGAGAGATCAACGGCATCAGCTAGCTGTATAGAACTTGACTTATATGAAGAAACATGTGTATTTTATGTGGTATGTAGAACGGGGTGCCATTCGACGGTCCCGTGTTTCGTCCGGCAGTGACGAATCCCCCAGCAGCGCAAGACATATACCTGTTGCAGACTTTTACTGCCATCTCCTTTCACTTTTCTCTGAGTAGTGCGTGAGATATTCCACCTACACTGACGAGTCAATGTCTTGTTTGTTGCCAGAATGTTCAACTGATCGTACAGAATCAGGAGGGAGGGTTACGCGGGAACGGATTGATGTTCGTTCGTTGAGGTCCGGCGAACTCTCGGGCGGAGGTTCATTCATACTGCATGAGCCGCCCATTGGTGTGAGCTCAATCTGTGAGGCACTGGTTGTAGCAGGCTCGTTGCTAGAGCTCTCAGGAAGTCGGTAGGCTACCGTTGTGATTACCATGAAGAGTACCCATTGGAGAGTCATCTGGCTCCGAAAGTACCCGAGAGTTGACAGTGGAAGTAAAAGTGCAGAGACAAGGAGAGTGATCAAGCCCAAACCCAACAGATGATCAGCCGTATGCTTCTGTATCCTGTTTCGGAATATGCCTCGAGACGATGCCCAGATTACACCCATAGCCGCAGCTTGTGAAGTGAAGGGTAAGATATATGCCAGCTCGACGGGGGTTGGGACTTGTGGAATCAATGTTATTATCAAAATCAAAGCAAATTCAACACACACAAGTGCTGCAGCCGATTTCCACCATATCTCGTTCCCTAGGACTGCGAATGTATAGATGATCGTGATAATCTATGTTGTGATCTTAGAGCGTGCAACAATTATCTTACAGACTTTGACTGACCTGGATGACTTGTCTTCGTGACGAATGGCGATAGTTCACGGGTACCCATGATGAATCCCGATGTTGTTGCCAGTTTATTCTCCTCTTGACATAGTTCCGTGTATTGTCTGGGCATGCATCTACCGATGCATCATGTTCCAAAGTCTCGTTGCACAGGCGGCAAGGCAGCTTTTCATCGCCCCGCAGACGGTGTTGCTTGAAATACTTGCTCAACGATTCTTTAGTGTTTGCTTTCGGGAATTTATTTTTGTCTATCATGACCGAAGAGTGGCGACAGGAGCCCTATCAGTACATTGCTAAAGTCACCACAAGTCTACTAGCGGGTATTTGAATTGTCAATCACACCTATTCTTGTTTTCCTGACACTTGGAGATGGTGGCATAGAGCGTGTGCGTGTCAGGGTGTTAGCCCATGTATCGCCTCAGCGTGATTTTGCAGGTGCATCTTGTGAAAGTATTCTTCGTCTGACCGGCTCACATTGAGGTGAGGTGCAGGCTCAGAAATGGCGTGGCAGACTCGGCTCCAGACCATCAGTAAGGGCTGTACTCAAAAAACAGACGGTGTTGGAACATAGGCACCCGTAGGCAGCAGCAGACAGCAAGAACTATATCTAGGAAGAAGCCTCAGAGTCTAGAGTTAAGCTACGGTTTAGGGGACGTTCGAAACCTGCGACTTAGAAAACACTTCTAGACCATCGATCAGTCAATTGACCCATCTGTTGCGCCACCCCGGAATAGCGCAGCCGTGCTTATGATCTCGTGACTTCTAGCAGACGGTGACTCGTCCCTCCGTTTCTCCTTGACTTCCCGGACATTTGGGGCATGCAATCCACAAACCAGCTTATTGTATTTGACTTGGTACTTGCTAGCAGTTTGGTACATATATATGCCGGCTCACGACCCTTGATGGCTGGTTTGTGCCCCCTCTAACTCCCCCCCATCCCACAACATCGGCTATCCGTCCAGATCTACAGGCCCCGCAGCCACAGATCCGGCAGCCGGATCCCTCATGCAGTAGTCAAAGTTTCCGTCTGAGTTATTGCCCCAATACTTGGGAAACTTGACCTCCGGACCCACACCGCCTAGAACTGTATAAGTGAGGATGAATACCAGGATCTGCGTGCCGCCATCGAGAGCCGCAGACAGGACGTAGTTGTACTTTACGAACCAGTTTGGCTTCCAACGGCGTAGCCAGAACTGACTTGCAAAGCCGATGATAAAGTAAGTGAGCATCGAGGACGAGATACCAACACTGAGAAACCCTGCATATGCAAGAATGATAGGGGTATTGACCTTTGAGAAGCCGATAGTCGGGTATGCTCGGTCCAGAGTGTGGAATAGGAGCGGGGGCAAAAAGCCAAGTAGCAATCCGATTGGTATAAGTTCATAGCGAGAGCCTGGCGAGAACATCTCTTTTGCTAACGCGCCCCATGCTATGGCCTGCGAGTCTAGCCGTCAGCTTCTAATGGCTATTGTAATGCAGATAGGGCAAACATACTTGAGAATTAAATTGCTGGATATTCTGACCAGACCAAACGTTGGTACCTTGAATGGACAATAGAATGTCCCTCTGATTGGTGGTAATCTCAACCATCATGATGTAGTTGATTATTCCGCCAATCAAAGTTCCAGCGAGCTGCGTTGAGAAAGTGGCTTTTGGCGGCAGCTTCGCGTACTGTCCGAACTTCAAGTCTTGCACCATGCTAATGCCCTGGATGACAGAATTGTAGCCGAATAGGGTGAAATACATGTTCGCTAACGGCTGGCCGGGATGAAGATACCCTCCGATCATCTGTACAATCGGCTGGACATTTCCCTGAAATCCAGTGAGCGCGACCTGTGCACCGAAAAAGAGTATGAAAGTACCAGTCACGGCGATGCTGGTCAAGAAACCATACCATGGCAGCGTGGACTGAGCCGTGTAGATTGCAATGATACCCATGATTACTGACAGGAGAAGTATTAGAGTGTACCACCAGCTAGGGCATTCTGGATATGCGAGCATTAGACGGTAATGAGGATCTTTCTCCTTGTCAGATCCGGGGTCCCGGTTGCTCCTCAAGCTCCAAGACAGCGGAGAGAACAGTCTTCGAAGAGAACTCGGTGAAAGGAAAGAATAACCCATCTTGATGTCCTCCCAATTCCATAGCAGGAGGTGACTTATTGTTGCCGAGACTGCGAGGTTCGTGGTAAACAGAAACATCGCGTAGGTGCCTGCAAAAAAAGGAATCCCTTCCTCTTCAAGCGCCGATGGCAGGAGTACGTTTTTATCGTCAAGAATCTTTGTCTGGTTGTAGATGACATAATTTGAGGAGGTAGAATCGCGAGAGAAGAGTAGCTGAGACAGGAATGGAAACTTCTGCGCATCCCAGGTGTTGCCATAGTACACGCATAAGAAGAGGGCAATGCAGAGTAAATATCCAGCTAAGCTGTTTCCTAGAGTCAGGAGAGGAGTCCATAACGGTTTACTAGAAATAAGCTGCCAGTCTAATCCTAGGGAAAGGATTCCGAGACCTTCGTTGCCGTTTGACCCGCCGAAAACGTTGGTGAAAACCATACTGTCCCGCCTTCCCAAACAAAATATGCTGACTCCGGTCAAAATTGGCATGATATATTCTGGAAGTAATTCCCAGAAGAAGATAGCAACGAGAACTATCCAAAAGAATCGCAGGCGTTTCCTAGTCTCATTCCTATCGCGGTGGAGTGTTTCGAGTAATGTGTTCATTGGTAGGAGGGCTGGCCATACCATCTTGGTTGGATACACCAAGGCTCGGCGGAGGAGGCCAGCGAAACCGTAGCCCACACATTGTGAGGAGACAACAACGAGGATGGAGACCAGAGCATTGGGAGCCGTATCATAGAACAGTCTTTGGACAGCAATGACTTCCACTGCCAGCGCGGCCTGTGCGGCTGATGAGGCTAATACGACGATGGCGGCATGCTCCTTCATGTTAAATGGGTGAGGATTAAGCCATCGGCCCAGAAAGCCCTTCCTCGGAATAGCCCACTCGAAAACGGTGCCAAGAATATAGCCCACGAGGGCCAAGAAAACGTTGGACACGTCTAAGGTAACCGGGCGAAAGAAATATATCGTTTCCATAATAGCGCCGAATATTCCAAGTCCGATCCCTTCACAGGTCTTATTAGCCCGCATTTCCGAAGACATATCGTAGGAATGATATTTTCCACTCACCAATAAACCACATTCGGAACGTCCATGGATTTAAAGACAGGTCATCGTCAGCATGCAGTACCTTAGTTACGAAGTCTTCGACACTCTCGATGGAGTCCGGTCGAGAAGACAACCGGCTCCGAGGCTCGATGAACTTCTCCCCGACGGGCGTCAGAGGCGCCTTTTCGGAGTCATCGGTGAAGCCCAACCGACTCGGCGTGATTCGGAAACTGCCTCGTTTTGTTGGCTCCGCCGATGGGACCTGGAGAGAAACCATATTGACGCGACAAGTTCATGAACGTTTTGAAATGACGAACCTAAGAACTGGCAGCGCCTGCGCTGCAGAATGGCCGACGTGCGACTGAGAGAGAAAAGAAAAAGAAAGAAAAAAAAGGGGAAAAAAGGAAAAGAAAAAAACCACAAAAGGAAACAAGGAAATGCTTGCTACCAGCGCAATAAAGAAAACAATACTGACCAAGACACCTCATGAGTCCGGCATGAATGATCATATTTAATGCTCACAGGCCTCTTTTGATTTCCCTTTGCAAGAGGCGTTGAGACTCGAGACTGTCCAAGAATAGTGTTTCGGGCTTTTCGGATCTCCAAGTTTGAAACCTCTCAGACACCTAGGTAGTTCCACTTCTATCGTCATTCTAACACACGGCATCAATGTCGGGGTGAGATACTAATATTAGATCTTGGCGAAACAGATCTGCCTTAAGGTTGCGGGGTAAAGAAGCTCTGAGTCCCTACACGATGGTTAAGAACAAATAACATGGCGAAACAGGGTCTGCATGCATCAACAGGACGGCGGCACTCCTGGTCATCCTTAACCTGTTTCATAGGGCAGCCACCGACTGCTTCCACGGCAACTACGGCAATTACGGCACATTTGAAACATCTCGAGAACCGTTTACTAGCTTGACTTAGCAGCAAAGACAAAAATAGTTCTTACTGCATATTAACCCAACTATAATAATATGGTGGGTATCGAGCTCTCGAAGAGTACATCAAATTGAACACAGGTCATCAACATCGAGCCACTCTAACACTACTTCATACTTCTTACTCTCAGTCAGAATATCTATCGTCTACCCTTTAATCGTCATTTCATTCCAGTTTTATAATGGCACAAGCCGACGTGGTGGCTTATAACATTGCGGCATTCCTGGCCACCTTGTTCCTCCTTGAATTTGGTGCCGATAAATTCATCGATCACACTGCTGTCATTGCGCGCCGCACTGGAGTGTCCGAGACCGTTATTGGGCTCATCACAGCTGGCGGCGAGTGGGAAGAGGTAGGTACAACCAACCTGTGAAGAAGATACCTCCCCTAACAGAGCGCAGCTTGCTGTGGTTGTCGCCTCCCTGGCACGCGGTCGCTCGTCTCTTGCCATTGGCAATATTATCGGCGCCGCCATCTCCAACATTCTAGGGGCATTTTCCCTCGGCCTTGTATTCTATGAAAGAGGAAAGCCGATTGAATTTGATAGAAGTTCACGGATTTACTCTCTCTTTCTACTCATTCTCACAACCTTTGTAACACCAGTTGCCTATTTTTCAAAATATAGAATTTGGTTAGTTTGCGGATCCCTCCTCGTCGCCATATTCACCATCTATCTGCTGGCCGCCGGGGTAGCAATTGGCAAGGGAGTCCTTACGCCACCAGAGGACTCGGATGATGATAGTGACGACAACGTCTCTGACGCATCGAGCGCCATGAGTGTATCCGGAGCTGGGGACCAGGACCAGATCACTGTTGCGACAAACACCAGATCGGATGCACAAACTGACGGTGATAAGGTTCAGCCGAGCGCTGATTCGCTACCAACTTCATCATTATCATCAGGATCACCAGAGCCGAGACCGAGTAGGAAGCAGCGTCGACTCCGATACCACGTGTTCTATCTCCTCGTTGGCTTCCTCTCTATCTGCCTGGCAGGCTATGTTCTTTCCCAAGCCGCTACTAATATTACAGATCAATTTGGCATTTCCGATGTCCTTTTTGGTGTTATAATCCTTGCAATTGCTACAACACTTCCAGAAAAGTTTGTCGCAGTTATGAGTGGCCATCGCGGACACCCAGGCATTCTGGTTGCGAATTGCGTTGGAAGCAATGTCTTCCTTCTCGCTCTTTGTGTCAGCATTATTATGCTTAGTAGCAGAGGCACGTTGGATGCGGGCAATGTCACTATTGCAGAGCTGGTCGTCTTGTGGACCTCCACCCTCGCTGTGACGTTGACCGTCTGGTTTGGGGGCCGGTTCTGTCGTTGGATCGGCGTGTTGATGCTAGCCAGCTATGTCGTTTTCATTGTGCTGGAATTCACTATTATTCACCGAGTCGCGGACTAGGCAGACACCGAATTCAGAACATGCGCCGTGTTCTTGATGTGGGCTCGGATAGCCGAATTGCATTGGCGCATCCCAGCCAACTTCCGAACAGAACAGCAGGGTGCAAGGCAGATTGATTTTGCGTGTCCCCATTCTTTTTACATCACACACCGCTAGCTGGCTTGAGCATGTGGGGCTGAAATAGGGTGAACAGCTAAGCCTAAATCCATATTTATTAGTGCCTGACAATTTGAGACTGTGCCCATTATATCAGCTGCTAGTGAAGAGGATAGCAATTAAATTTGATTGGTCAAATACCTTATTATTTTTTTTATCTTAATTCTAGTCTTGAAGCTCGAGATTTTTGGAACACTCGCTTACCACATAAGTTACTTAATTGTAGGCGTACTACTAGTATGTTCAACAATTCGGTTCTGACCAACCCACAAAATTGCCCAAGGTCTGTTGCAAATTTCTTAGATACCAAAGCCTATCTGACCATGCACATAGCGACCAGCCCGCAGTAATCATGAAAAGCGAAAAACTTTGAATTATAGCCCAGAAGAGGTCAAATCTCTAGTCCAACTAGTTATTCAGGGCTCGCGGCAAGTTGAGCTCCCCTATCTTCTCTATGGTCGAAACCCGTGGTCCGCTCGTAGAAGCGACTTCCGAACCTGAGTGAGACGTTCGCCACGAATAGTACTCCCGTCATGATCGACAAACTCGCTGTCGAAGCTTGCGATGCGCAGACGCCCAGTAGCTTCGTCGTCGGAGCGGACTGATTCTCCTCCCCACCAAATCTTGCTTCCAGAGTCTGCTGAGGTCCTTAGAGAGCGCTGTCGACGGATAAAGTTAAACACGCCGATGCTTCGGCCCTCGTCATTATCCTTGGCAGATATTTTGCGTCGTCGGCGAAGGAGGAATACAATCAAGACGAAGAGTAACGTCGTGATTCAAGGGAGGTCAGCGATCGACTGTGAGCTTGATATGACAGGGAGTGGCGTCTTACCAATAGTGAACAGAGCTACCAGGACTATTGTCGCAACCAGTGAAAGGCCTCTGGACATCGTTTGTTCCTTTGTGGCACTTGTTGTTCCATCGTGACCTTCGTCTTCATTGTCCCTTGGCTGTAGCTGAATATCAACAAAGGCTGCAGCAGCTCTCATCATGATCGATTTGGTCGAACGCAAAGGTACATCTTCCCCTCGGAGGTTTACGTTCGGCACGTATCTGATAAGCTGTCGTAAATTCCTTGCTCTCGATGAGGTGTAAGAGAAGTTGGAATTCGATGTTAGTGGTATTTTATTCGGGGCCACCTTGGAATAGACGAAAAGCTCGACTTAAAACATAGTTCGTGTTGGAGGTCTATGTCGTACATATATAGCCTAACGTGCACGAGGGATTGTACTGTAGCATGACTGTTGAAGGTCCACGCGTCCTGCAAACTCGGCTGAGTTAGAGTGTTATTCAATTATTAGTGGCCACGCCACATCCATAGGCCATATCTAATATATATATATATATATATATATATATATAACTATCCGTAGTACACTGCGTTGGTCGGGGTTAGCGTTATTCGGCCCGTTGTCCGCGACTAGTCTTATGAAACAATGGTGTAGAAACTGGGCGTCACAGACTCAGGAAAAGAAGAAAAGGCTGCAACCAATGCCATAATACGCAGCAGTTTAGTATGGCGCAGAAGTGTTACAACCCCTAATGTACTTATTAGCTCATTAGCGTTGTTGTAGGGTTATACTTTACGGGGCTTAAAAAAATAAGGATAAGGATAAGAATACAAATAAAGGACTGTTTCGGTTTCAGTGGCATGTCATTTGGCTTAGGTGATTGGCCATTCGGCTTTCTTGGCACGATTACTGCTTCAGTTAAGATGAGCTGTTTCATACCTAAAGATATACCGAGGATTTTTCAGGGCTCTCCGAGTCTCCAGGCCCACGTTCGCTGGGATTAGACCGTGGGGAATCTAAGCACCGTCGTTTCGGCATTTGGTAAGCTCAGGCGATCCCTGTTAGAATTGATCAACGTAGCGAACGCTTATGCTAATAAGGTTAAAAAGAAAGGAAAATAAAGCTTAGGCGCTCGGAGTTTCAACTACTCGTTGCAACGAGATATCCAACGCTAGGGTACTACGGAACGGGGTGATGCGGCGGCTGCCGTGCCTGAACGACAAATTGAGTTTTCTTAGTATTCATTCTCGCGTGGACAAACTTGGTAGCTTTTCATATCTATTTTGTGGGGTTACAGACGGGTAGAGGTATTTTTAGGCCTTCCATCTATCTCAAGCCATGAAACAGCTCAAACATCACCGACAAGGTTGGCTGGAGACGCTTATCAACCCTGTGACTTAGGCTCGTTACTATTAGCCAATGGGTTCTCGAACAGTATCATGTCCTCAGGGTTGTTAACTTGTTTAGATGTTGCGTTGAGTATAAAAGCACGTAGTTTCCCTGGTGTTTGTACTCTTCATATCAGATCCAACTCAGATTAATCAACAGTCCCAATCACACCATAACTTCTCCAACACATTCTTCTTGCAATGCATCCCACTGTTTTTCTAGCTGGCCTGGCTGCGGTCATCCCTGTTACCCTAGCAGAGGAGCTCCGTGCAGACGATGTACCATCCGCATGCAAGACAATCTGCCAGCCCATTGTCGATCTCACCAATACATGCGATATCGACCCCAAAGAAGCGGATAAAGATAACGAGAAAAGAACCAAACTGCGGCTCCGTGAAAGAAGCGAGGCTGAAGAGGGTATCGAGGCGAACTGTATTTGCACGAATAAGAGCTTCGACGTTGCTGCCGTGATGGCGCTCTGCGCAAGCTGCATGGTACAGAATAACCAGGAAACAGAAGGTATTAACTAGCACGTTTGTGGATTGCTTGATATAGATGGCTAACACTCGGAGTAATAGATGTCGATAAGATTATGTCGCAATGCTCCTTCACGTCTACCTCATATGTGCGCTCAGCTACGGCCATAGTCTCAGGCATTCAGGTTCAGGCAACGAAGCCAGCCACGACTGTGACTAGGCCTTCTGATTCTACTTCCACGGCTGGTGCGGCATCCTCTACTGACTCGGCTAATAACGGCGTCGGGAAGATGGCGGTTTCTATTGTAGCCGTTGCATGGGCCGGGTTGGTGTTGCTGTTTCAATTCTAAAGAAGGTCCGGCGGGTTGTTGGAAGTGGTGTCCTAGTGATGAATGGAATTAAGGTTGTTAGCTAGGTAGTCTAATGTTTCTTACCTGCAACGGTAACGGTATCATAGCAAGGTCCTTGCCGATCTCAATAACTACCTGGACCATTACCTGGCTGAACCACTAGCGTTACGTTATCTACATGAGCCTATCTCCATTAGCCCCTTGGGTCTTAGATGTCACAATAAAGTAGAGCCTTAACCTACAGGCGGACCGAGCTGTTGACCGCAGTGAAGGTTTTATTGCCTTCGTCGTGATTATATGCTTAGATGACCTAACTCCAGTGCCCTTTTCCCTCAAAGACGCATAGGCATAAATGAAATTACTACTAAATTTAATCACGGTTCTTCATGAAATAGCTAGGATCCAATAATTGCGCTTCTACTATGCGTGAGGCATTCAGAGCAGGGTGTATCAAATGGATGCCTTTATCAGCGTCTCAAGAGTGCAGAATAGGACGAGGTAAGGCTTCGATCCGGAGCACTCGTCATTCGCCCACTCACTGATACATCGCAGTTCATTATCGTTTTTACCTCTTGTTGCGCAGGGATGCTCCTTGTTATTAGCAGGAAATATCAGCTTCTTGAAAGTTAAAGGGTCTATTTGCATTTCTTTCCATCTATGTATGTTAGGCATGCGGGGTAACTTTTGCTAGATAAGTGCATATACATCTGACCTAGCTGCATTTTTGCGAATCAGCCTTCTTTTGTTAGCCAATCCAACCCCTTACCACTGATACGAACGTCAGGGAAATGGTCGGTCTTGACGCCCCCAAGTAGAGCCTTCAAGCTGCTGGACTACAATAGTTTTGCAGAGTTGGGAGGGATGAAGATAGAATGGGCGTTTCAAAACCGTTAACCAAACAATCTCCTTAGTTTCGTGAGGGCATTTTGATTGGATACGATCCTGCTCGTGACCCATGACGAAACTAAGGAGATTTTGAAGCCCAGTACAAAAAAAGCTAATGAGGTCCTAGTGTTTTTAGCGCAGGCACTAGGAGGGTGTTGATGGCGAGAGTGAGGGGACCTCCCATAACGACCTGCGCCGCGGCTTCTGCTCTTCCTTCGATTCGCCGACTGGTGTTAGATGTTCAGGTGGAAAACTTTTATTGTGTCTGTCCTCTTGTACTCGAAGGACCTTTTAGATCTTATATCCTTGCGCTATGAACCCAAGGCTAACAAAATCGAAGATGACGCATTGACGTAGAATCACGTGAGCGGCTGAAGTGAGCAAATTGGTTCTTTGCATTCGCACTCAAGATTCGACCTATGCTGAAGAAAGTTCGTTGATCGATCTTACTTGAGTCGACATCAGGATGTTACCGCATTCAGCATATGAGCAGCGAGAGGTCATCAACAGCCAGTTCCGCGACAACACTGTCATCCACCAGGAAAACGTCCAAGGAAATGTTTACTACAGCCTGTCCCACCCGCCGGCCCCTGCCGAAGTCGGCCGCGTCATCCCCTATCCCCGCAACGAGGATTTGGTCCATCGACCAGGTCTCATCGACAGACTAGACGAGCTTTTACCGCAATCGGCAGGATCGCGCAGCGCTGCCCTGTGGGGCTTAGGGGGATCGGGGTAGGTCCCCAGTTTTGGAACGCTACGATGTCGCGAGAGGGCTAACGGAGGAACGAACTAAGCAAGACACAGATCGCGCTAGATTACGCGTATCGACGATGCGATGCCGACGACAAATGCTGCGTCTTCTGGGTGCACGCCGACAATGAAGCGACTTTCACATCCGATTATAAGACGATCGGGAAGAAGCTCGGGGTTGACGAGCGGCTTGACGGGTCGGACCTGCTAGATGCGGTATGCAGCGCAATTGAAGCTCGATCGAAATGGGTGATGGTCGTCGACAACGCTGACGACCTGAGGCTGTTCGGAGTGGGCCAACAAGCAAATGATGAAGCGATGAACGATACTCTATACAAATATGTCCCTCACGGATCGCAGGGGACGGTACTATGGACGAGTCGAGACGCGCATATTGTCGGCACGCTTGTTGGATCGCCTCGCGGTATTGCAGTGCGTTCTATGACGATGGATGAGGCGACGACGCTTCTCGCGAGGACAAGGGGTGATTCGTCGACGGTGGAGAGGGAAGCAGGAGTAGACGCTTTGTTGGAAGAGCTGCAATGCCTGCCGTTGGCAATCTCACAAGCTGGCGCCTATATGCGGCGTATGTCAATGACGGCCGAGCAATACTTAGGTTTCGTTAGGCAAGGCAAGATCCGATGGGATATGCTAAAGGTTAGCGACGCTGACCGACATCGACGGCCGGAGGTGTCGAACAGTGTGCTCGAGACGTCGTGGATCTCGACGAAGCGGATCCGAGCAGAAAGCGAGATGTCGTACCGAATGTTGCATGTGGTTGCATATGTTGACAGTCAGGATATACCGTACGAGCTGATAGCGGCAGTTGCTGATCGATGCGACAATGACAAGGAGGACTCAATGAAACAGGCCACGGAGATTGAGGTTCTAGAAGCCATCACGCGACTGAAAGAGTTTTCTTTCCTTAGCCTGCGTCAGACAGAGCAAGGCGAGCGAAGGTATGAGATGCACAAGCTCGTGCAAGAGGCCTTGCGATATGGGCTGAGAGTACGTGGCACAATGGAGACAATCCTGGGCGAGGCGCTGAATATCAAGAACGAGTCGGAAAACAGTGAAGCATACTATGCTGGCACAACTCTGCAGATTGTAGATGTCCTTTTCCCACCATCAGAACCGAGTTCATGGGCACGATGCGAGCAGTACATGAAACATGCTATACGAGTGGGGGAGTGGGCGGAGGTGAGCAGGATGGAGGTTAAGGCAGCGACTCTGCTTCAGAGAGTATCGTATTTTCTGTACGATCGAGGGCGGTGGAGAGAGAGGGAACCAGTGGATAGTCGTGCATGGGTTCTCCGACGGAAGGTGCTTGGGGAGAAGCATCCAGATACGATCAGGAGCATGGCGGACCTCGCGGCGACGTACCATGCGCAGGGCCGACATGACGAGGACGAAGAGATCGCGGTCAAAGTACTAAAACTCCGACGAGAGGTTCTTGGGGAGAAACACCCCGATACGATCAGGAGCATGGCAGCTCTCGCAACGACTTACCATGAACAGGGTCGATATGTCGAGGCCGAAGGCATTGATCAAGAAGTACTGGATCTCCGACGAGAGTTGCTTGGGAAGAAGCATCCGGATACGATTAGGAGCCTGGCGGACCTCGCGACGACGTACCATCAGCAGGGCCGATATGATGAGGCCGAGAGATTTAAGGATGAGGTACTGGATCTCCGACGAGAGTTGCTTGGGGGGAAGCATCCAGATACGATCAGGAGCATGGCGGAGCTCGCGGCGACGTACCATGCGCAGGGCCGACATGACGAGGATGAAGAGATCTCGGTCAAAGTACTGGATCTCCGACGACAGGTGCTTGGGGAGAAGCATCCGGATACGATCAGGAGCCTGGCGGACCTCGCGGCGACGTACCATCAGCAGGGCCGATATGATGAGGCCGAGAGATTTAAGGATGAGGTACTGGATCTCCGACGAGAGTTGCTTGGGGGGAAGCATCCAGATACGATCAGGAGCATGGCGGAGCTCGCGGCGACGTACCATGCGCAGGGCCGACATGACGAGGATGAAGAGATCTCGGCCAAAGTACTGGAACTGCGACGACAGGTGCTTGGGGAGAAGCATCCGGATACGATCAGGAGCCTGGCGGACCTCGGGACGACGTACCATGCTCAGGGCCGATATGATGAAGCTCTTCAGCTTCATCAAACCGCCTTGGACCTTCGCCGCCATGTGCTTGGAGAAAACCATCCGGATACGATGCAGAGCGTGGCATACCTCGCCTCCATACGCGAGGCGTTACAACAGTTACCGTCGCTTGTATAGTCAGTCAGTCCAGTCTTTGGCGGTCAGGCAAGTTTACGAATCGGAGGGAGAAGGAAAGCTGCACGGGAAGCTCGGGCGCTTTTGCAAATGGAGATCCCACAAGAGTAAGGGCTTTGATTGATCTCTGTTTCTATTCAAGGGTCTACATCTGCCGTGGCGTATACCAAACTAGCTGCCATAGTAATCAACAAGTATTTTGTGTGTTCATGAACAGGGTGCATATATATAATCGTTGGGTAAACATAGCTTCTGGTCAGAAATAGACACCGGAATGAATGAAGTTGGTCGTCAGACGGGGCGGTTGATGCCCGAGTTTCCAGGCATTTTTGTGCTGTTAGTGCTGGGGGAGGGCAGGATACCTCAAATAACAAAAACCTTACCCCCGATAAACACGGTTGCTTCACAGTCCCAGGGGGGACATTAAGCAAGCCGACAGATTCAGATTTCACATCACAGGCTACCTGCCCCAACGGAAACTGGCAAAAGATTGTCGACGAACTATCAAGCGTAAAAGATGCATGGAGTGACGGTCTTCTTCCTCTGACCTGTCGTTACCTTTAAAAGACCTATCTTCTCGGCGAGTAACCCATCAATGTACTTGACTTCGTCAACGGGTAAGCGCTCTACATAGGACTCTCACGAGTACGCACCGGAGCCATGGATCTCTCAACATCGAGAGAGGGATATATATGATTAATGTATTCCCCCGTATTGCAGAACCTCTGCATTGCACTATGGAAGTTGCTTTGATAGCGATCAAGCACTTGTATTAACTGTTTGACTATTAAGTGATTATCTGACCTGGAAAGTGTCCTCCTTCTAGCCTTAACATATATATTATCGAGCGCTTCCATGGTTAGTATCTCTAGTAGTAAGATCCACCGGAGGCAATTATTTCCTTATCGCAACCGTATAAGTTTATGCTTACCATTCTTGAGAAGAACATAAACTACGTCCGAAGCATTGGTCGCGCCAAGGTTTCATAACTAGCTCGTACCGTAATAGGTTAGCTTTGAGTATATACTTAATAATTTAACCGTAGTGTAACGTATGCGCAGGAGATTAACTAAAACGTTACGTAGTTAGCGCCTAGATAGAGCACTGCTTAGGCATTAAGGTGGTTACTATGTGAGACTTTTAAGGCTGCTAGAGAATCTCGATAGGCAAACTATGATGGTTTTACGACGTAGGCGCTCTCTAGTAATACTAAGAGGTATTTATATTATCGTGTAACCTCCCGGTAAGAGTACTCTGGTCTTTATTGAGGACGATGCTACCTTCCTAAGCATAGTAAAGATAGCTAGGATATTTAGGGAAAGGCGATTTACTGTGTTCGCGAACCGCGGTAGAAGCTTGATAGACAACCTAGACGTAAACGACAACTTATACCTCCTCCCCCCGGCTCTACTTGCATCTTTCCTCAGAATTACTTCTACTTCTTCACAGCATAGATCTTGAAGGAGCCTTTGCCTTCATTATCAGCTATATCTCAAGGCAATTTGAGAGCGTTTCACTTACCACCCCATTGGTTCAAATCCTCTCCCTTCAGGTCCGACGCTATGCTCCCCATCGCTGAGCAACAGCCACCCGCCATAGCATCGAGATATACATTCAGGTCGCTGCCCGTATCCGTAATGAGTACATCTGCAGACCAGCTTTAATTAGCAGTGAGCGCCTTCCAGAGCGCAAAACTCTGTTACCTTCGAAGCCTGCATTACCCAGATACTGTTCATATTCGACTACCTGGCTTGCCCCAGCCACACACCCGACATAAAAAGCCATGCTATTTCTGATTTTTTCGGGGAGTGGCTTCTTGGCAAGAATATCGGAGATGGCCACCCGGCCTCCAGGTTTGAGGAGGCGAAACATTTCGTTGAACGCTTGCTGCTTCTCATTATGCGGGACCAGGTTGACGACACAGTTGGAGATGATGCAGTCGGCAATGCCGTCCTCCAGAACTATGTTGGTGATGCGAGACTCGATGAACTCGACGTTATTTATGGCACGGTCAGCCTTGAGCGCTAGTTCTTTTGCGAGCATGTCCTGTTCTCATGCTGCGTTAGTCATTGTTTAATATTGAGTATTTCCACGACTCGCCTTGTTCATGTCTACCCCGATAGCTTTGCCAGTTGGGCCGACCTTGTTGGCCGAGAGGAATACATCGAGCCCGGCGCCACTTCCCAGGTCAATGACTGTCTCTCCCTATTGTGATTGTCCTCAGCTTTACTTGTTGCTACACGGGAAGATAGACAACTGACCTCCCGAAGTGTAGCAATAGCAAGAGGTGTCCCACAGCTCAGACCCAAATTGGCATCCTTGGGAACTGAGGCGAGTTCCTCCTCTGAATAGCCGAAGGCTTTGGCGATGGTGTTGCTATACCTGGCATCTGAGCCCTTGGCTGCGCTGCCGTAGCGCTCGCTGACTTGTGCATATATGTCTTCGGAGTTCATGATGAGTGATTTTGCTGTGTTCTGAAAGTCGGAGCTCTTGATTTAGAGTAGTAACATATCTGGCGAGCTTAATTTAATAGGCTTGCTTCTTTATATAACTTCAACTTATTACGGCTGCCAGCAGTTGCCACCTAGCAGTGGAGGCAATGTGCACCAATGCTAAGCTAAAATTGGAAAGTTTTTGGTATGTCAGCGCTTAGAAACCAATCAAGATATCAATCCGTCATTGGGCCAGAACCAGAACAGGAAATAAGTCGATATGTCATATCATCCCAGCCAGGAAAGGCAATAATCCCGGTTTGGTCTTACTTCTCCGCTTGTCCCCGTCTCTAGCGACCTCTCTTATTCCCTCAAGCCTTGGCCCCTCAGAATGGCACCCGCACGTCAAGCGCCATTCATATCAAAGTGGTCCTTAAAAGCTCAGGATCACAACGCCACTCGAGTTCGCGATAACCAGCGTCGTCACCGCGCGCGTGTCAAAGCCCGCATTGAATCCCTAGAGACGGAGTTGACGCAGTCTCGACAAGAGTTGCGCATAGCACTGGCTCGAATCGAGGAGCTGGAGGCTCTGGTTGCCGCCCGAGATTCCGCCGCATATGCCATGAGCAGCCGTTTCAATGACTCTGCGCCGGAACCATTCAGCCGATCGGATCAAGCGATCATTGAACAACCGTTGCCAGCCGAAGAACCCAGACTCTTGGGCGGCGGGCTGGACATACAAGGATACTGTCACCGTCTTTCCAGACCCGCCAATCAGCCCTCGGGACAGCAGCATTATGACCGAAGCCCGGCACCGTCACCTGTCACCAGAGCCTTAACCGAAGATCCAACCGCATCATCTTCAATTCCTGCAGATCAAACTGCCGCCAACTCCGTCGTTTTCTCTCTCATTGCGCAGTATGACCACGACGGTCGACTCCCCCTCGTCGCGCCTGGCGAGTCCACCACCCTATGCCGGGTGGCATATGAGATTATTGCTCAGCAAAACATGGCCGGCATAGAAATGCTTGACGTGGAACAATGGCTGTGGCCAGGATTTCGGCGGGCGACAAAGCAGGGCGAGGGGTGCAGAGTTGATACCAAGGTTCTGTATGCATTAATCGATTACATGAGCCCCTTATGAGGTGACATTTCGAACAAATAAACAAGGCGGCTCTATTACTGTTTGTACAGCGAATATCTCGTGACTCATAACTACCATGCAGTACCCACCTGCCGGTCATACCCACCTGCCGGTCATACCCACCTACCGGTCAGCGAAAAAAAAAATTCCCCATACAAAATGTCAAACTTCACTTGCACAGTGCTTGGCCAAAATTGAAGTTATTTACATGGAACAGATTGTGTCTTACTGAGAGTTTCATGCTGTTTCATATTGGAATGTTCATTTGTATTTTACACAAGCAGTTTGGTCGCATGGCACTAATGTAAAATTTCTCAAAATGTCTCCTTCATCACCCAGCCTCCCCAAAATTTCATCAAACTTTTCTCTATAGCAGCTTCCTTTAATCGCCTTGAAAATGCCTCAACAGTCTTATACAGAGAATGATGTCATTGAAGCTATACTGGATGTTACAGATAATCACCTCTCGCAGCACCAGGCTGCCCAGAAGCATGGAATGCCCCAAACCACTCTGTCTGACCGATTAAGAGGCCTACCGTCAAAGTCCGAGGTCACCCAACCTGCCCAGATGTTATACAAATCCCAAGAGGCTAGATTAGTTACATGGATACTTCGACAAGAGGCCTTGGGCTATGCTCCTTCCCACAGTCAAGTTCGCGCCACGGTAGCTGCCCTGTTGAGACAGCAGGGCCGGGAAAGGCCTATCGGTGTACACTGGCTAGCCAGATTTATTAAGCGCCATCCAGAGATTGATACGAAGGTAGGAAAACGCCAGGAAGCTTCAAGGTTCAATTCTTTTACCCCAATGGCCGTCAATTGGTACTTTGATATCCGGGAGAGCGAATATGGCTGGATCAAGCCTGAGAACACGGTTAATGTTGACGAGGGCGGTATCATGGCTGGATTTGGTGAGTACTGACCACTTCTGATACAAGACTTACCAATAAATTGCAAATATAGGTTTGGATTCCTTGGTAATTGGCAATAGCGATCCCAGGAGGAAGGCCTTCCTCAAAGGCTCGCAGTCCCGCACTTGGACTAGTTTTATCGAAGCCGTCACTGCAGATGGCCGTCTTCTAAAGCCGGGAATTATCTTCAAGGGCAAAGAACTTCAGAAGCAGTGGTTCATTGATGAGTTTAACAAGATCGCCGACTGGTATTATATCACGTCCGATAACGGCTGGACAGACAACCATATTGCGGTCGAGTGGCTCAAAGAGGTTTATCTGCCCCAAACCCAGCCAGCAGATGAGTCTGATGCAAGGCTCATCATATTAGATGGCCATGGGAGCCATGTATCTGTGGGTGTCTACCTGTTCTCGATCAGAAATACCGCTGACTGAAATTCCAGGATGAGTGGATGGCCACGTGTTTTTTGAACAACGTGTATTGCTGTTACCTGCCTGCACATTGCTCTCATGGTCTGCAGCCACTGGACAATGGTGTCTTCAATGCCTCCAAGGCTGCCTATCGAAAAGAACTGCAGAAACTTACCAGCCTGATCGATTCTGCGCCGGTGGATAAGGTCAACTTCATCAAGGCTTATGCCAAAGCCAGAGCAGTAGGTATGACGAAGAAAAACATCCTTTCAGGCTGGAGAGTGACTGGAAACTGGCCGATTTCACGACGTAAAGCGCTCATACATGCCGAAATTCAACCAGACAAGAAGGAAACGACGCCTGGATCAGACGGCCACAGAGACGGGCAAGTCGACTCTGATAATACGCCAAAGACCAGCCGTCACATCAGAGACCTGGGGAAGAACAAGAGCCCCTCTACCAGAAGGCGGTATTCTGTGATATCAAAAGGGTTTGAAGCCCAAGAGTCCAAGATCGCCTCTTTGAGCACCAGAATAGCCGGCCTGGAGGAGGAAGTTGGCCGGTTGAGCAGAGGCAAGAAGAGAAAGGCGATACCGAACCCCAATAAGAAATTTATCACGCTGGCAGAGGCTCTAGCAGCTGGTGACACTATTTCAGAGCCAAACGAAGCAATTGAAGGGGCGGATGTTGTTGAGGATGTGATCGAGGTGGGAGGGATAGAAGAGGATGAGAGGTCAAATTCAGGGAAGGAAGAATTAGGTGTCGTACGCACCCGCACAGGGCGTGAGGTTAAAAGACCCAGAAAATATTAAAATAGATTCAATTTTAATCTGAATTCTAGAGATAAACTTATTTTTACTATTTTTATTAAGTTTTTCCCATGAGGTTAAAAAAGTGCATTTTGTATGGGGAATTTTTTTTTCCGCTGACCGGTAGGTGGGTATGACCAGCAGGTGGGTACTGCATGGTAACTACCGTCGCTCGCTTGCGACCCATGGTTTGAGTAGCGCTTTCAAGCAACCCTCTAGAAATCAACACCACCAGGTGGCCTGCGTATTAGAATATCAGAGTCTCTATGACGCAAGCTTCTCCACAATGCCGCTAAAAATCCGCTAGCAATGATATACGATAGACCTGCGAAGGTTTGGGGGTACAGATACGTTCTCGGGGCTGGTAACTCCTGGAGCAGTAAAGCTATGACTTCGGCAGCTGAAAATATAAGGTCAATGGTTTGCATTGCGTTTAAGACGTTATCACAAAGCACATCACTCACTTGCGGTAGGGATGATTGTTGCAGCCCAAGCGAGGGAGAGCATCGATTGGAGATTTTTAATACCCGCTACTTCTGCTGATAAGGGACCAATGGTCTGTGAGACGTTAGCGAAGCTCTTCGCTCTAATGGTTTCAAGCGAGATTAGATGGAAATATACTCACCATCCAGAATACTCCCAAGATTGCTCCACAAACAGTGGAAAAGAATAACGTCAGTCCAAACGACTTGGCCGGTAACCATATGGCAAAACAAGTAAGACCACAAAGAAGCGTGAGCACGAAAGCGGTAGTAACCCGGGAGTAACGATCGCTCACAAGGCCAATAAGGGGACGTCCAACAGCGGTCCCTACGTTCAAGAAACCGACAACATCGGTGGCCTGTTTGTGGGATAGCCCTATGGCAAGAGCAAACTCAGACAGCGAAAACAGCAAGACAATGTACCCGAACATGCTGATGAAAGCCCATAACAAAAGCAAAACAACCGCCTTGGACCGAAGGAGGGCGATGTCAAAGGCACGCTGGTTTGGCTGGATTTGGGAGTTTCTGTCTCGAAGTAGGAGTGTTGCTATCACGATACCTACAAAGGTGATAATGCCTGTCGCGCGGAGTGCCCAATTCACAAGCTTCGAAATCGATCGACCAATCGATTTGATCGATTCGATTAATCGATTCGATTTCGATTTCGACCGATCGATCAGAGCTGTCAGTCGATCGATACCGATCGATTACAAGTCCTGATCGATCGATTTGATCGTCGATCGGGCAGACCATATATAAATCGGTGAGGTGCAGGGTAGGCTGCCCTGGATTCTGCTTCTGTGTGGATCGCAACACGTCGCATGTCCCACAAAGCATCCCTGGCAGGCGCGATTGGTGGAGAGACGCTGCTGTTGAGTGCTTTCTAAGGAGGAAGGCGCCCCACCACCTTCCTTTTTAGGATTCCGCAGCTTCATTGCCTCGTCACGTGAGGCTCTGTCTGATCTATTTGATCGATCGATATCGACCGACTGAGAGGGCCGCTCGATCGATATCGATCAATTGAGGGTGACGATCGATATAAATCGATCGATCAGGGCTCGGAATCGATCTATACGATCGATTTCGAAGCCTGCCAATTCAACCCTTGCCGCTGGATCATTGCAGCTGTTCCCCAAGTAAAGGCGGCTCCTCCGACTCCAGAGCCAGCAGAGCTGATGCCGTTGGCCATGCTGCGCCGTTTGGAGAACCATTGAGACAAAACTGCCGTGCTAGGGACGATGATGAAACCGATACCGCTGCCAACTAGAGCCCCTTGAGTGAGGTAAAGTTGCCATGTTCTGGAGGCAAAGGGAGCTGTTACGTAACCAATGCTTTGTAAGAAGCACCCAAGCAGCACAACAGCTTTTAAGGGGTATCTGCCAGCAAGGTAGGTAGCTAAAGGAGCAAGAAGCATGGCACAACTGAAGTTCAGCCCGCCGACGAGTCCGTATTCCATTGGCTTAGCATTTGCGATCTTTTTCGAAGAGACGTACTCTGTTAGATAGACGCCAAAGGACTAAGACATTAATTAGACTTTGCAAAGTCAAGGAATTCAGGACACTTACTGCTGTTACACCCCAAGTCAAGCCATTTAATATAAAGCACGAGCCTACAATGACTCCATCAGGAGTAGGCAATAGATCATCTTCAGGTTGGCTGGATTCGTGGAATGTAGTCTCCGAGCGACTCATATCTAGTAAATTCAAGAAGCAACATCTATTAGATCTATCTGTTTGTCGCCACTTATCTTCGTTGGCGAGGACACGCCGGTCTTTTATGCTTCTTGGGACAGGAAGACTATGACGCCAAAGTGAGGCAGACCCTGCCATTCGCCGAGAACCTTGGCAACAGATTCCTCCCTGCGATAGGGGATAGATGAACTTACCGAAGCTTCATTTGCTTGATGCCTTTTTCGAGGGAAAAGCGGAGGACGCTACCAACACAGAAAGACTACTGCAATGGAAGCCGACTCAGGTACGCTAAGCAATGGTGACAAACCGAAAAAAATACCAAATCTGTGCTAGTATACCCCGCGCATACTGCGTACATGGAGGGACGAACCCCACATGTCGTCGGACAATCTGATTTCTTCAGCTGCACCAAGAGAACGTAAATGACCTAACAGACTTCTGTTTCAGGCGAAAAACCTCAGGAGGTGGTGAGTCTGGGGGTGAATACAGTCCAATTAAAATGCAGCTTATAGCGAGTCAGTTACCCTAGGGATAGCAGGGATTCCCCGACGTTGGCATCATTGCCTTATAATTGTGAGCCAAGGCTTACTGCATTAGGGTACGTAAGATTAGACCCTGGATATTTTGTACGGTTTCAACGCTTGGCGAAGCTAGGCCGGAGATGGCAATTTTTTGATGCGTCATCATAGAAATGAACACAATCGATACAAACTTGGATCATGGTGTGGCACGGCAGAGAGTTGTCAAATATTAAATATCTGTGGTAGAAGGTAGAGCGACCGGGTTCATCGGCATATATTGGGGTCCATGCTCTGATGTTTTCTGAAACCGTAGTATTGTAAAATATTCACTGAACTACGAAATGGCTATTGCTATTGCAGTTGTTACCTTTGGGCCCCAATAGCAATCAAGATTTGCATTAGCTGATGGACCACTTATTGAAGTACCACTGCCCAGTCTGCTGTATTCCACGCGATGGATACGGATATATAGGCTCGGAAGGTATACAGATCATTCAATATCTGGGAGCCTAAGTCGAGGTTGAGTCAGAACTGTTTGCACAGATCAGTATTCAAGATTATACGGCGCATTCATATCTGATAGTTTAAATTGTACAATATGGCGAGCTTCACGGGTTTAAACACTAGCTATATGAAACAGTTATTCTCCAACCCAGAAACTCAACTGAGATATTATGTGTGAAGCATTAGCACACGACAATTATGCTTTTTCGTTACTGTACGACACGAAATCGCGCGCTCTGCATTGACTTCGCATCCCAAGAAAGGATGATTCTTATAGAGCAACATAGATTTAATTAAGCTAACTCATCCAGTATTTGGAACACGTTGGAATTCTGAACAAGACAGTCATCTGATTCTTTACAGTGCAACAGATCACGAACGCGGTCCGAATCTGCGTTGTTCTGCAGCCCAGAAATAATATTAATTGCTGCCTTGCAAGATATCCCTCTGTTCCAGTGGCCTGAGATGGAAATGGGCGAGCTAGGTGGGCAGAAGCAGTCCGTTACTGGTGGGAGTATGTCTGTATGGCTAGCCGGATCAGGTAAGTTGTTATTGCAAATGAACGAGATGCTCGTACGATCTGGGAGCTGAGCAGTGTATGAATCGTAGGAATCATGCTTCTCGTGATCGCAGCTATTAGTGACGACGCAATCTGCCTCTGCTATATCTGCGGACGGAGTAGGTCTAGTAGGGACTGAAGTAGCTAGTGCTCGACTTAGTAAAGACGAACAATGATTAGAAAGAGACGTGCCTGGAGGCGAGGGGTTATCTCCTATGTTATAAGGGTAGGTAGTGATGTTGTGTAATGTGTCGGATGATCGCGGCTGCATCGCACTGTATTTTTGTATGCGAGGCGTGCGTGGATTACTGCCCCTCTGCAGGAGTTCCCGGAGGTCCAGATTTAGTTCAGTACCAATAGACCCCACCAGCGAGAGGTGATCATCGATCTCGTCTTGCGAAACCCCTCGGATCTGGAGGAGGTCACGAAGGTGTTTATTCTCCCATAAGACGCCTTTAGCCTCCCGCCGCATCTCAATACTGGCCTGAGGGCCTCGACGTTCGTAATCCTGGAGCCGCAGTTGAAGCTCTTCAACAAGTTGCCGACGCCGCGCCCGTGAGCGGCGCTGGTTATCGCGATTCTGAATCACAGAGGTTGGAGTCCGGTTCTACGTGGGCCAGCCGGTTAGAACATGTCAACCAGCGTAAGTAGATAGCATACCTTTCTAGGCATTGGACTAAGACGATGCTCAAGTTTTGGAAAATTGAGCTTATGTAATGCAGAGCGCAGGTGACAGAACGGTGAATGGTCCAAGGTCTGATGTATGAGGGGTTGAGGATCTGCCCAACCTTGACCATGCCACACGAATATTGCCACCATGATGACTCAGCCCCGCTTTCTGGGCTCCTCTTCAAGCGAAACACAGATCAAATTGATTCGCTCAAGCTTTTCCCGGCTGCTTGAACCTAACCACAAACGCAAGGCCTGTCATGCCCCGGCCATAATTGGCTAGAAAGGCCAGGTCTTGCGGCCTCAGGTATCAGCTGACCCACTGCAATGAAGGAATTTATTCCGCCCGTGAGGATACGCCTCATGGGCCCACAACGTTGTACCTCGTTACATTGTTTTCCCGATATCATCTCATCCCTCAGCCTCTCAACAATCCCTACACCATGTCACTCCCCCGAGCCTCGCTTGTCCCCGCGACAGGCCTGCTTGAAGGCCGACTTCTCCAAGTGTTCAGCATCCTATCTTCAGCAGCTGAAACCTGGTCTGTCTACCAACCCCAAATTTGAGGAGTAAACATCCATATATTTCATGTCCTAGGTCATTTCTGTTGATGACTGGGATGTAGATACACTATGTAGCTGAGCTTAGCTAGGCGCCTGAGACACACCGAACTTAGACCCTTAATCATCACTAAAATATTTTAGTTTTATCAGATAACACTACCGGCAGATGCCATACTTGTGGAGGACTCTATCTCGTCAGATTCCCGTCTGGCGCACCCACGGAGGGACCACTGAGTAGGAAAATGGGGCCTTGGTTCGGAAAGAAAAAATAGTCTTAGCGCATGAAAATTGCTATGCGTAGCCAGGTACCTTCCTTCCCCGCATAGTATCGCGAGACCTCTGCCAAAAGTGACATCAGTCTGCTCACTAAATGTATGTAATTTTATGTATCTTTGTTTCCCAATCAAGGGCTACTTTTCCGACTCAGTGGCCCTCTCGTGGGCCCCCATAAGTAGAGTAGAAACGTCCATCGTTGTTTCAATTACCAAGGATATCCTTAGCCATCTCGAAGGCCAGGTGACAGAGCCTTGAGACGGCCAATCATTCTCGGGGCCTGACATTATCCCGCAAACATACTCAGTATGGCTACAACCAGTTCTGACTGTCATTGTGCAGGGTTCATTGCTAGTAGCGACTGTCTAGGGCCCATAATTGGATCTTGGCCTGTTATACCAGTTTCCTCGACATTGTTGATATGTAGCACTGCATTCACCAGTGATACTCTGAAACTCATGGAATGATATTGCAGACATAGCACCCTTGCGCCGGGGCCGGCAAGGTTCTGCCAGTTGCTTTTTGACAAAGGAGCTCTATTCTAATATGAAACACAAATCTTTATACCGCGCCGCCTACTTTCACATTTCCCCTTTTGCATCCTTGGCCTTGCGCTCCTCGCGCTCACTGAATCGATCCCCAAACAAGTCAAAATGGGGTCTCATGACGATGGTATACTTGACAAGCTCTTCCATGCAATCAACGAGACGGTCGCGGTTTGAGCTGGCAAGCATACGGCTGCCCTCAGGCTCAGATGTGAACTGCGTGTATGCCTTTGGCACCGAGCTCTGGTTGGGAATGACAAACATGCGCATCCACCTTCCAAGTATCCGCAGCGAGTTGACAGCGTTGAAAGACTGTGATCCTCCGCTGACCTGGGCAATGGCCAAGGTTCTTCCTTGAGTAGGACGCACTGAGCCGGAGGATAATGGGATCCAGTCAATCTGCTGCTTGAAGATGCCCGTCTGTGACGTTGATTAGATTTATAATTTTTGCACACATTTATCACAGCTGAGAGGGCCTACCAAGTTGCCATGCTGCTCAGGGCTGACCCATACATGCCCGTCGCTCCACTTGCTCAATTCCCGCAATTCCTTTACTTTAGGATGGCAATGTTGGACATCGTCCTTCTGTGGCAGACCAGCAGGGTCATAGACTCGGACATCACAACCGAGACGGAAAAGAATGCGCGAGGCTTCGTAGGCTAGCAGACGGGAATATGATCTGGGAATAGTAAGTAAGACTGGTAATGTCCCAGCTAAAACGGATGGCAAAAGATCAAATGATGGCATCCGTCTTCATCCATAGTACTCACCGACTTCTGAGACTACCGTAGAGAACCAGAATGCGGAGGCGGTCGAGCCCTTTATCCAAGATCTCGGATTGCACCATCTTGATCGCTGTGCTCAGCTCCAATTCTGAGATCCAGTCATCGGTAGAAGGACTGCCGTCAAAAAGAAAAGGACGATATTGCTCTCGGATTCCGACGTCATCTTCGTTGACGTTAATGGCGAGGGACTGATAACTGTAGGCGGGGTCAGCAGCAAGCTTGATTGCTGCCCTCCCAGCATGGGAGTTGTTCAAATCTCCGTGCCCGTGCATCGCGAGGCCGAGGTTCTGGGCCTGCTTTACTGAGATGCTACCAGAGAAATATCGACGTTGAAGAAGCGCGCGGAAAGGTACGCTTGCGTGGAGGTTGCTTGTGAAAGTGCGAACGCGCAGGGTGCGGCCGAGAAGGTTCATTTTTTTTTATACCGGCTTTCTAGGCGATAAATGTAGTGGAGCCCACAGAAGGAATAGCGCTCATTATGTACTGTCACCTCTCCTATAGAGAGTACCTTTGATAGTGCAGATACAAATTTTTAGGCCGTGCATGGACCCACCCTCTGCCGGCCATGGCGAGTGAACCCTTGCAGGGTCGAATATTCCTACGCGAGAGAGCCGTCAGGATGGGCCTTAGTTTAATAAAGATTATGTCTCTACGGCTTCTCGCGACATCTTTCTGTAAAGTCCATCCCGAAATTGTTGATCCTTCATCAACCCACTGATCCCTTTCATTTTCCAGCCTGAGATCTTATGGCATCCAGGTGCGATGACTGTTTTCGGGGCAGCTGTTCTTATTAGATTTAGTATACTATAAAGTTCTGGCGTGGATGTTCATGCTGACTACCTAGCAGGTCGCAACGTCGCCAGGAGTTCAAGCTACCGCGATTCATTGCTCCTTGGCCACCAAGTCCAACTCATCCTAGATAATTGCTATTTCCTATCCCAAACAGTCGCGTCGTACTCATCCATCCACTCTACGAACTCACCACCGGCTTTGGCCCAGCCGGTAATGCCCTCGAATAGAATCACGCTTTCCATATGGCTATCGCCTTGCTCGTCGAGATGGTCCTTAAACCATCCAGCTGCCCGCGAGCCGCGCCCGCGAGAGGATGCTGGAGAGGTTAGTACGCCCGTTTAGTTATGCTTCGAGTTGGGAGGTGGTGAATCAAGACGTACAGCAGTACCAGATAATTTTTTGAACTCCCGCCGATTTAAACAGACTGTACAGCGTCTTTATCGTCGGGTAGAGGCTCTGTGCCGGCAGATTGATGGACCCGCGAATGGTACCGCCCTGGATAACAGAATGGGTGAGTTGATGCTCGATTAATTGTTATCTCAGAAAACGTGAAAGGTAGGTGCTACCTCGTGATCTGTTCGACGGAGATCAATGAGAACGTAATTCTTGCCGGCGATATTTTTGCTATCCTTCATCACCTCTAATACCTCCTGGCGTGTCATGGCCGCGGGGGTCTTGTTAAGCGGAGGAGGGTAGGCAGCATGCCAGGGCGTGGCGGCATCAGTAGAGGTCATCGTAGACGAGCAGATACGGTTGACCTTTTGGAAGACGAGATAGAGACGAGGACGAGCGCTCGCTTTTAGGAGAGATTTTGTGAGGTTCATCACATCTTGGAGGGGGAGGGAAGGTGCTTCTGAATATGAAGCCCTTTAAGGGCCGAAGGCAATAGGTAACCTCACTCAGACATGGTCGGGATTGTGTCATACACAGACTATGATTAGCCAGGGCATTTTTGGGACCCTGTCATACCCGAAAGGTAATTGGACGATTGGCGTTGCAGGGACTCAGCTATGCGCCAGCTGTCAACCCCACCAAGCTAATTCGATTAGCAGGGGCTGTGTCAGGCCGAGGCTGCGATTGGCTCAACGAGATTTTCCAGCGGTCTCTCTTGTGTTCCGAAACTTGCACCAATCTAGAGAATCGCAATGGACGCGGCGATTCACGTATAAGATCGTGTTCGCGTCGACGGTTGCTGGACTCCGAGCCACCCCCAACCACCGCGCACCACGCACCGCATCGCTTCATATCTACCACGCACGATCACCCGCCGGCCTTCAACATAACACTGGAGATGAAGAACGCGTTGAGCAGCCATGAGCCGAAGCCTAGCCCGCCACTCGCAGGCCCAGACAATGAAAGCACTGGACAGGCTAACCAAGATCCCGAGGCCACAGCTGCGACCATGAACCACGATGAACAACTGAAGTAACACCTGTCTGCCTGCAAAGGACTCGGGCTTCTGGATCGCTTCCTAGCCCTGTGGATATTCCTGGCAATGGCCATTGGCATAATTTTGGGCAACTTTGTTCCCGAGACGGGGCCAGCCTTGCAGAAGGGCAAATTTGTCGGTGTTTCGGTGCCTATTGGTATGTTTCCCTCAAAGGCTTGAACTTTTGCTCCTTGAAACTGACGCATGCGCAAGCTGTCGGTTTACTCGTCATGATGTATCCCATCCTCTGCAAAGTGCGATATGAGTCGCTCCACGAGCTCTTTTCCCATCGGGAGATGTGGAAGCAGATCTGCTTTAGCATCTTCGTCAACTGGATCGTTGCTCCATTCCTCATGGTGAATTCCGTCCCCCAGTACGCCTCCTTTCACAGACAGCATACTGACGTTTCTCCTAGCTTGCCTTGGCCTGGGCTTTTCTCCCTGACAAGCCGGAGCTTCGCACCGGTCTTATTCTCGTGGGTCTTGGAAGATGTATTGCGATGGTTCGTTTATCTGTCGCTTTCAGACATTTACAAACGATACTGACACCTTGCCTTCAGGTCCTTATTTGGAACGGTCTCGCTGGCGGCAACGATGAATACTGTGCCATCCTCGTCGCTATCAACTCGATACTCCAGATGGTCCTCTTCGCCCCCATGGCCGTCTTCTTCATCCGCGTCATCAGTCACGAGTCGGGTACGATTGATATATCCTACAGCGTTGTTGCTACAAGTGTGGCTGTCTTCCTGGGCATCCCCCTTGGAGCAGCCATCGTCACGCGAATTGTCCTTCGTAAGGTCGCTGGACCGGATTGGTATCAGCAGACCTTTCTCAAGTTTCTCGCACCCTGGTCTCTCATCGGCCTACTCTACACCATTCTCGTTCTATTCGCATCCCAAGGCAGACAGGTTGTTCACCAGATTGTATCGGTCGTCCGGGTAGCAGCGCCACTGATTGTGTATTTCGTGCTCATCTTCTTCGTCACTTTATGGATCAGCAGACTGCTCGGCTTCCGGCTCTCTATGGTGGTTACGCAGAGCTTTACTGCTGCGAGCAATAACTTTGAGTTAGCTATCGCCGTGGCGGTCGCGACCTTTGGCCCTAACAGCGACCAAGCCCTGGCATCGACCGTTGGGCCGCTTATCGAAGTGCCGGTGTTAGTGGGCTTAGTGTATGCTGTTCGTTGGATGGCTAACAGATGGGGCTGGAAGTGAAGGGCGCATAGATGCGATGTTCACCAATCCGGAACCTCTTTTGGGCGTTCTCTGAAATGCTATAAGACAGGGAGGACTGGGGGCCCGCCACTCGTTCAAGGGGAGTGCTTGATGAGAGGATTTACACCCAGAAACACTGTGACGTTTGTTAATTGTGAGCAAGTACATCTAACGGTTTGTTACTATTTGATAAATGAAAGAGTTCTATGTCCCTCTTCTATTGGAAGAGGATTAGTGCACCAGCATCTGGTTAGGCGCAAACAGGCTAAGCAGAGTGACGAGGGGATCCGGTGTGAGCATCTTAAGTGCAGAGATATCAGACTCCAACATTTGGACCACTTCCGAGCCATGTTCAGAAGGTTCATGGTGTCGCCCTGCGGACGTCAAGGCAAGTGAAGCAGTGGTTGATCATACATAGTTCCTGATTTTTGGACCTCAACCAAATTCCTGTGGAATGTTTCCCAGTTAGTTAAAATATATATATTAAGCATCGACATTTTATCGAGCTCAAGTATTACCCTGTAGCCTAATAGCGCTCGACGCAATATTTCCTCCGCCTTACGAAGCTGGCCTTAGTCAGCGTAGACCGTTCCCAGGTTACTTCATCACACCAAGAACCGTTCCGTGACCACATCCAAGCATACGTCTTGTGTTAACATACCCAGCAGAGATACTGTATCTGGCCCTCAGAGCCATTGAAACAAGTAGTAATGGCGAATTTGAGCGAGCTAGCCACAGGTAGAGCGTTACAATGTCCAAGGAAGGGATGCACTCTGTAGTTTGTTGATGGTGCGACGGTCGCTTCTTAGCATGTCAAAGGACGTCAGGTTTGAGAGAACGCGAGGACTTGAGACGTAGGGTGACATGGTGGGTCAATTGAGACTTTCACTCGCTATCCTAGTGTTCCACTCGGCTCTTCCGCTGCACGATAATAATAGACGGGCTCTGAATATGACACGACCTTCTGAACCAGTAACGGCGCAAAACCAGAAAGGAAGAATTATTTTTGTTGAAAAAACAGGGTCGACTGCTTGAGAGTGTGGTAGCGGGTGATAGCGGGACAACGCCAGAGAAAAACGATTGATAGCCACTGAGGACGGAGAACTTGGGCTGTTAGAGAGAGAATGGCTGAGGCTCAATTGACAACTAGCTCGACTTCCGAGTCTCCGTTTGTTTGACGAGGGCCCTGATGTTCATTCTCTGGAAGCCGATAGCCCACAGTCGAGATTATCATATAAAGAAGCCATTGTGGGAAAATCAACTTCTCGTAGTACCCAATAAGCGACAGTCCAAACACCAACGCCGAAATCAGCACGAGGAGCAAGGCCAGGAACAACAAGTGATAAGCTGTATGCTTCGGTACCCTTTCCGTTTGTATTCCTCTAGAAGATAAGAACACGACTCCAATGGCTGCAGCTTGGGAAGTAAGTGGTGCGATGTAGGCAAGTTCGACGGGAGTCGAAATGTTCGGAATCATTGCCAAGATTACAATCAACATTACTTCAACGCACTGAAGTATTGCAACCCATTTCAGCCAGGGTTCTTTTCTTATTGCAACTGCAAATGGATAGATAATCGCAATAATCTGCTTGTTGCGTCAGAATGTCAATAGGCTCGTTAGGTATTCTGACGAACCTGGATTATGGCGACTCCCCACATGGACATTGTGGCCAGGATGGTATGTAGAGGCCTCGCAAGTAAGTCTGGTAGCTTTGTACGCTTGCTGTGCTCGAGACCAAAAAGAATTAAGGCCGTCAGCTGTAACAAACCCCAGCCACATATCAAGCATACAAGGTGCCTCTCTCGCGACCAGAAGTGATTGTACTTAATGAAGATGAAAAGACAGACGCAGAATAAAGAAAGAGCCGATGTCATATAGGTCTCAGTGACCTGGGAATGAGAAAGATAATTCATGTCTACCTGAAGAACTAGACGCGTATGAGGTACACAGCTTGCATGGAGCCATGGTGAAGGGAGTCCGGGTCTTATTTATGCTTGCAACCAAAGTTCGCAGTGTCACTCAGCTCCACCACACCACACATCGCGCGATTAATGAACAAAAGGACCAACACGAAGATGGTTGTGTGCCTCCACTCCCTCCATATTGCCAATCTCAGGGGCCAGGGGATCGACTGCCCATTAACAACTCAGCCGTCTCCCTGGACCAGAGCTACACCAACATACTTGGGTAAACCGGCACAAACAAGCCCTATGTAGAGATATCCAAGATTATTTTGCCGAGGTTACATAGTCATGAGCGCGGCATTGCATAAGCTTTATGATAGAGAATAATTACAGTAAGGACTGGCAAGAACCGCCTCCCTTTCAACCGCAGTGCTGTCTCAATCTAACTACGAGGGGTTCCGCATGCCACGCTTCAATGCATCTTCCTTGGCCTGCTTCTCCTTAAGGAGGCCATCCACCCATTGGCCGCATTTCTCTATTGCAGCAGCCGGGCAAGACCTGTATAGTAGAAGGTACGACATGATCTCCGCCGGACTGAACTTGGACTCCGGAATCTTCGCGGCAAACTCATCCGCTTGACTCTCTATTTCTCCATTACATACCTTTTGTTGACTGACTTGTACAATCTTCTTCTCTAGTTGTCCAAACATGAAGCAGAAGATATCCTTGATGATGCCTCTGCTGGCAAGCTGAAATTCAACCTCTTTGTCAATCCGGCCAGGCCGTGTGAGTGCCCGGTCCAACTTTTCGGGATGGTTTGTTGTCATGATAAGGATTCTATCTTCCTGAGAGGCAACACCATCAAGGACGTTCAGTAAGCCTGAAAGAGTCACCCCCCTCCTTTGTGGCCTTGTGTCTGTGTCGCTGTCTGAGTCCTCTGAGTGAGAGTCCCTGGAACATGCAGCTCCTGCTGCATCAATGTCCTCCAATAAGACGACACATCTGTCTGGAAGGCCAGCAAATAGGCCCTTTAGCATTTGATCGTTTGCACCGGGAATGCTGACGACGTAGATATCCATATCTGATTCGCCGGCAATTGACAAACTGAAACTGGATTTTCCAGTACCAGGCGGCCCATGCAAGAGGTATCCTCGTTTGTAGGGAATTGAATGTTGGGAGTACCAGTGCCTAGTTTCAGGGTCGAGGAAGTTTTGAATGTCCTTAATCAGGTCCTCCTTTTGCTTTTCGTCAAGAATGACTGTCGACAGAGGCCGAGCAGCCACCGCTTTCTCCTTTCTCCAGTATTCATCGCGATGTCCATGAATGGTCGTCTTATTCTTTGATTCATTAAGGTATCCACGTCGACAGTCTTCTAGAAGATCTCTCAAGATTCCAGATCGCCCAGCACAGGTGATGGAGATCTGCTCTTCTTTGTGAAAACCAACATCCACTTGTGTAGTCTGATAGTAGAGCAAGTTGTGTTTGTACCAGAAGACAAAGGAGCCTTCCCAAGGGGCATACCGGAGAGCTTTTTTAGCGTGGGGGTCATGTCCTTGGGTAGGATTTTGCTTGGTTTTGACTTTAGCGACAATAGAACGGGCGGTATCATCCAATCCTTGAGATGAGATCCAGGTCTGGACCATGTGGTATGTTTCATCCGAAGATTTGATATAGATTGTTGATGCTTAGCGGTCAGCCTGGGATCTGCGGAGATATGTTCGATCACTCACTGCAATGCTGAAGGAACCAATCTTTCAGTTGGGACACATAGGGCTTCAAAAACGCGGCCAGTGCAAATAGGCACATCAATTGAGTGTAGCCAGTTAAGTTGCCACTGAGGACCTGACCTGCCGCAGTGGTGATGTTGGTAAAACCAGGAAGAAAGAGGTCCAAGACAGACATCTGCTGGGACAGTGACCCGGGGGTGAGAGGAGGGTTGATGTTGCTGAGAAGTGTCATGACGAACAAATTTGAGAGTGAGGGATTGCAGAATAGCGTCTTTAGAGTTAATGTGTTGAGCGAGAGGGGAACAAGCACCATCTCAGGGGGGAACGTTGGCATTCTTATTGCTTTCAGAGCTCCCTTAATTGATCAGTCAAGATGAAAACAGGCTGAGGGATCTACAGCCCGGATGTGAAAGCAGGCCGCATCAAGAGCGACCAGGTCCTCTATACACGCAACTCTCTGACTCTGCAGCAGAGCGCGGCCATGGCAAGACGCTTTGCAAAAACCATCAGCTTGTAAACCGACAAATGTAGTCTGCTCTCCCATTTTGTCCTAGTCTGACTTTACTGTGATTGGGCGCGAGTCCCGGCCGAAACTGCATCACACACGACGCCGCGTGTACCGCAATCACATCCTGTTGGAGGATCTCGACTGGTTGCCATGTAGACCCATGATGAACCTTGTGGGGGATGTGTCGTCCTGCAAGCCATCAGCAGTAATGATGCTGTTGGTCCAGCGCTGTTGGATCTTTTAGTGATAGACTAGTCCCAAAAGTGATTTTCTGTGTCGTCCCAACACCATTGCGGCTAAGAGCTGATTAGAACCCTCCTCCAAACTCGCCGTGTATCGTTTTGCTTGTCTGTGTACCCACTGCACCACTCTGCACCACTCTGCACCACTCTGCACCACTCTGCACCACTCTGCACCACTCTGCACCACTCTGCACCACTCTGCACCATTCTGCACCATTCTGCACCACTTTGCACCATTCTGTACCACCCTGCACCATTCTGCACCACTCTGCGCCATTGACTCAAACCTGATGATCCTTTGTCCACGGCGTTACAGTCTGGTATTTGGCAGGCGATGATGGACTTGGCCGGCATCGAGCCGATGACGATGAGAACACGAAAGAGACGCTTAATAACATTCCCGGTGGCTCGCGATCAGGGCTACATACTACATAGAACAACTATTATATTCACCGCCCAGTAACGTCCTCCGGCGCCTTGCACATATTGGTATTGGCTTGAAATGCAAATATGCTGATCCTAACTGTAACACTCCAAATGTTCTTAGCTCACTTGCTATCATCTCAAAATTCAAGTCCTTTTTCTCGGGTTAGTATTGGGAAATTGTTGTCAGTAGGATTACAGTGAACTGACCAGGATGTTTAATCCAATCATCTCAATCATTTTTTCTCGCCGCACTCCGGGCAAATTTGACCTTTGTCTGTAATACCTGTGCCGTTCACGCACACCTGGCAACTAGATTCAGGCATCACGTTCAATTTTTGAAAACTCTTAGCCTAGAGAATCCGCAGATAGTGAGGCGGTTGAGCGAGGCCGGAAGTTGGGCTGAAACCAGTCAGGGAAAGGGACTGCGTACGATCCTGATCTGAAACCAACGTAGCACGTGAGTCAGAAGCCGACTTTTACTGTCCACTGTTTCCAACAGCGAGCCACGGATTGTTCGTGCCAACAGACGAAACAGGGCGTTATTCTGAGCGACGCTTGGTAATGCACGAGATGGTTGTCGTGAAGGATTAATCTGTGAGATTACGGGAGATTTTATACGTGGATTGAATGGGAAAACACACATAATGACGATGACGCACCATGCTTGCGCTAATTTTCTACTGGGTGTGCGGTTCTGCCACATTTGACCGCCTGGTCGTGATGGGCTGTGACATATGCGCCGCATTCCAGACTTACCCCGCGACAACTTGAATTTTCACAACACCACTAAATTCCTACGAGTTCCCCATGCCAAATTTTGATGCTTCGTTATTTGAGATAACACAAGTATCGTCAACAGTGACTGTAGACGATGCAGTCACCTTCTTCAAGGAGCATGGCATCTTCTACTACGCTGATGCAAATATTGCAAAACAAGTAGAAAGATTTGGCATTCAGCCTCTTCGCGATCCCAAGTTTCTAAGGGAATTCACGTTGGAAGATCCAGTTAGTACTAAAAGCACGCGGATCTCTCTATTACTTACTCCTTCTAGCGACTTGCGCGTATTCTCGAATCCTATGAACCAACCTACACCTATGTCCTTGGTCCTCATCGAGGAGCATTTTACTGCCAGTCAGTGAAGCCAAAACCGGAACATGCCAACCAAGCCATCGTGTATATATGGACCAAACGAACATGGCTGGAATTTTTCCCGACAAGTCATGCCGGCCCTCTTAGAGGAGTGTCTGCATCGAACGGGCTCTATCAGGTCCCGTATTTATGGTATCGGACGAAGCCTTGGATTCAAGATGAAGCAGAAAAAGAGAGACTGAAAGAGATTCCTATTGAAATGGACGAAGGTGGTGTGTAAGTCTTTTTCCTTGACATGCTTACCAGTTTCTGACACGTAATAGACTGATTGTACACCCTCGGATGACATTTGCGGTCCAAGAAGGGTTCGCAGTTGCGTACGGATGTAGGAAGAGAGACGCAGGAGATCCAGACACACAGCAATGACAGTTGTGTTCAAGGCAATTTGGGATTTGAGCTGAGGGTAGTAAGAGGTTTAAAGAGAACTATGTGCGATGGCGAATGGACCGTTCCAGAACTCCTCCATTTGAGGCTCGTATATGAACGATTCCATCATTTCTCCTATATCTGGTTCAGAAAGGGGAATTCCTAGCTCAGTTGCGGAACCCTGAATGGTTGTTTCGATGGTCGGCCGTTCTGGCTCGGGACGGAAGGAGTGGCGTTGCCTTCGAAATTTAAAACTCACACCAGCCTCCGTCTCAACGTCCCTCATAACAGAATCCCAGAGCTCCACTAACTTGGGCGTTGGGTTTTGGAAACAGCCATGCTTTTTGTTCAAAAACTCGTTTGTCTTCGCATAAAATTCGTTGCATTGCGGACATGTAGCATTACAATCGTGATCTGTACTTCGTTAATGCACAAGCCTTTTCAAGGACTTGAAGCCGTACGCCTAGCGTAATGTCGCGTATAGTCATGCGGTCGCTTAGATTGATGTGTGCATTTGGAGCATTGGTACAGCTTAGATCTCGTATTCTGGACGCGTCGGGTCTTGCCAGGCTTATTTTCGGGGTTCGAACGTCTTTTGTTGTTGCGATATGGTGATTGAGAACCATCAACTCGCTCTTCATCGGTTTGAGGGCTGTCGGGCGACGCGATGTCAGGCAATCGGCTCATTAGGCTGAGCATCTGGGCCTAAGATCGCATTAGAGACAGTAGAGATAGTACCATCATGTGCTTGCCTGATGCTTTTGCAAATGTACTTTCACGTCATTTCGCGTAATGAGTTCGAAGCAGACATCGCATTGAAAAGCCTCAAGAGTCATGTTATTGAGGTGTTGTAGAAAGAAAGATATACGTTTGATCGACATACTTGCTTTTACCCCGCCCGTACAGTGTTAGGTGTGATTTCAGACAGTAAGACACATTACGCAATCGCGGACAAGTGACCTTTGACAAGTACGGCCCTGTCACGATGCCATGGACGATCTGCATCGTAGACAATGACCCCATTATTTGGGGGCTTTGTTTTTTTCGGAGAGCATTATTTTCTATAACTCCGTGGTTGGTTGAGCAGTCGCGTCGTTTTAGGCGTCAATGACTGAGTTTTATACTCGTGAACGATTTTTTTTTTTTGGATTTTACAGTAACTATGCGCGCTAGACACGGCAGGAAATGATGAAGCAGGAGCCAGACCATATTTTCTGCCTTAGGCACTAAGTTTTATTCCTTGACGAAAGAGCCAGAAGATGTCTTCGTGCATCTCTGGACAGCCCCTCGTCCATATCTGACATTCATCCAAAAATGGCCGTTCTAACTTGGCTTCAGGTGTAAGCCCATCTATATCTCTGACGGCCGATTACCGCCGAGCAACTATGGTCATCTTTGCGGCAGCTTAGATGCGGTAGCACATGTGTGCTAATGCAAACCTGCCGGAACATGGGGGTTAACACCAGAGCCCCATCTTGCCTCAGGTAAGTCTTGCCGCTTGTTCGCCAAACCACGCCCTCAGCTGTTTCATTCTGCTTCCTGACATCAAAACCTCTTCAGATGGTGACCCATCAGCGTTACGCCGGAATGCTAATCGGAGAATTGCGCCAATCTGGCCTGCAGCTTCAGCCAGACCCTGCGTTCTACCCCGACGTTCCTCCCCTTCGATCCCAGAGGCAGCCCAGAACTCCTTCCAGAAGGTGTCTCGCAGCAGCAGCTTACATGCATAGTCATGCCAGCCGTCTTGGGTCATGAACCCTGTGGTTAAGAAGAGGATGTCCAAATCCATTCCGAAGGGCATAACCGCCGCCAGAGACCAATCGACGATGCCTGTGATTTCGAACTTGTTCTCATCGACTAGAATGTTCGTTACTGAGAAGTCGCCATGCGTGAGGACTTGTGGGTAATCTTGACTGAAGAGTAAGGGAAGGTTCTCAATGAGCTTAGACAGCATCGAGTTCGACAGAATGGACGATGGTGATTCTTCCGCCAGCCGGGCGAGTCTTTTACGGATTCCTTCTTGCTTCTCTGCTTGGGTTTGACGGTCAACCGGCCGAGAGCTGGACCAACATCGTGCAAAGTACCTTGAAGATATGAGCAAGATTGCCTCTGAATATATATCGGCTTATATGAGAGTTACCGAGCCAGGTGTTTGACAAAGACTCCATGCTTGGCTTCTTCTTCAGGATCCATTTCCACCTGAAAAGCCAGGACTTCAATACAGGATGAGCCTCGCAGATAGGGCATGGAGTAGATGGATAACGGTGGATCGGCTCCCTCCACGTTGCCGTGACAGGTCGACTCTGGCACAAGGTCGCCGTGAATCTCTTTGGCCAACTTCACCATCTCCTCGTCGAGCATGGCCCCCGGTTCTCTGAAGGATACAATGAGATCTTGTTGTGGCTCAGGGCGCCCACTGCAGACGATGGTGTAGCTCATTGAGCCTGGGCTATCCACGGGGCTAACCGTCGACGCGCCAGAAACCGATTGTGCAATTTCGTCACATTGTATCTGCGATGGCGATTTGCGGCCGCTAAAGAAGCGGTCCGTTGCCTGTTGGGCCCAAGAAGACTGGGTCATTATCAAAAGTGCAGTTTTCTGAGATTGTGCCAACAGCGGAGGTCGAAGCGTGAAAAACCGTTGTTGGCTGTGGTGGAAAGTCACAGTTTGGACGAGCGGGGTATTCACGGTTTCCCTCAAACCGATTGCCTGGTGCTGCAGACCAACAGATACAACAACCAACATACATTGAATCAGGCAGCAACCCCTCATTTCAGCCATCCTTTATGCAAGAAGGGGCTACACTTTCACCTCGCGTATACGATTGGGGTACCTACGGGTAGTCACCACAAACATTTCTAGAGCGCAAATATGGGTTATTCAGTTAGTAATGACTAGCCATGGGTACTCATTGAGGGCCAATTCTATCACCGAGGTAGCGAGAATGGAATGCAGACATGGATCTGGTAATCAGGCTGAGGACAGCAACCAATTGTCGGCAGATTGTCCTCGGCTTCGCCGCTGCCAATAAGCTAGACGATCCGGGTATAAAAGGAGTACCATATCCTCTTGAAGGGTAGTTCAATACGCAAACTCTTGTCAACATCAATCCTCACAATCAGTGTGCCAGTGCCTTTGTTCGATAAAGTTACCTCTCTTACCTCGTCAATTCAACAAAATGGCTACTGCTCAAACTCTTGCAGTCGTGGACATCCCCGGTCTTCATCACTCGCCCAACGCTGAGGACTTTGCAGACTCCCGGAACGTGTATGCCTGACTGCTCCCCAGACCCCCCTGTGATCTTTGTGCTAGCACTAACTCGACGTGTAGCTCTAATGGTCTTCCCCAGCCTGAGGAGCAGCCAGAGATATCTGACACCACGCTCAAGAACTTGGGCGAGCTTTTTGTTCGCCACGACGCCCATGATGCCTTCGGCATCCATCTTCTGCATGCTCATTTCCAGGTCCCTGAAGGCAATGTCCTGTATGGGATCCAAGTCCAGGTTTCGGGCAATTCCGAATCGTGTTGGACCAAACCTGTTCCGGCAAAGGAGCTGGCCACCAAGCCTATTCATGGCCATGTCTTTCACTTACAGCCCAATGGAGCCTTCGTCCCGTATGAGTTCCAGGAAGGCGAAGCTCCATCTAAGGTAGCCAAGGTCCCCAAGGCATTTTTCCAAGAGCTTGCTGAGTTCCTGCACCTCAACAACCTTGCAGGCTTGGTTGCGCTGCAGCTCTTGGATGGCCCAAGGGACCAGACCAAGACTGAGCTCCAGGTTGGGCCACAGGGCACTCTGATGATGGATACTAAGGATGTCCTCGGGTTTGAGCCCGCACAAATCACCACGGGTTGGTTCTTCCAGGTGGGAGAGGATGGGATTATTTCTTGCAAGGGCAACGACGTGTATGCTGCCAAGAAGAACACCCACGGAGTCTTCCAGGATTCAAAGCCTCTTCCGACCCTGGAAGCATTGAAAGCGGCTCTGCTTCAGGAAGGAATCATCGCCTAACGGTTTCGGTGCTCACCCCATTCAATGGCTTGGACGGCCTGGAATTGATTGCGATGGCGATGGTAAAGATAGCAGGATGAGTCGTTCCTTATATAAGAGTACAATCTGGAAGATCACAGCCACTCATTAAGCGAATTACAGTAGTCTCCATCGAACACTCAGGTAGTTAGGTGACCAATAGCAGAGATGGGGGGTTGAGTAATTTGAGCTCATACTTTGTCCAGATATCTTTCTTCCATCTAAGGCTAGTGACAATTCTCGCTGCATCATCTTATAGACACAACGTTTCTTTGCCTCAGAATTTGATCTTCACTATCCAGCCATGCAAAGCTTCTGGTTGCCAACTTCGAAATGCACAGCACAGCTATTCAATCCTCGAATGTTGGGTTATCTAGCCACGTACGAAACTTGGTGAGAGCTGAAGTGTCATGTCGCGTCTCTGACGTCGTATAGTCCTTCATCTCGCAATCGATCCAACCTTTCGTACCACGGCTAGTCGATAACTTCTCCCCTATCCTACGAGCCGAGCCAAAGTCGATCAGAATGGGTCTTCTGTCCTCTGCCACGAGGACGTTTGTGGGGTTGAGGTCGTTATGGGCCCAGCCAAGCGAGTGTAAATGATGAATTGCCGACTTCAGTGATTCTATGAAGAGCTTTTTATTCTGGATGGTGTGGCCGCTCTTTAGGTAGCTGTTTAAGTCATGGGGGTGTCGGTCGAGCACGAGTCCAGTGATATAGCCCCGTCGCACATGGCAGCCATGGTACCCAACGATGTTTGGGTGAGGTTGGCTCCCCAGCACTTCCATTGCTTCTGCCTCTTCCACCAACCCCTTGGGGAGGAGATGCAGGACTTTATGCTTTGAGAAGATATCGTACAGCGCTAGCCTGGGCCGCTTGACGAAAACGTCTGGTGGGAGCTCCTCAGGGGCCTTAGTGAGAGTGAGGCCTTGGGGCCACCGGGGAAAGATTTCCTCGTCAGGAATTCGAACAAGGGAGTCGGTAGCATGCTGAAATAAGATGTCCGCCTTTGGCTTGTTCAACTGGCCGTAGTATATCATGTCGTCTTCCACCGTTGCGAACATGGTATATTGAAAGTCTCCAGTGTCCTCGTCGACTTCTTCAGACACCCAAAGCAATTCCTCCCAACTGGTAACCTGTGGCGCCATGGCGAAGGGATTTCCAAGTAAGCGGCAGAATGCGCGGATAATTGGATTATCTGGTCTGGTGAGCTCTCCGGTAATTCGAGTCAGGTATCTTCCAGTAGCTGGGGGTCAACGAAGGCCGCCCACGTGCGATCTGACAGGTGATTATCTGTCAAGAACCACCCAAAAGGCATCTGCCCCACTGTTATAGGCACAGGCAATCGTGCACCAGCGTTGCGCACAACCCCTCATCCAAGACGTCTGAGAATGTTGAGTCCTGATCACATGGCTTTCCATGCATGTCCTCTCTACTGTTTTAATGTAGGGTATGTTGCGACTGAGAATGACGGGTCATCCAGGGACTCGGAAGTGTGCTCTTGGGGAGCTTAATTTAGAAGTCTCCAGACCTTATTCGCCATCAGCGAAGTAGTGTCCCCGCCCTGACTTTATCGCGCGGTTCCTGGGCTAATTTTAGAAGACAATGGAACGTTGCGGAGGCTCATTAGTGGGTGCTGCCTACACCAGACAATGCTTCAGGCAAACCTGTCGACGCAGCCTGAGTCGCAAGTGAATACACTGAAGCATCGAACCCCGTGCAAGCATCAAACCAGCACATTCTAACATTCTAGGGCTTGCGTACGCAGGCGCAAAGTCAACGGTGCAACCTGCTTGCATTAGCGGGAGGCCGCGTCATCAATGGAGTGGAGGGTCCTGAATTGGGCTGAGCGACTAAAGCGCTGAAGGACAGACAAGAACGCGTGGGCAGATTGGGTATGCAGCAGCACTGAAAGAGCCAAAATAGGTCATTGTTCCAGGGAGCGTTCCAAAACGACCTCGTCTCGTTCCAGGACGCCATCTACTATACATCAAGGTAACTGCAAAATATGGCGCTGGAAGGGAAGAGCTATGCTGCCTCCGACTTAGGCAACCCCACATTTCGGACGTCGATGTGGCTGTGTGGACTGACCCGCTTATGATAACATGGTTCTCTGGGCAGGGAGGTGTTCTGTTGTCCCCACGTCATTCCCTTATCCAGCGTCTCACAACAAACCAGTTCTCGACGCCGATCACCCGCCCCCTCTCACGCAAATCCATCAGCCTCCATGGGAGAAATTGAGAGGCTGCGAGAGCAGCTACGGGAAGCGCACCGCCTGCGCGAAGAGGAGCAACGACGACGTGAAGCTGCTGAAGGTCGCGCCCTCGAGGAACAACACCAACGAGAAGAAGAACAGCGCCGACGCGAAGAAGAACAACGTCGACGCGAAGAAGAACAACGTCGACGCGAAGAAGAACAACGTCGACGCGAAGAAGCCGAGAAACGCGCAGACGTATCGCGACCATTGACACTCCAACAATATCTCGAAACATGCCATTCGCTCAGCCTTGCCATCGAAATAATAACCGATCGTTCCTTGACGACACAAGGAGACACGACAAACCCGACCGGCCGAATTTATCCTCGACGAATTATCCCGTGGACAACATTCGCAAGAGAACAAGAAAAAGTCTGGAATCAGCTTTCATTCAGTCCCACGTTTTCTTCCCGACCCGCCTTTCCATCCCGACACCAGCTGGATTACGTGAGATCCCTGCTTCGCCCGGTCAGCAGCGAGATTGGACTCCGAAATAGCGAGCGAGACGTTGTGGAAAATGCAGTCCAGAAGCTGATGGACGCGACACACAACGATTCATCGCTGAGGAGTCATCTCGGCCTCGATGGAACAGTGACTTTTGAAAGTCACACGAACCTCGGTATTACCGATGACTCCCTTTCCGAATCGATGGAGCAAGCATCGATTGGCTCCAGACCACCCAGCCGAATGACTCGACGACGAAAGGCACGAGGGAAGGGCAACCGAGGAGATCAGTTCTGCATATACCGGACCTCTGACGATCAAAATGTCCCTGTCGTCGCGATTGAGTATAAAGCGCCACATAAGTTGAGACGCGGCGAGATTGTCACAGGGCTGGTCTCAGAGATCCAGCCGGATCGTGATGTGATTAACCAGGAGGGTGAGGGATATGAATTTGCAGCGAGGCGACTTGCTACTGCCGTAGTGACCCAGCTCTACTCCTACATGATAGGTAAAGGCATCCAGTTTGGGTATATCGATACCGGAGAGACATATGTTTTCCTCCACATCCCTGACGACCCATCCTGCGTCTACTACTCCGTCTGCGTGCCAAGCCTAGACGTCCAAGATGACGACGAGACTCGACTCCATCGTACTGCTGTTGCGCAAGCCTTTGCCTTTGTGCTTCAGGCCATCCGATCGCCGCCGCCCTGTCAAGCCTGGCATGACGCTGCTGAGCATCTCGATACATGGGCCGTGGAGTATGAGGACGTATTGCGGAGCATCCCGGCAACAGATCGGAAGCCGCGACGCGAGACTCCTTACAAGGCACAACGGTGGAAAGGGTTTGTGCGCTCTCCGATCCGGACACGCTCCCGATGCTTGCCACCCCAGGACGGGGCACAGCCGCCAACCGATGACAGCGAAGATGACGATGATGACGAGAGTCCTTCCCCAACGCCAAACCCAACCGTTGGTCGCAGTGGCTTGACCACATCAACAGACGTCGGGTCGAGCGAGATGCAGGAGCATGATGGAAGCGCAGCCTCACAAGAGGGTACCATCATGCGACCAAACATCCAAGATCGGCCATACTGCACGCACGAGTGTCTTCGTGGGCTCGCGTTCGGCGGTTCAATGGATGAGAAATGCCCTAACTTGGCGAATCATGGCAACATGCACATCACCCTGCGCGAGTTTCTTCGTCTGGCGAAGGTTCAACTAGCAGTTGATCGTGGGAAGGATGCTGATTGCGTGCCACTCTACCTATCTGGATCACGGGGATCCCTCTTCAAATTCCGTCTCTCGTCCCATGGCTACACACTTGTGGCGAAAGGAGTAGAGGCCATGGATACCAAGCATCTACGCTACGAAAACAAGATATACAGTCATCTTCAGGACCTCCAGGGGAAGTTTGTTCCGGTTTGTCTCGGTGTTGTGCACCTTATCAAGCCCTATTACTACGATAGCGGCGTGTATGAAGACTTCATGTTCCTCAGCTACGGCGGGCGACCAGTCTTGAAAGGTTTGGGAGAAGTCAATGCAGACATCGCCAACGAGATCCTTGCCGCACTCGGTCGGTTGCATCAGCATGGAGTCCTCCACCAAGATGCAGAGCCGCGCAACGTGCTCTACGATAAACGCACTGGGAGATGTATGATCGTGGATTTGATGCTGGCGGAGTTCCATGGCCGACAACCTCTTGGACCCATCAACGTCAATGGTAAAAATCGGAAGAGGAAATGGGCGCCAAGAAAGCATGAGAAGGACGTTTTCGCTATTGAGGCGCAGTCCTTGCGAGCGAGCCTGACACAATAGGGTCAGGGTCTAATGGGCGTGTTCTGGGACATCAAACATGCTGCGATAATGAATGCGCTGTAATAATGCATATACTATGATGCTGAGTGTACTGTGATACTGAACGTACCATGCCAGGGGCTGTGCTATGATATTATGTGCTATCCTAAAAGCTGGTCCAGGACACAATGTACTATCTCATAACCTGGGTTGGTATACTGCGAGGCCCCAAAACTGGGACCTGTTGTGTTGTAGTCGGATTGACGGTCAATTCCGTGGCCTAAAGAGTGGTTCCTGAGCTAATCTGGTCAGAGCAACTCAAGATACAGCACATCGATCGCATGTAGGACCTTCTGGTCAATCCTAAAATAGCCTTTCCGTCCAAGGCTTGATTCTTGGCCTGCTGTCATATGACGAGTATTGAGGTAAGTACCCATACCCTTGTACACTATCTGAGCGTGGTGTGGGAGACTAGATAATCTGTTAAGATGACCGCCTTCTGGGAGAAGAGATCCACTTTTGTCAGAATTTGGTTGGCGGTTAAGCTCCCAAGTTGGTCTTTATCTAGCTTTGGCGCTATCGCTCCCGGATTTTATCGCGGGGGTTCCTCATTTAAAGCCACCTAGATGTCAAACATGCGAGAATGCAAACAACAAGTTCAGAACAGACGTTTTGAACCAACAGGAAGAAGGATCTGGACTGGGCTCTAAACCTTGGTATGTTGAGGAAGGGAAATGGGAAAGCTCATCTGCGCGATATACAGTAAACGCACTAGAATACATAAGCCAGCCTATGACATACGCTCGTACCAGCGGACTGGCGTAGGTCGCGGGCTGTACTGTATGCACCAGGACGCCCTATGGGCCACCGCATCTGTGCTGGTAGTTAGGACGCCCAGGCATGTTTGCGCCAGTTTAGATGCACTAGCAAACATGTGCTAGTGCATACGTGCCAGAGCTTGGGGGCTAACACCAGAGCCCCAGCGCACCTGTACCTGGATACAGGGGCTGGGTTAGATTAAACGCTTGTGCCATATTGCTGGCGTGTAGCTACACGATATCCGCCAGTCCCTTTATATTAATAACATGTCTCACTGGCGCAATTCTAACAGTGCAATATTCCTGTTCTTTTTTTTTTTTTTTTGTGTCCCCGGTTGAATAACATGGCCTGCGTCGCCTTGTTGGGAATTAAAGCCTGTAGTTGTCCTGTGCCCCTATGGCAAGGTTTGTCACATCTGCGCTTTGTTTCAAGGTGCACAACAGCATAGGACAACAAGAGGCTAAGAACGGCTTCCATGCCGTGCACAAAGCAGAGCGAGGAGCCAAAACCAGTCCTTTTTACAAAGATGACCTATATATAGCGCCCCGATGGTGTGTACTTAGCTATGAACCCGATTATGGCATCTCATTTTCTCAGGTTGTCGAAATGCACTCCTCTGGCCGGGCGTGCATCTACCCTAAAACAAGAAGCAGATCGCTGGCCAGCATCATGGCAGGGAAGCCAAAAACAGCTTCCTAAATACACAAAACTCGAAAGCAAAATTGTCACCCCTGCGGTTGCTGGAAATGGACCAGAGAAGGATTGCTATATGTATCCTGTCCCTAGCTGATTGTTCTATCAACTTTCCCTCGTCGCGATAACAATGGCGGTCATTGAGAACATGCGCGTGAGAAAGAGAGACCGGAGTAATGAGAACTTCAAGAAAAAATGGGGCACACTCAAGAATAACGGCCTCATTATCCACCAGGTTTATGACGCCGAAGTATATGTCTGTATACGCCGCAAGGGCGAAAAGTATGAGTTTAAGTCTACTGACAAAGCGTTACCGCTGTCTGACGAGGAAAAAGTCAGTCTCACTGACACAATATGCTTACTGTGACTAACAGAGTATGACAGAATGAAAGCTTCCCGTTACCTGTACTAGCGACAGCCGCGGACGTTGCACGCCAAAGGAACAGTCAAAGATCAGTGAAGGGACGGGAGCAGCGGCAGGAATGTAGTCCAGAATGGCCGGTGCTAATAGGGAACCTATTATCAGAGCCCAGAGGAGGCTCTGAGGCGGAGCCTGGAGAGGAATAACGCAATAAATTATATTTGATCTTAGATGGAACTTTGCTCCTAACACGATGATGCCTAGCAATCTAAGTAATGAATGTGTCATCTATGGGTCACCAAGAGCTGACGACGTTTGTCGCTGTCAATGTCTGGAAGTATTGTTGATGACGCGCTTACCATCCAAAGCCATCGTACGTGCGCTGTCTTCGGCTGACCCATCAGGCACCTCTGATAAATTTAGCGGTTGATTCACTAATTTTAGCGTGTCTGCTCCGGGTAGCCGCTCAGCCCTGGTGGAGGCGTGACATGCATGCCTGAATAAACAAAAATGGCGAGGTATTCAATGGCTCAACACCAAAGGATAAACAGGCAAATGTGCTATGCAATTGTTTATAGTTCATTGCTAACCATATCAAGTCTATGATATAGATTGCTCCTGTATAGCCACAGCCGATTTCAGATCTCGCTGAGCAGCGTAGAGGCTGGTTGCGACGGGAACGCAGGATAATGCCAGACTCGCCCTCCTAATGTTACATTTGATATCAGCATTGCCATAATCTAGTATAATAGTTATACCTGGAACGGGCCATTGCAGGCGCTGGCGAAGAATTCCGAGCGTGGGCAAACGATGGCTTTATGCATTATGTGATGATCATCGCCGCACACAATCGTCAAATCTAAATATGTGCCATCGTCAAAGAGTCTCTGAGCGTTTGGGGTGTGCCTCGGTAAGGATAGCTGATAACGAACTGTTTCAAGCAACGCAAAAGAGCGTTGCCTCACTCTTGGGTCCTGTCCAGTCATGTCTGAATGTGGAGAAGGGGGGATCTCCATGTAAAGCTTGGCCTTGAAATGGCGAGTATCGGGCAAGGATCAAGTATGCCCCGCCAAACACAGGAGAACGTTTACGTCATCGACACCTGAGGACATAACGTATGCGATAAGCGAGTGGCACAGACAAGCGAGTGGCACAGCATACTGTACACCTAGAAATAGCTTACCCTATAGGAATCTACTTCTTAAATAAAATAGCTAAAAATCTATAAAAATTATTTTTAAAAATAGTATAGCTAACTTAATAAAGAAGTATTTTTATAAGATTTTTATTTATTTTATTTTATATAGAAAACCTTAAAATACAGTGTAATATACAGTGTAAATAGATTTTAAAGTTTATAGCTATATAGAATTTCTTTAAAAATTCAGAAAAATTAGTATAGCTTATTTTAAGACTTATATATAAGTTATTAAAATCTGAGCTATTTTAAGCTTAATTTGAATTTTAAAGAATTATTTAAAAACCTGCCTTTAAGGTGATAAGTGGGGTGTGCCACTCGCTTGTCTGTGCCACTCGCTTATCGCATACGTTAAACGAAAATCTTAGTAAAACATTCACATTCTACTACAAACAAGAGCTGTATCCTCTGTTGGTGGGCTTATGTTCCAAGAAACAGAGAAATTGAATCTGTTTTCTTAATTAGTCTTGTTCCTGGGCACAAATTGATGTTGTTTACGTATTTGGTAACTCATTACGTTCCTGGGAATAATTGGATGCTGTTACATGTTTCACAAGACCTTGGGCTGTTCCCAGGACCGACATTGCTGTTTACTTGTTTACAACCCTTGTATTGTTCCTGGAAACGAATTGATGCTGTTTACATGTTTGGTGGCTCCCAGGAACAAGTAGTAACTACTTTCAGTATTGTGTAGCACCCAGGAACAAGTAGTAACTACTTTCAGTGTTGCTTAACATTCCTGGGAACAAATCGATACTGTTTACACAATTAGTGCATCTGTTGTTCCCAGGAAGAAAGTAATGTTGTTTACGTGTTTGATGAACTATGTTCCTGGGAGCAAGTCAATGCCGTTTTTTGTTTCTCGTTTAAGGATCTCTCGAGGCCAGGTACAAGGAAGGTGGCATTGCGACTTGGGGTCATAGCGTTATGCCAAAAACCTTACATCTACTCGCTAGCTCTTATTAGGGGAGATCAAAGCTTGCGGCGGTTATTGGACCAATGTCGTTGTCCTCTGTTGTGGTGGCTTCATCAGACATCTAGAAACCGGCTTTGCTCTCCTGTTTCTTGTATCATGCTCTTAGGTTAGCGGAAAGACAATTGCGCAAGTGATCAAAGTGGCCGCGTCATTTCGAGGGTACCTAATTATAGAAAATTCTTTGACGATTGATTGGACAGCCTAGGCGCCTTAATTATGTCGGAGCGGATGAAACGGGACTAGACCATTTTTCTGCCTTAGGCCTAGATTTGGCACCTCATCGAAAAGGCTACTTTTCTCTTTACCGATGTTTAGCCCGGGATTTCCTTTCTAATGCGCATTCCTCCACATAAACTTGAGCGGCCTCAGCCTCAGCCTCAGCCTTAGCAACGTGACTATCCGCACCCACACAAGCAAAGACGCGCCGCGAGCGGAATCATCGTGTCACGTCTTCCATCTTGACTCCATCTCCTTACCACCGCACTCCTTCCTCGATCCGCCAAAGCATAGCATAACTAAGACGGCGATCTCTATGAACCACTGAAATCGCACCGATAGCCCGTCGTCTCACTAGCCGAGACGATTTTCCCGAGACAATTATCTATGCGTTCAAGGTGGAATACGATGCTATCTCTCTGGTTGACTGGGCCGAAACACGCAGTAGCATGAAACGATGGCATTTATCAGCGCCTACTTCCCCGTAAGCCTAGCTACATATTATAAATTTATTACTCTTGGAACTCGTGAAATTGAACGTGCTGGCGTGGTAGCGACTTCGTTCCCCACTTCACCGCTGAAGCCCCTCAAACCCCCAATCTGGCTATGCCACGGTTATACAGTCCCTCCCCAGTCCGGCCCCCCCACCTTTATAAAAAGCCACCGGGTAATCTACGGCTTTAGTGCTCACCATAAGTGATTGAAGGTTGGATGTCGGTGAAATGTGCGGGGGGGTTCAGCGTGGTAAAAAGGCATAGAATTTAGACCTCCGGTCATCATTCAAGTGTAGGTAGCACATGCCAAATAGAGAGCGCTATTCCACGAGCAAGCTGACGCTCTAGACCCCATGAGTGCCGGTACCTATAGCGACGACCCTCTGGAGCAAGCAGGCAACCTCGCAGGCTGGCTTGTTGGGCTGGGCGACAACGATTGGGCGTCGTATCAAGGCAGCACCGTAGAGCAGTGCAAACACCCAGGTCGAAGGGAGAGGATCATTGGCTTGATAAAGGCCAGCAGAATCGAGGTGAGCTCTGAACTTGAATATCGAGTGCGCGATCGTTCATATTGCTGATGAGTCGCTCTGGTAGACGACTGGAAAGGTAGCCTTTGTCTTCCGGTGTCGCGGCCCATTCGTCGGTGCCCTCGAGCCCACGCCACGCGAAACGTTCCCCGGCAACATCATACTCATCTCTCAACGAGGACAATCCGCCTTCTACTTCAACGGCATCTTGACCAGACCGGGAGACAAACAGGAGATCGATGGGCCTGCCCGCATTGAGGTCGGCGCTGAAGAAGTGGTGTTTTTCTTGGCAACATTCACAAAGAAGGTGTAGAGAAGTCGATCGAGTCCAGTTCAATACCGTAATATTCGAAGGGATCGCTGTTACTGTCTAGAAGCATGTCTGCCGTGTCCAAGTCAGCTCGAATACTTCCTAACCCTTGAAAGCCTGCCGGGGGTGTAGAGGGGGGGACACCAAAAAGGGTCTTACCATCACCGGAACAAGAACCTGCAGGATCTATCCTCTTACTAAAGGTCTGGCAACTGCCTGTTCCTCCGGCTCCATGCGAGTATGATGGCGAAGAGTCACCAACGGTTGCCGGTTCGTTGGGATTCTCACGCCTGGCCGTGGGTGAAGGTTGGGATAGCACACGCTGGCAAGCCATGTCAGTGGCGTGCTGCGTCAAGGGCCTCCTTGCTCGTCTCTTGCACGGCTGCTCGTCCTCCTCTATCGTGGTGGCGGCTCGTTCTCCTTCTCGATTCCTGGGTTTGCGGGGGGCAGGTCCGATACGGCATCTCTTCGTTTGTGGGCGTTCCTTTGATGTGAAGACGACCTGGACGATGTAGAAGAAATCACTGTGTGGCCTCACGCAGAACAGATGCGCGACCAATTCCCTCTTGTGGTTTGGCGGCAACCCCTCAAGTAAGGCCATGACTTGGACATTGTCAGATATCGCAACGGCACATGCTGCCAGCGCGAATGTGCCGCCATAGGCAAAGAACTTGTCCTTCACCTTCCCAAACTCTTCCAGGTTCGCAGGGCAGTTCATGAGGTGGAAAGCAGTGACAGCAGGTTGTCCCCCGACTTCTAATAGATGAAGCGCCATGGTGTCGGAGGATTGCTTGCCATCTAGAGAGACACTACCGATGGCACTGTGAACAGCATCGACAAGCTGCGTCCCGCCGTAGCGCCAGACCTGGGCCTCCCATAGTGTCTCTTGAATGGTACCACGTTTGCATGAATAGACGACTGCGGACAGGCGATCCGGTGTTTTCGATCGCGTGCCTTCGAGAGAGACGCGGAATTTCTCCTGAAGCTGAAGGAGAGTAAGGTCTGAAGGAGAGAGCTTTACCAAGCCCAGGGCCTTGATCAGTGTCGTGCGGAGAGCATCGGGCTGTTCTCTCGAGGCTGCTCTGATGTCAAGCTGAGTGCCTTCAACAGTGACTGTGAGAACAGCAGAACAGCTACTAGAGGATTGGGCTTGGGTAGCCATGATGAGTACGAAAAGTGAAAGAGTGAGCTCGAGTCCGACCGGGAAGCAGATCTTGTTCCTCGACAGGATTCAGGGGGGCTGAATCTCGCCATTTGACGGAATTCAAGGGGGCCAAATCCTGTCAAGTCACAGGATTCCAGGGGGTCAAATCCTGTCAGCTGGCAAGATTCAGGGGGATCAAATCCTGTCACTTGACAGGATTCTTGGTGGGGTCTGAGCAGGGATCTAACACATGGTGGGTAGTATGCATGTAAGCTGCTCATTGTAAGCCGACCGCACTCAGAGACAACGGTAGGAGCCTCATTCCGCATATAGGGAAATCAGATTACGCGGTCCATCATTCAGCCGTAATGATGAGCAAGAGGTACTTGAGAAAGAGCTTAAAGGTTGCATCAGGCAGTCTGTTGCCTCATCAGCTATCTTTGGCGCAGTTCGCCTTGATTCGCCCTGACGTTTCTTTGGCCAAATTGCCCCTTCCAACACCATCTTTCAGTGCTCCATAGCTTGCACCAATGTCAGCAGCCGCCGAGGTTGAAGTTGACGATTATGAGAACGAATCGGGGTACGGCGATGAGTTTTCAGTGGTGACCGCCTCCATCGACAGCTATATACTTAGGTACGAGCAGAAACACGGGCGAACCTACCACAGCTACCACCAAGGGTCATATAACTACCCAAACGACGAGCAGGAGCAAGATCGCCTCGACCTGGTTCACCACGCCTTCAGACTCGTGCTTCAGGATAGGCTTTTTCTCGCACCCATAAACCTGAACAGCTCTGATCTTAGAGTCCTCGATATTGGTACCGGCACCGGCCTATGGGCCATTGAATTTGCAGACGAGAACCCTCAGGCAACTGTCGTCGGCGTTGATCTCAGTCCTATCCAACCTGGGTGGGTGCCACCCAATGTTCAATTCTACGTTGACGATGTTGAGGAAGACTGGGACGAGCCTAAGCATTACGACTACATCCACTGTTGCTACATGGCCGGCGCCATCGCGGACTGGCCGGCGCTCGTACGCCGACTTTACGATCACCTAAATCCTGGTGGGTGGGTGGAGTTTCAGGAAACTATCAACACGCTTTACTCAGACGACGGAACTCTGGAGCCGAACAATGCTCTCGTGGGGTTGATGGATAACCTCAAAAAAGTCCACGACAAGATTGGCCGCACGCTAGATCCCGCTCCTGAGTTCAAGAACTGGGTATGGGAGGCTGGCTTCCACAACATTACGGAGCAAAGGTTCAAGTTTCCTGTAGGCCCGTGGCCTAAGGACAGGAGGTTGAAAGAGATCGGGGCTTGCTTAAGCATGAACTTCACCAGCGGCGTTGATGCCTTCACAGCGAAGCCTTTCAGAGACCATTTAGGTTGGTCACAGAAGGAGGTGGAGGTTCTGAAAGCGGAGGTTCGGAAGGCAGCTAAACGCAGGGAGGTTCATGCCATGTTCCATCTTGTTGTTGTGACAGCGCAGAAGCCAGGATCATAGCGAGTGAAGCTGGCATTCATGGCCGCAGCCAGCCAACGTAAAATGGCCTCCTCAAATAGTTTGTTGATGGGGTTGAGTCAGTGATGAGCTGTAATTCGGGCTCCTAAGGTCGCAAATTGCCGTTGAATTCTTTACATCGACCCTCAGCTTTGTGATGTACGAACCAGACAAAGGCGTAGCCCAACAACTGAAGCGGGGTGCCTTGACGATGTGCTGCCTGGGTGTCGTTGTGAGCAATCGCCCTTAACAACTCCATACTCTGACGCGGTTCTTTAACCAATGAGTAACCTGCCTTGTTGTTCTGTACCGATACCACGTCACTTGAGCGAGGCAGCGGCATGAATATAGCTGCAGTGATTGCATCTGCAGTCTTTGTATCTTTACGGTATCCTTGTTTCTACCAGCAACTCAAGAAAAAGACAACTGGCGGTGACTGAAGGCACTGCAATGTTAGCTGGAAAGGCAGCGGCTTCGACAGGGTTTAAATTGTGATTTTGCGGGTGGCTGCATGGACCCTTGAATGTGACAATGTTGGTTTTGATGTGACAGCCTGGTTGAATAGCACGCGGGCCTTGTCATCTGGCTTGGTATAACAGGGCTGGCACCCACCTCCATGAACGTGAGGACCAAGTATTCTATATTAGCGAAAAGCCAACCTTTCCAAACCTGTCTTATATCACGATGGTGAGCTATCCTGAGGCTGTGACATCATAAGCACAATTACTTACTAAGGTTAAGGAAGACGCTTTGTTCTCGACCTCAGACAGTTTGATCCGAGACGATATGATCAACGGAAAGTTCCAGGGCTTTTTAGCCCTCTCTAGGGAGTATCGCCTCAGTTTAAGCGAGAAGATGTTGATGGAAGAGAAGAGAAGACTGCGAGAGACAGAGAAGGAGAGATGGCCGCAGGAGGAAGAGAAGGAGAGGAGGCTACAAGAGGAAGAGAAGAGAAAGCCCGCGTTTCTAGTAGAAACAAATGGCCTGCGATGCAAGCGATGTACTGCCACAAGAAACAATAGTGTGGCACAAAGTTTTGCTGAGGTTGCATATTGCGGCTCATGTCTTGTTGAGCTCGTCAACTTGGAAATGAAGTGTCTGCCAGATTCACGCCAAGCGAGACTCTAACAATTAATCAAGCCAATATAGTATGCTTAGCGCCTATTATCCCCCTTTCTCTCTAGAATATTCAAAGCGATAACAATCACCGTCATTTCTTTCATCGCAGAAACACCTACTTGCATGCTTCACCAGTATCGTCCTGTTTACTTTTCTCAGCATGTGTGCTGCAAAGCCGGAAGTTAGATATTATATCAAACTTTGACTGGGAATAATTAAATCCTAACCCGCTTCGTTGCCAAACCATGGATTGCCGCGGGTGTAGCGATGGAGTGGAGAAGAATGAGGCTCAGCAGGACACCGATGGGGAGAGCCAGTAATGGCTGGTGATTGATAAGTCTGTGGATTGGGCCTTGGAGGGATAATCAGTCTAGCCCTACCGGTACAAGGCATGTCCCAGTTTGGGCAGCAGGCCGTACCTGAACGTTTTACTGTTGGTACAGATGGACGAGTACCAAAGATGACCAATAGCTTAGGCGATTGAGGATGGAGCAGCCCTAAGGGGAGCCATTCCCCCTAGCTTATAACCCCAGTCGGTCAACTCAGCACAAAACTTCATCTCCTAGTGCATTACCGTCAGTGACATCATAACGGGCAGTATCCTGCTCTTCAATCCCACCATTCTCTCTCTCCTAGATTTCCATGACACCCCATTGTATGGCATTTTCGCCCCCTTTTCAGCCATCATGAGCCATGCAAGGGCCGTCGGCCAGTACGATGAGGTGGCTGCTCCTCAGCGACCTCCACTTCAAGCATCATGACTTGGATCGGGTGCGGCAGACGGCGCAGTGGATCGTTGCAGAGGCCGAGCGAAACCAGGTCAGCCGGGCGGTAGTGTGCGGCGACCTGCTGACGAGCCGCACGATGCAGCCGACGCATGTGCTGTCTGCGTGTTACCGCTTCATCAGTCTCCTCAGCGACATCGTGCCGCGAGTTCATATTGTGCTCGGCAACCATGACCTCGCCTACCGTCGCGACTACCAGACCACGGCCCTTGACGCCCTCAATATCAAACACCTTTCCCCGTACGTGTCGCTGCATAGCATTGTCGCTCACCACGAATGGGACGGCCGACGCGTCTTGCTGCTGCCGTTTCGCGAGGAGCAAAATGAGCTGACGGAGGCCGTGGCTGCTCTAGGCCCCAACGAGGCGAGCAGGACGGTTGCCTTTGCCCATCTCGCAATCAACAAGGCTATCACGCAGCGGCATGTAGTTGGTGCCGGCGTCGATAATCCTCGCGCGGCAAACTCTATTACGCACCGCGGCTTGACGGGCCCGAATCGGTTTGCCTCTCTGGCTCGAACGTTCACGGGGCATTTCCACAGCCACCAGACCATCACCCAGGAACAATCCGACAGCAGAAAGGTCGATTTACAAGGGAGCGTCACATACCTGGGCTCGCCCTTGCAGTTAAACTGGGCCGACCTCTACGACGAGCAGCGGGGCGTCGTTTTGTTCGATCCAGAGACACCCGAGCACGAACTACTCATCAACCCGCATGCCGTCGGCTATATAACAGCTGACCTGCAGCAAGTTCTCAGCGGTCAGGTCGACGAGCGTGCCGTGATAGACAAGCATGTCATGCTCATTGGCAAGCTTACCCATCTCAAGTATGTCACAGCTCGTGACAAGCTTCTCTCGCTAGGCGTGCGGAGCGTGCGGAGTTGGACTCCTATGGGCCTTGCTTTGCACACCGACCGATCTTCATCCGGTGGTCTCGGCGCGTCGGTGCCGGCGAGCGATGCCGCTGTCCAGCCCTTGGAGGAGCCCACCAGGGATGAGGCCGATCTGGCCATAACCATGGACGGTGTTTCGGGCTCTGACCCTGGCTCCAACCCTCGGTTTGGAAAGCTCGACCTCGCCGCAGAGGCTCGCGAATATGCCGAGTCGCTGGATCTGGATGAGTCTCTTCTCTTGCGACGGGATGAGTTGGTGCGGGTTGGCCAACGCATGATCCAAGTCTCCTGCGAGATTATTGACCAGGATGGCGAGGACAAGGTTAACTACCGAGATTTCCTGGATGGGTCATCTCAAGTAGTCGGCACAAGAACCGCCACTGAGCTGGCAGGGCCCTCTACCCACGTCTTCGTCGCCGAGCCCCGCATACTTACAATCACCAACTTCCTCGGCGTGCAGAACACCATCAAGATCGACTTCCGACAAGACCTCCCACGCGGATTGGCCTTCCTGGTCGGCGACAATGGCTCCGGTAAGAGCACCCTCGTCGAGGCCATGGCGTGGTGTCAGTTCGGGCGGTGCATTCGCGGCGGGCTAGCAGCCAATGACGTCGTCAACGACAATATAGGCAAGGACTGCTCCGTCAAGCTGGAGTTCGCCAACGGATACGCCATTGAACGATATCGCAAGCACAAGATCCACAAGAACCGTGTCGTCATCTCGCTGTATGGTGAGTCGCAGCCGCAGCTCGAGCACCCAGACGCGCGCACAACGCAAGCGGCCATTAACGAGCTGCTTGGCACCGACTACGAGACATACGTTAGGACGGTCGTGCTGAGTCACGAGAGTGCAGCAAGCTTTTTGAACTCGACACCAACGCAGCGGCGCGACCTGATCGAGGCATCGCTCGGTCTGTCGATGTTAGATCAGTGCGGGCATGTGTCGAGGCTGCTGCTCAAGGACATCGACGCAGACATGAACAACGTGGAGTGTAAGCTAGAAGGTTTGGTCCGGACGATAGAATACAATGAACGACGGCTCGAAGATCTGAACCGGACACAGAAACGACTCGAAGATGAGGCGGAGGAGGCTGTCGCGTCTTTGGAGGCAGCCATTCAAGACCATGCAAGCAAGGGAACTCAGGCCCCCGAGCTCAACATGGACTTTCGTGTTGAGATTTTGGCGCTGCAGAATCAAATTTACACCGAGCAGGAGAACTTACAACGACTGAAGAGCTCTTATGCCCAGATGCAGGAGCAGAAGCATGCCGAGTCGACATCATGGCCAGGCTGGCTACAACAGCAACTTAGTCAAATATTCGAGTGCTCCTTCTTCGGAACAACTTCCTTCCTTGAACACGTTTTTGCGGATGCCAGGGTATGCTACCTGCCCGGTGTGATCTGACAAACCGGCTGTGCATACACAAAGTCAAATCGTGCCAGCCTATTCTTGTCTCTTTCCTCACCCGCTTTGCCTCGCACTTTCCACTTCTAACGTTGCAGAGCCGTGCGCTCGACATGATGCAGCTGCATATCCCTATTACCTGGCAATCCTATTGGACTCACGAGGTGGGCCTGGCTACAGGGGTCCTTGTCAGCTGCTGAGGCCTCCCCACACGCAAACCCCGCAAAGACATGGCTGTCCCACGTAAAACGTCAACAATCATACCTTCGGAAATCTCAACACCCGCAGTTGGAGCTTCGGTATGCCATGTCTCTTCCACCGCCCCTGTACAGTTACTCTTCTTTTCCGGAGGGCAGCATTCGCTTGCTTCGGCTGTTGCCGCATCAGGACGAGCATGCCCTGATACAATGCCGGCTCATTGACTGCGCCCTATCGGACTCAGGAAGCACCCGTCCGTACTCGGCTCTATCCTACGTATGGGGCTCTGAGAGCAAACCTCAATCTATTTCTATAGACGGCTGCGACTTGCCCATCGGGGAAAACCTTCACATGACGCTATTACATCTTCGAGATCGCTCCATTGAACGAACTATATGGGTAGATGCTATTTGCATCAACCAACAAGACCCGAAGGAAAAGGGACAGCAGGTTCAGTCTATGGCTAAGATCTATGCTAAAGCAAGTTGTGTAATTGTTTGGCTTGGAGGAGCAACACCCAACAGTGGCCAAGCGCTTGAAGAAATTCGCATCGCAGCAGAGCAGCGCACGAAGCGCTCAATCAACGAAAACGCAATCTTTGGACTGCTCGAGAGACCGTGGTTTCAACGCATCTGGGTCAGAAAACAGGCGTTCACCAATATAGATCGAGATTACTGACAAAGTCGATCCAGGTACTTCAGGAAGTTGCCGCAGCCCGACATGTACTGATAAAATGTGGTCCTACCGAAATTGATGGATATGCATTCTGTTTAGGCCTGAGTGCATTGAAACTGTCTTATGAAACCCACCCAGACCTGCGGCCTCTGATTCGTTCAGTATCCTACCTCATAAGAGGTGCGGTCTTCCGGCATAGATGCGCAATTAGTCGGTCAGGCAGGTTTTCCCTAGACATTTACCATCTAGGTGGACTGGTAGATATGTACCACACTCGCCAAGCTACTGATCGCCGTGACAAGGTTTATGCCTTACTCGGCATGAGCTCTGATGACCATAGCATCGCAGGGTTATCGGCCAACTATGAGATTTCATGGGGGCGACTCTTCCAGCAACTCGTCAACTTCTTCTTCTCTGAACGGGTGTCTGTAGACACTTGGGACGATAAGGAGATAGCGGTAATCAAGGGCAAGGGCTGCGTTATAGGCCTAGTGTCTTCAGTCAAAAGAGATAATGATTGGGAAGATAGACAGCACGTGGGCATTACTTGGAAGAATGCGTCTTACTATGGAGGACCGCATTCTCGCTGGACCTTTCAGGCCTCAGCAAAATCTATCCGGAAAGGAGATGCTGTTTGCCTTCTACAAGGAACCTCATGGCCTACAATCGCTAGGCTATGCAATGATTATTGGACCGTTATAATGATTGCAGTTTCCCCTCCAGGCGATCTACAAGCTGCAAGCAGAGATACCAAGTCGGAACTTTTACAATCACAAATAACCTTCCCATATGATTTCCTACTCATCTGGAACTGGGATATGCATCTAAACAAGTCACAGGATGGAGAAGACTACGAACACTTCATGAGCGCCCTAGTGTCGAAGTGTTCAACAACACAGCTAGAAGATTATCTGGATAAAGTTACCAGGTTATGGAACACTGGGGTGGCATTACAAGACATGGAGGTATATGGCGCAGGGGGGAATCTCCGAAAGGCAATGGAGATTTTTGAGAGTGCATTGAGAAGCATGGATAGCTTAGAATTGGCTTGCCCAGGCCACGGCAGTTGGAAAATGGGAGATACAGAGAAGCTAGAAGGAATGGTAGATCTACTTACCAAGGGCAAGGACGGATGGAGGCCGCTATGGTTGGCGGCAGGGAACGGACACGATGCGATTATTAAGCTGCTGCTCGGCACTGGTAAAGTCGACCCAGATGCTAAAGATGAGGATGGACTGACGCCATTATCGCGAGCGGCTCAGAATGGTTATGAAACGATCGTCAAGCTGCTGCTCGGCACTGGTAAAGTCGATCCAGACGCTAAGAGTAAACGCGGAGAGACGCCGTTATCTCGAGCGGCTCAGAACGGGCATGAAACGATCGTCAAGCTACTGCTTGGCACCGGTAAAGTCGATCCAGACGCTAAGAGTAAACGCGGAGAGACGCCGTTATCTCGAGCGGCTCAGAACGGGCATGAAACGATCGTCAAGCTACTTCTTGGCACCGGTAAAGTCGATCCAGACGCTAAGAGTAAACGCGGAGAGACGCCGTTATGGTGGGCGGCTCAGAATGGGTATGAAGCTATCGTTAAGCTACTACTTAGTACTGGCAAAGTCGACCCAGACGCTAAAAGTGAACGCGGAGAGACGCCGTTATGGTGGGCGGCGCAGAACGGGCATGAAGCGATCGTCAAGCTACTGCTCGGCACTGGTAAAGTTAATCCAGATGCTAAGAATAAGGGGGGACAGACGCCGTTATCTCGAGCGGCATGGGACGGGTATGAAGCGGTCGTCAAGCTACTGCTCGGCACTGCCAAAGTCGATCCAGACGCTAAGGATGAGGATGGACAGACGCCGTTATGGTGGGCGGCTCAGAACGGGCATCAGGCTATCGTTAAGCTATTACTCGGCACCGGTAAAGTTGACCCAGATGTTAAGAATAAGGACGGACAGACGCCGTTATGGTGGGCGGTAAAGAATAGGGATGAGGCGATTATGGAGCTGCTGGAAAGTATATAAATATGTCTAAGGGAGTTTTGGCAGTGCTGAAATCCAAAGCTTTAGTAGTGAGTGGCTATGAATTTATCCATATGTTCGAGGCGGCTTAAGGTGCTCGCAAAGACGTATAGGAAATGAACACAATGTTTTCTTCGCTTTAATGTCCTTTTTGGATGACGGTAAGTGACAACGGCAGCCACTTCTAGCAGATGGGGCAAGCCGTTACAGTATTTCAATAGCTTACCCAGCCACACTAGCCACAGATAATCCGTGTTTAGAGTCTTTATGTAGACAGCTGGGCGGCCTCTGATTTCGGCCGTCACTGTACGAGGCAACTGTAAACTCCAATGTTTTAGTTCAATCACACAACAAGCCTACAGATGGGGCTTTCATAATTCATGCTGTCCTGAGAAAGGCACATGCTTCCAACATTAGTCATCAGCAGCCTTATCCTCGGAGTTCATTTTCATAACATGGATTCGACACTTGTTTCAGTACCTTTCTCGACATTCAGCTGTCTTTCCGGTACATTTCAAGACCTACGATGATATGCAGTAATCAGAGTAAAATAAGCAAGCGATTTCAAATCTTCTTTCCTTCCTTTTTTCCAGAAGCCATGCTTGGCTAATTCCTCCATGCTCGGCCCTGAGTCTAACAAACTAAGCATGTTAACAGCTTCAGGGGACCAGCGATCCAAATTCGATAGACCAATCTTGGCTTCCGGTCCTTTTCCTTTATCCATAAGCATCATAGAGAGCCTACAGAAAGATTCTAGGAATATTTCGGTCTTACCTCCTGGCTGAAATTCCTCAATATTGCTGATCTTGACCTCACCAGCGAGATTGATCAGGACCCCGGCACAAGTAATTGACTCGGGTACGAGCCCTTTGCTAATAAGGTATTCCGACCCAGAGAGCACCTGTGAGTTGTTTTAATGACATTGCTAACCTCAGAACGGTACCTCCTTACCTGGAATAATATTGAACTAAGCTGTGACTCCGATGGGTATTCCGGAGCTCGACAAACGTGCATCAAAGACGATTCCATCATACGAGACACGATATAATGGTTCCCATCGTCGTGCGAGTAGACCTCCATGGTCTCAACCACGTTTGGGTGGCATATCTGGCGGATGATCTGGAGCTTTTCGTCGTTCAGGGCCGGCGCAGAACGAATCATGTGAAGATTCTCACGGCTCGTCTTGCTAGTTGCTATTGCAAACAAGCACCAGTACTCAATGAAATATTCTTGTGTGTAATGTTTCCATGGGGAGCCAGCCAAGACTGGGACTAGCCCCGGTTTGGGACTGCTGCTGTCGGTTTTCTTGACTGGAATCTTCCTACGAACAGCATCAGAAGAATTGTTCTGGAGAGGATTCTTCTCATCACACTTCCGCGGAAGAGTACCCGCCGCTTCTATGTCGACAGTCTGACGAGTCTTAACAGACTTCAAAAATGCCGCCACTTCATCATCTATCAAGAGGGTGTGCCGGTCCAACTTTGACATATTTTATGTGATTGAGGTAGCATGGGGATTGAGCAGTTCGACCCCTTTCTCTTTCAGCTTGAGAGGGGCGGACGAAAGTATATATAGCAAAAGGCCGGTGTCGTTTTCCGACCTTGCGTACTGAAAGCGGTTTCGCATCTGAAGCTGCGGATTTCATACCCTGGCCCATTCACCCAATCAAGAGATGTGGTCATGACATGGGTGCCGATTTCCGAACATCCATTTTCTTTCCGTTGCATCAAAGTCTCTTTTCACATCTCTGGTTGCGCGTAGATTGTTTCTGCAGCTAACCTTTGAATCATAATCGATAACTTCTCAAGACATAGCCGGTTGCAAACGTTTCTCCAGTCGTCACAGATCAACAAGACTATGTTGAACCCTCAAGCTCAAACTGATCGCCTAGTTTGTCTCACGGAAAATGTTATTGAAGAGAAAAAGAAGAAGTTTCGAGGCATCGTCAAAGTGCCGATTGAGGACCTCGTCTTTGCACCCGACTTCACGCCTTGGGATTACAATATTAGTGCTGCGAAGGTCTCTCGGCTCGAGAGAATCTTTAAGAATGAAGGTTGCAACCGAAGCGAGCCTTCTAATTTCATTCTGGGGACTATATCAGAACATATCTTATCAGAGGCCCTTGATTTATCGAAGCTAACTACTGCGGACCTTCAAAGTAGAAAGGACCCGCCTATGCTCTATCTTCCCCGATTTCAATATATACGATGTGCTAATGGCAGGAGCCGGGCAAACGCTCTCTCTGCTACACCCCAGCTTGGAAGTTGGTGGACCGTTGAGCTCTACACTGGTAAGGAGCTCCTACTGGTATAATCGAACTCAAATGTTAAAGCAGTTGTAGATTTGAGCGCTGAAGCCTTTGACATCATCACCGAGAATTATATGAACGAAGGGGTATTCTCTCATGGGCATATATGTGAAAGAATCGTTCATCATCGTTCTAAAGACCCCACAGAGGAAAAGAGGTGGTGGGCAAGGCTCACTAAAAACTCAGCAAGCATCTTCAGACGGTTGTTGAAGCATCCGTCTCTGGCACATCATCTCTTACAGTTGATTCTCCATATCCCTGGTATACGTGAAGGTTTTGAGCTTTCTCCATGGGGTAAAATCATGGCCGCGAAATGCGACGAGGTATCTTAAGGCGCTATCCCCTTAGTGGCATGGCTGATTGTCTATTAGGAAATCATACGATATATGGAATTTATATTGGAGTTGTGGGTTGAGCTAATGGGTTCGAAAGAAGCTTTGGACTATGTGGATCCTGAAGATGTAAGGGAGTTCCAACTCAGGGTCCCTGGCGTCTCACAGTTGGATTTCCATCACCTTTCTACACTCGTCACAAGTGGCAACGCGTTTAAGAGAATGACGGATGGGGATTTAAGGAGGGAACTGGTTGTCCGAATGAAAAGTATCAAATATCTCATCCCCTCACTCCATACCCTGCAGAAGGACTTCAAATACCTTCGACCATGCACAGATACCATCATACGGCTCTTTGCTCACAATAGAAATTCTTATGTCACTGCTCAGTCGCTGGCGTTTGACGCATTCTCATCTAAGACGCTATTAGGGCCTGACGTCCTCTTCTTTGAGAAGCTTAAGTGCCTCTACCTTTTCATCATGGGGGACATGGTCGGGATAACAGGTGAATGGCCTCTCTTGGAAGTCGGCGAGATGCCTCATGAGTGTGTTCGTCTCCCAAGAAGTTGGTATCGACTGGCGCATGAGGCCCGCCGTCTTGGGTTTCACTCGGATGAAATCACTCGTCTAGTGTCAGAAGACCCAGATGAACAGGTCGCGTTGAGGGCTTTGCGCGAAGCACGACCCGATTCAATATCTGAGTATAGTCCTTCGCAGCTGCAAGGAATAGTGAGAACCATAGTTGCAAATTTCGGCGAGGCAAGGGACCACATCACAGGTAAACCTAGCTCTGAGTTCACGACCACCGGAGTAGGTGAGCCGATTTCACGGCGTTGTGGCCGTCAATACTCTGGCGCATACGCACGCGATCGATGGAATTTTGATCTTGCTGGATTCTCGGATCCCACACCAGAATCAATGGACATTACATCGCTCTTCGTTCGAAAGTCCGTGTTTCATGCATTCTGGAGAATTGAAGAAAAGCCTAACGTACCAACCCCTGAACCAGAAGACGAACCAATGCTTCCGCCTCAAACTGAATCTTTGTCCTCGGAAAATGAGTTAATGTATTCACAGGGTATGCCCGTCCATGCCGAAGCTCAGGATCAGCCAATATTAGACTGGAATAACTCATATGAACATAATCGGATGAGACGACGTGTCGAGATACGGCACAGGAAGAAGAAGAAGCAGAAACGGGCAGTGCGTCAAGCATCGATGCGTCGTATATCGCAGACCGGAAAGCGGAAGAATCGTAGGCTAATCCAAAACTTATTAGAGCGGCTGCAAACGGCGAAGCAACCGATGATATTGCCGGCGACGCAGCCCGTGGCGAGGCAACTAGCGGTGCAGCAACAACCAACCATTCAGCAACAGTTGATTCCTTATGAGAATACAACCTCGGAAATTTCCATGGCAGAAGACTGGGGTGCTGTAATCTCAACTCCCACATTGGGCCTCATCCGTCCGCTGGCCCAAACTTCAGAAATGACGGTTTTAGAATTTATTGAAGATGATTTGAATGGGGGTAGTTGGAAAGAACATAAATGCCATCGAGAATCGATTTCAGAATTCATCCAACATCTGAAGGGCCATTTCAAGCGGGATGTGGAGTTCTACCATCAGCATGAGCCCCGAACAATCGCTGAGCACGAACTGCCCCGACACGATGCGATATGTATCGCTCCGAAGAACGTCATGTTTGAAGAGAGACATTTCCCAGCGGAAGAACAGTTGTGAAGCGTTTGACTACGGACCAGCGTATCATTTATTTACCTAATCTGACAAGATTCAAGAAAGTTGTGCTTCAATCCCAGCAAAATTGATGTTCTGGCCCTTGATGAAAGAGACATTGTAACTGTGAGCCCTTTCAAGGAGCCCAATGTCCAAGCAACTAGTGTAAAACCCAGCCTTACCATATGCGATATTGGAGCTTGGTAGAGCGCCCAATGATTCACCCTAAGTATGCGGCACTGCACGAGTCTACCGAAAATGACTACTAAATCCGGATTATCAAGAGCGGCGGTTCTTACATGCGTTGGCCATTCCCTCTTGGCATGGGCTATATAACCAAGCCAATTCTTGAGCTTTGCCAAATTCAGTAAGAATGTAGCCCATAATCGGAAACACGCTCATAAGCCTTTTGATTTGAACCCTTCGCGGCGCGAGGGAAGCTGTGCACATTTCTAATTCAGAGAGCACTGAGAAACTGACTTCAGAACCCCTGTCCTGGCTATCAAGGTTTGATTGCGAGTCTGGGTGGGCTGGGGCCGCGTCTCTAGCGCTTCCGGTCCTGACAATGCTTCCGACCTCTTCGATGCCTCTTTCCCATCACTCGTAAGCAATATGTAATGTAGTAAGGTCAGAGAACTGCTCTTAACCCCAGGGTACTGACAAGCATTCAAGGAACGTTAAGTGACTTCTTCATAAGACCGTCTCGGGGGCGACAGCTTCCCGAAGCCTATCGGGGCCGAAACTGGATCCTGGCATTACAGTGGGCGGCACATCAGCCAGGGTGCGGGTTCTGGTCCCAGTAGTGTCACATAATGACGTAATGAGCGAGGAACAGCTGTACTACAACATTTCGGTGGAATCCCTGAGTTTAAGTATCATAAAGAGATACATCAGCCGTTCAAAACCGCTCTGGGTAACTCTTTCAATTTGTAAGAGACTTAGGGAGATTTATTCTTCTTCTTCTTCTTCTTTCCAAAAACCCAACGCAAACATCTTTCATCTTCTTGGCAAATACGACATGACTTACCAAGGCATTGTCAGAATGGCAATCAATGCTCTTGTTTTCGCACCTGATTATTCTTCCTGCAACTACAACATCGATACAACCAAAGTTAATCGTCTCAAACACATTTTTGAACTAGAAGGATGTAACCGATATGATCCACAGAATTTTATCAGGGGCAGCATCACTCGGGATGCTTTACAGAAGGCCCTGGTGCGTTCCCGCTTGACGCTGGCAAGTCTGCAGAGAGAGGGAGATCCTCCAATGCTTCACCTTCCACCAGATACCTATGTGCGATGTGATCAGGGCAGAAGCCGCGTGAAGGCACTCCTGGACACCGATCGCTCTTTCTATTGGTGGACCGTTGAACTGTATGCAGGTAAGAGCAAATCCGTTTTCTTCCTAAAGGGTAGGTAAATATTAACACCCCGAAAAAGATATTCACCAGGAAGCTCCTGGCAGAGCTAGAAATACTTCCGTTAATATTGGAGGGTACTCTGATGGACGTATATGTGCGGAGATTGTGCAGAGTCGCTTCAACACAATCGCGGAGGACGAATGGTGGGCGAAACTTTCTAAGAGCAAGGCGAGCATCCTGAGAGGTTTACTTGAACATCACTCCCTGGCTACCCCTTTCGTGGAGTTGATTCGTAGTATACCTGCTATGCGTGAAGATCTATTAATTGGCGTGTGGCACAAAATAATTGCAGCCAAATGCGATGAGGTACCTTCAGACTCTTCTCAATGTAACAATCCAACTGACTTTTTTTCCCCCAGGAGATTATCCGGTACTTTAGATTCATCCTCAATACTTGGACTGAAATCATGGGGTCGAAGTCAGCATTGCGACACATAGATACCGCCTCTGTAAGGGAATTGCAACTAAGAGTTCCGGGGTTATCGGAACAGGACTTGGAGCACGTTACTCGAGTTATAACGAGTGGGGTAGTGTTTAGAAGTCTCACCAATACGTCAGAGAGGGTAGCACTGCTGGACCGACTTAGGAGGATCAAATTTCTGATTCCTTCTATACATACTCTGCAGAAAGATGTCAAATATCTCCGACCTTGCGCGGATGTTCTGAAGCGGCTCATCTTGGGCCAAGGACGATCTTCTTCGACAGCCCAGGCAGTTGCACTTGATGCCTTCCTACCTGGACGCCAAAGGGGAGCAGATGCTGAGTTCCTCGACAAGTTGAAACGGGTGTATCTCTTCATAATGCAAAACATAGTACAACTGAC